AATAAATAAAGTGTTTTTAATAAGAATAACATTGTTTTTTCATGGCGTTACATGTGCGTTCCTCTTTTCTATTTTCTCATGATTCTTCAATCATTTTGCGATTTTTCCGTTTAATTCTGCGTAAAACGACAATGCAAACAATGATTATGGTGATGCAAATAAGAGTTGATTGATTTGCGCAAGGATTGCAGAGAAGCTTGATACAAAATTGCACAATTGGATACTTGAAATATTGGAAATTGTGGGAATAGATTACGAAGTCTATCTGAACCCCGAATCTGAACCTGAAGTCTATCTGAACCTGCTCTTCCGTGAATAGTTCATTTCTTGTAAAAATTTTCTTTCATAAGGATAGTCTACATAGTTTCAGAAAAATCAAAGTTAGACAACAATTCTACGAATCTCCTCTTTATAACTTGAATTATTGCAAGTAGTGTGTACTCCCGGGAGGAAATTTCCCGGGAGTCTTCGGAATTTTCTCGGGAATTTTCAACATTTCCCGGGAAATAAATTGCTCGGGAAAATTCCGCAACTCATAATTCCCGGGAAAAAATTTCCCGGGAGCACACACTCCCCCTCGTTGTTATAATGTATGGCAACAGTAATATAGATTTTCATACTGTTTTTGTAAAGCTCGAGGTCGAGGGCGATCGGCACTTAATTGTTCTGTAAATTCGCCCATCATGGCCAATTAGTAGTGGCTCGTGAAAAGTTGCTTGGCTCGTGACTTTTGGCTTGGCAAATTGCAGAGGCCTGCTTCACGCACATTTCGCTGGTTGCATTGAAATCCACACATTTGGGTTCATTGAATTTTGGTGTCTGTTTATCTGGGCACCTCCAAATTTCGAAGTCGTCTTTACCTGTCACCCTCTCGCCTCGCGGCGACTAAAAATTCAAAACAAAAAACATTTTTAACCAATTCTTTTCTATTTTCAACGTATGTTTTATACTGTTGAATTCTCTCCTCTAAGCTTGCTATTCCGATTTTGAAAAGAAAACTCGAATGTAAGAAAACGGTCGCTTCTTAGCGATTTTGTTTAATCAACGCTTAAGGCTCATTAGAAGCTTAATCGAGCAAAATCTGCATAAAATCAACACAAATATCATTACTTATAAAAATTGGTATCTAAATGACAAAAACTAAACATATATTGTTGGAAAATGACAAATGTATCCAGGTGTCGTGGGATCCTGCGTTTTGTACGCAATGCTAAGAGACAGTTACCGTAATCCTCGCAGCGATTTACGGGGAATTTTTTTTTTAAATTTCGCTTATTCATTTTTTTATTTTTCGCTCAATTTTCGTATTTTCCTTCGAAATTTTGTTTAAAAAATGTTGAAGAAACCGATTTTAATAATTTATTTAGCAGAATAAACACTTTTAAACGATTTTTTTTGGTAAAAACAGCAGAGATTTAAAAGAAATCATTTTCGTCGTTAATAAAATTATTTATTCGTGTTTTGCTTTTTGTATGCGTTTCTATTATCTTGTTTTTGTATTCTTCATTTTCAAAATAATTTTTAGAGCGATAAAATCTTTACAATAATTCCCAACTCAACTGCACAAATGGAAAAGTGAATATTCTGAAAAATAAAGAATTAAACTCGGTTTCTACAGGTTTTAAATAAAAGATTTCCAAAGAAAATAAGAAAATACAGCAAAAAAATTAAAAGAAAATTTAAAAAAAAACTCCGTAAATCGCTGCGAGGATTACGGTAACTGTCTCTTAGCATTGCGTACAAAACGCAGGATCCCACGACACCTGGATACATTTGTCATTTCTCAACAATATTTGGAGTGCTTATATAGTCGGCGTCCGGCGACTGCTGTACGCGAGTAGATTTACGGGAATGCGTCTTTCGAAATGATCTCGCAAGGACTAAATGGTTGGTTTAAATTTTATGGATCATTGAGTTGTTTTAAGCATCCTGACAGATAATTGTGGTTTTCCATTTTATTTCAAGTCGTACCGGTATCAAAATTATTAAAGTCGGTTTTTCGCTATTATGGATTTTCTGATTTTTTGCCAATAAAATTTTTCCTAATGTGTTATCACTTACTTACTTAGTCACTTAGTCGGTTCGTCCTTCGCCTGTTGAGGCGCGAACCACAGCTTTCCAAGCTTTTCGGTCCTTGGCTTGGGTGGACCAGGGGGTGATAACGGCTCCTTCAGCTCTTCTTGTGGTGATCTCCTTCCGAAGCGAGTCCGACCATCTCATGGGATGCCTTCCTCTTGGCCGAGTCCAATTTCACGGCCGCCACTCCGTTAGAAGAGTAGTCCATCTTCCATCTGTTCTTCTAGCAACGTGTCCAGCCCAGGTCATCTTCCTCTTCGTGATGTGGTGTAGGGGGTCCCGAACTTTAGGCATGATGCGGATGTCCTCTCGATGAAGATCTTGTTCACGTTGTTGTGATAACGTGAGGCCAACCAATCTTCGCTCAAGCGCAGCGTGACTAATTCGGACTCTCTCGGCAAGAGTTTTGGTGAAGGTCCAAGTCTCTGATCCGTAAGTCAGCGCTGGCAGAACGATGGAATCGAAGAGCTGTGCGCGGGTTTTGTTACAGGAAATCAAATCGGTGGTGTTCTTGATTCCATTAAACGCTGCCCAAGCTGCTCTTCTCCTTCGGAAGATCTCCTTGACTAGCTCGTTTTTGGGGGTGAGTAGTCTTCCAAGGTACACGTATTCGTCAACATCGTCAATGATACTGACCGAATTCTGGTGCGTTAGGGTAACCTTGGCGGAGTCTGCGAAGGGGTTACGTAGGATTTTGGTCTTTCCAGCGTTAATCTGGAGCCCTACTTGTTCGCATCTCACAACCATCTCACTTAGCATCTCGGATGCCGCTTGCGGACTGTGCGCTATGAGCACGACGTCGTCTGCAAACCGCAGGTGTGTGAGGTTGCGGCCATTCACTCGTAATCCTGGAGTGTTCGAATTGTCTTCTGAGTCGTTTTTGAATTGACTCCAAGACAATTCACGGAAAACTTGCTCCAGGCACGCGGAGATAAGGTTCGGCGAGATTGGGTCACCTTGCCTTACTCCTCTTCGAACAGGTATCTCTACCTGTCGATGGTATGGCGTGATGCTTGTGGAACAGTCAGAGTAACAACTTTGGAGTAGCTGGATATACGCTTCTTCAACGCCTTGGTCTCTTAGGCTCTGCCACACCGCTGAATGCTCAACACTGTCGAACGCCTTCTTGAAATCAACGAAGACAAGTGTGAGTGGGATTTGATATTCTCGTCCCACTTCTAGCAGTCTTTGGACAGAGTGGATGTGATCCACTGTTGAGAAGCCCTTGCGGAACCCAGCTTGTTCTACAGGTTGATTGCCTTCTAGTTTACTCCTGATTCTATTCAAGATGCATTTTGTGAATGCCTTGTATAGAACAGAGAGTACCGTGATTGGCCTGTAGTTCTCCATTGAGTATCTATCACCATTCTTGAAGAAGATTCGATAAATTACTGTGGCACTGCCCTGATCAGCAAACTTCGAAATTCAATGAGCCGAGATGTGAAAATGTCGTCGCGAATGATCCGAATTCGGGAATTTGCAAGGCACAGCCGGCCGGAATTTGCTCTTCTGGCAGATGTTGTCCGCCGTTGGTTACCTTGCCGTCGTTGAAATTGGGCGAGAAACCATATATCACTGCACGGAAATGTGATCCAGCTGCGCCTCCACCGGGTTATCTTAAATTTATTTTTTGCGATCCGGCCTCCGGCAATCTCACGGTCATCGGAGAAAAACAATTGGCGTCGTCGATGTCGGTAATCGTAACTGGCCACAAATGCAGCATTAATAAGTAATGTTTTCATACTCGCCAGGTTTATTCTGTCGTTGTTTCTTTTAGAGATTGCCCAACCCAAAAGGAAGTGTGTGTACGTACTACATCTGGATCAAAATGCTACTACAATCCTCTGAAAGATTATCGAGTTGCTGTCGATCACTCGTTGAAGATTATTCTAACATCCTCAATTGTGATATCCATTGTGTTTTCTATGCTTTCCGTTATCTCTTATATCAGTGGTGCCTTGCCGTCAGCGCAGATTCCACCGAATACCATGATCTGCTGACGATGGGAAACACGGTGAATGGTTCTGCCTTTGTTCATAGCTTCCTCAGACCTTCTGGCGATCACTCTGTGGTTTTGGAGATTGAAAGCAGCTTCTACCGTAAACAGCTTCTCATCCATGACGAAAGTCGTTAGATGCTTTCCTTGCCGCGTGCCAGCTAGGAGCGATTTGCACTTTTTCATTCGACCTTCTTTATTTTTTTTTCGGTTAGAATGGCGGCCTTTCTGATACGATAAGGTATCAGGTTCAGCTCATCTTTGGCATTTTTTCCCACCATCTCGGACTCACATGGACTTCTGACACCATCTTTCTGATGCTACGATCTGGATTTCGACGAACTCGTTCGTTCCCTGATGACCTTGACTCGCTCCGGTGTTATTAAAGAATGTTTTCTTCCTCTTCTAGGGCAGCTAAAGGGTCCTCCTATCTCATCAAAGCGTTTCCACGTTGTTTGTACGGTGTTGTGGTGAACTCCAAGGATTTTAAAAATCATCTTGAACGATGTTTCCTTTTTTCCAAGTCGATGATGGCCGCACGATGAATAGAATCAGCTGTCATTTTTGTAATATAAAACGGATTTTCATGAAACTTTCAGAAAATGATTAAACCATCATAGAAAATAAAATAAGAACAAAAAACCGCACAAAAATTGCAACAGTGCACTATGAGCTTGCGCCAAGGTTATGCACATGTAATTTTGCCGCACCCTGTATATGTCGATAATCAAACTACATACACTTTGCGCTGGCTGCAATGTGTTTCAAACATTCGAACCAAACTTTTTTAGAACATACATTGACGAATAATTTTTTTAGATTCGGAATGGCATTTTTTACAAAGCGCGTATTCCGAAAAAGCCAACAAGTATTGAAAAAAAATGATTAATGAAAATTGGTTAAAATATTTATTGGAATCAATTTTTCTTCATCGATATTCTTCGTCCAATACATTTCGATTAAGTTCAAAAATGTGATAATCGTAGTAGTAAATGCGATGAAGATATTTTCGAACGACGGGATCCGTTTTTAGCTGCAATTTTTCAGTTTTGAATTTGTTTTTTCTGATTATCTCGATACCTGCAATTCAGTTTCTTTCCTCTTCGGATCGTCGAACGTGCTATGGGTTGATTCTCCACCCAATGCATGATCCATTATATATTTTATTTGATCATGAGGCACGTTTTGCCGGTAAAGCAAATCGCCAAACTTCTTCAATGCCGGGACCCTTTCTTCTTTTTTGGGTCCCATCACGAAAATGTCGTACGCGCTTAAGTCGCTATTGAAATCGCAATACCTAAAAGCGATGAGTTGAATTGTGTCTAAAAACATTTCAAATCCGCGAGACATCAAAAGTGGAAAAATCACTTTCATTCTGATCTCTATTAAGCTTTAAGCCAGTTTTTTTTGCCGACATGACGTGATTGACATTCATTATCTACCCGCGTTCATCTTGAAATTCTCAAGAAATGATGTGTTCCTATTGGTTTTTCTTTTTGCTTCATGTCGTTTTTTCAACCCACCATGACAATGGAGCAGCATGAAATTCCTCATATTTGTGACGCGTCACTCGTTTCATCGGTTTCGCCTTTCGGAATGCTCTCAGGTTTTCGTACGCCCTTCTGGCAACACATCGCATATCACCGTTGCAATCCCAACAATGGTTCTCACTGGAATTCGGCTATTTTTTGTTTTTTTGTATATCAAACGAACGCGATGCATTTGTTGAGGTAAAATGAAAGGAATCGATCGAATGGATCCCGAATGATGGCGTATCTTCGAATGTTGATGTCCTTTTTTTTCGGTCTCATTGAATATTTTGAACGCGTCGTCTCTGTAACATCTAAACAGAACAAAAAATAGGCAAAAATCGGGATGGAATTCAGGAATTCGAACCGTTTATCTCGGAGAAAATGTACGTCGTACATTGATTGATTTCCGGCTAAAAATGCTTCCGGCTCATATAAATAGCACATTGTCGCTGTTACGAGCTGCGACATTGATTTCGGTATAATACATCCGGCCAAATTGTATTTTGGGGTCACCTAGAACTCAATGGCTCATTGGATTCGTGTGTTAACTTACATAGTACACAGGTCTAACTCTTCCGAATGGCTGAACAAACGACGCTCCTGAAAATGTTTCGTCGATTTCAGCAAAATCTGAAACGATACTCACGTTCCGAGGCGCTTATCGATTTGAAAATGATCAAATTCTCATTTTCAATTGTTAAATATTTCAGATGAAATGCGAATAAGGCGAGCGCAAAAATGAGAATCAGAATCCGGAGAATATACATCATGGGCAGGTGAATGCCAAATATTTTCGAGGGTCACATTCAAATTTTCTTCCTGAAGCGGCATATTTTCGGCGATACGCATCGCAAAAAATGGGTGGAACCGAATGACGACATTTTTTGGGATTGATCGCCATCAACGGCGCAAGATAAAATTGAGATCATCTTTTTTTTTGAACTAGGGAAGTGTAGTCGGCGACTGTTGTACGCGGGTAGATTTACGGGAAGGCGTCTTTCGAAATGGTCTCGTACCGACTAACAGGTCATTTCAAATTTTATTGGTCGGTTTGATCATTTTTTAATCGAATGATGTTGGAAATACAAGGAAATGCGAAACTCATCGGGAAAATTGAAGCAGGTCACTTGAAAACAACAAAATAAGGGATCGCGCATGGTGAGACCTTTTCAAGGCGCATGCGCGTAAATCTGTACAGCAGTCGCCGGACGCCGATTATAAGACCATCGCAAAAAAAAATCAACGATCGCCTTGCATAATTATGTGTTTTTTTGCATCCCGCATAACCAAACATGCTTAACATAAATCAACCAATTTTTTTTTATTTTTGCCATTTTTTCTAATTTGAATGGAATATTGAAAAATTGGAGAATTTTTTTTTTTTGAAATTTCAACTTACAAGAGAAGTCATTTTACCTCCCGTTTTCGAATTTTTTTTGTAATTATGTACACGTAGACTAGAAGGTCTTCTGAGTGTGTGTGTGTGTGTGTGGCCCCAGTTTGGCATCCATAAATGCCAAACGCATGTGTTGCTGGCAATGGAAAACACCTTGAATTGACCATAACTCGTCCCAATGCAGGCTGGAATTTTGTGAACACACTCAGAAGACCTTCTAGTCTGCGAAATTACAAAAAAATCCAAGACGGTAGGTAACATGACTTCCCTTTTTAGCCTACTTAAAATAATTATTCAATACTCGTTTCTCACTGTCAATTATAAATTTGTCAAATATTAAGATCTGTCACGTCACCCTATAGTTGTCGATTCAGATGAAGTCGAGAGCCGAGGATGACCAGTGAATTGAAGGTTTCCATATCGTTTAGTAGTTTCATACACGTCATTTGATTCAACAAATCATTACTCTGAGCAAAAAGGGCAAATCAAATCAGTATATTAGCCTATTTGATTTTTTTTTCAAACATCTTAATAAATAAATTGTGTTTCTCTTTTTTTTTAAATTAAATTTTACTTCCCATTCCATAATTGTTTGTAATTTTTCTCGCGTAAACCAGAAGAATTTTGAGTGTGCACACAAAATTCCAGCCTGAGAGACTGCGTACATTGCATTATAGCGTACGCACATTTAATACTCACTCAACGATATATTTCAACTTACATCGTCGTTTGACGCCGACAATACAAAACTACATATAATTATCATCAAAGGCGCATAGCAACATTTGTTTTTTTTTTTCGCGTTAAAAAAACTAATAATCTAATAAACCCAAGTATTCAATAACCGGATAACCCAATAGTAAACTTAATACAGAGAAATCTAATTTGATAAAAAATAAAATTCAACTATAAAATTTTTTCTAAATTTCCGGAAATTGTATGTCTTTGATAATTAATTAATATTTTTGAAACGTGACATTTTAAGCCAAAGCGTGAATATCTCGAAAAACATTGAGCATTTTTATAGAATTTCGTTGTTTATTATAATTATCGATATTGGTATGGACATAAATGCAATTAGTAACAAAAAAGGGAAAGAGGTTCCCAAAGAGGTTTGATTGAGAAATGAATGTGTGTTGAGATATATAGCTTTCTTTTTTTTCTCATTTTAGGTCATCGATATATGGATTAATATTAGTTTTCGTATATTTGAGTATGTTTTAATCGAAATATGATGGTTTTATGGTTTTTTTAGACGAATGAATGAGAAGAATAATGTGACATTTTTTCTAAGCACACCACAAATCATTTCGAATCTCGCGTTTTTAATATCGAGCTGCGACAAGGAGGTGGTCTCGATTTGCGAATGTCTGACTATATTTGTGCAATTTCAGAACACCGCCGGACTTTTGCGTGAATTCAACCAAATCACGAACGAGCAAGTGACAAGTGTTCAGGCGCAAGGCCTCATCGACGTCACGCACGACTTCATTCGAACTTGGAACGCCTCACTTCACGCGGTTTCGAAGCCTGGCCATATACTGACGGCTCGTCGGGTGATTTGCCATCCGAAATATGCAAAAGCCTACACGTTCAACATTTTCAAAGTGGGCACGAGAATAAAATGCTCTCAAAACGATGTTTGTAGACACTTCGCCGATTTGAAGTCGAGCTGAAAATTTTCGAGGGAAATCAAGAAGTCAATCAATGGATTGAACGATTCTTGAAGGTTTCGCCCCTCGAAATATTCTTTATACAAAAGCTGATATCGAATTTTAGACGGATGAAATTAAACACTATGCTGTCCACTTATGGGCTGATGATAGTTTGCCTCAGACGGGTGATGAAGCCGTCAAAAAGAAGCAAATGTGGCGTGCTAAGAAATTGGTGAGCATTTCATTGTCAGTTTTGAGTAGGGCGAAAAAAAAGTAAAAATTCGGCTTTTTCTTCTTTCGCCCTTTTAGATCCGTCTGCAAGAAAAATTTATTAATTTAATTATTTCTCACATTTAATTTATTTTTAAAAGGAATCGGCGAAATGTTCTAAAAAAAACAATAAAACATAAGATAATAAATAAATTATTCGAAATAATGGCGGTCGTGAAAAATGGCATGGCCGAATATTTCACGGCCGCGAATGTGCAGAGGCGGCCGCTCAAATGAGAGCCTTACCAAATTCCAAATGGCGCGGTACTAAGCCGCGCCCAAGTCTTGTACAGATATTCCAATATTCTAGGGACCTCCTTCGACTTCAAAGGGCGATCCGAACGATCTTGCACTGAAACATGAATTGCGCGAAGAGCAGAAGTCGCCGGTTTTGATTTGGGCGAGTCATGCGATTGTTTGCGATTCTTCTCCCGCTCTCCCTTCGTTCAATCATCATAAATTGCAGGTTTCTCTTCATCCCGATCTCTTCGACGCCACTTCGTCATTTATTCTCAACAACGCGGTACCGAATAATCGAGGGGAATTCGAGAAATCTCGACACATTTAGGTGTGCATCAAAATCCACGATAGTCCGAAGACGAAGATAATGATCCACTCCGGAGATTATGGTTCGTATTAGCGTTTTTTTTTGTGTTTTTTCTTTCAACTTGATCAATCTCGCTTTTTTTCTACGTTGTTTGAACAACCTAATACGGGATTTTATAAATTGAATTTTCAAATTCTTAGCTACTTAGTTGATCCGTGCTTAGGCATATTGTGCGGACCAGTACTCCCCAATCTTCTCGATTTCTTTTTCCAATCAATGGATGCCATTCCATTATCATTGTGGTCCGCAATTGTCTGATCTTCTTGCAATGGGACCAACCCAGCGATATTTATGTTGCTGTATGAAAAGTAGTGGATATTTGACATTTGAAATTCTTCGATAGAGAAACCCAATTCACATTGTTCTACTAAATTCAAGCCAACCATTCGTCGTTCCAGAGAAGCATGTGATATTTTGAGTTGATTTTTTGTTGGGGTCCAAGCTTCTCCCTCCCCCCTCGATTTTAAAGCAACGAATTTTTGAAGGGATTTAAAAAATTAAAATTTCAAATGATGTGTCAATAATGATTTGCATTTTTCCAAGATTTCAACACGTTGTTCGTCCCAACGAATAACAAAGCCCTCCAGCTGGTGTTCATTTACGGGGCCAAAAACGTTCGACTACACTATGGTCGAATAAAAGAGACGATTGCCAAATACGGACATCTGGCGCCGTGCATTGTGCACAAATCAGCGCTGGTAACCAACCACAACTCGAAACGATTTCGCGCGAAACTAGTAAGGCGTGTTTCAGTCACCGAATATCAAGAAGCAAACTCGGATGATTTATATTCCCGCCTGGAATCCCACCGAATTTCCGGCCGTCAATATTGCCGAACACTATTTGGTTGGAATTGTTTTGGTTTTTTATTGGAAATGAGTGAAACGCGACGAATTGCAGGCTTGCCTCGATATGAACTCGATATTCTATACTGGCGGATTTGGCGATTTGGCGCCGTCCGATGCCGAACCTTCGGCTTCGCCGAATCCCCGTCGAGTCTCGCACATTCAGCATTACACGCTGATGTCGCTCGTTAATTCCCCTCATAGCTCAATCAGGTATTGCGATTCAATCGTATCGCTTCGATGTTAATTTTTTTCAACTTTTACCTCCAGAGAGACCAACGACAAATCGGATAGCACCAAGAAATCGTCGAAGCACCAAACGACGACGTCGCAAATAGCGGTGAACGAGAGTCAAGAATTCGAGCTCGTCACACTACCCTATTCAATAATTCTTTGGGACACGAAAAGCGAGCTGCCGGTTCTGATGGGAACGTATGACGTTGACGTTTTGCGGATTGAATTAATCGACGAATTTGGTGTAGGGTGGCCGACAAAATGGGCGAGCACGCGAAAAAACGAATGCAAGAAGCGAGGAACGAGCGCTCGTCGTGCACAATCATGTGAATCGGCGCTGGTTGAAAATCGTGTTGACGCAATAAATAAAGCATGGCGAAATTTCAGAAATCTGATATTTTTCTCGTTGATTTTTCTTGCCATATTTGCGTTTAACGATTGCGCGATGCACACGTGTATTTAGCTGAATAAACACACACACTCATTCGTAGTGATTGTTTCGTAGTTGGTTTTCTCATTTAGTGACCGATGTGTGGCGGATTGTTGGCAGATTGAGCGACCGGTCGCTTCTCGTGGCCCCTCCTCGCGATCCGCACTCCATCGCCGCCGTCGTCGCGGGCTGGCGCATCTCTCGAGGTCGGCCGGCCGCTCGCACTTTTTGCGTCCGACCGTGTCGAGACGTTCCGTCTCGTCTCGTCCTCGATTCCACAATGTTTTGGCTATGGCGACGGAAATCGGTTGGAGTATTCACGACGCTCTCGCTCATTCTCACCATCTATCTTTATCTGAGCATTTATTCCATTGAGCCGACGACGACGCGTCAATCCGAGCAGCGTCGAGTTCAGGTTGGTGCGCAAACGTTTTTAAGCCGAAATGAAAAATGACGATCGATTTCTTTTTGTTGTTTTTTTTGTCAGAAAACAAATAGAAAGCCTTATTGACCCAATTTCACTTTTTTACGCACTCGACTTTATTGGATCACTTTCATTGAACAAATAAATTATTGAGTGGATGTCGATTCGATTTCAGACGGCAACCGTTCCATATCCAGATTTCGCCAAAGAGCGAGACGTCGATATCGCTGCGTTGAATATTTTGCATGGAAAAGACGATGAAGTGAGAATTGATTGCTATTACCCAGTGATTTTATTATTTGAGATATTACAAGCGCAAGGATTCCAAAAATATCAATTCAATGGATTGTTGAGTGATCGAATCGGGACACGAAGGAAAATCAAGGATTCGAGGAATGCTCAATGCTCGAATCTTGAGTATGATGAGCCGCTGCCTGCCGCTTCAATAATTGTTTGTTATTTCAATGAATCGCCATCGGTAAACAATTATTAACATTTGTTTCTTATTCATTGAAATTTAGGTTTTGATTCGAATGGTCAACTCAATTCTGGATCGAACCAATGATGATCATATCGCTGAAATTCTTCTAGTCGATGATTCAAGCGAATGGTGTAAGTGAAATTATCATTGAAAATGTCGGCAGATGGTTTTTGGCAAAAGAAAAAACACACAGACAATCTCTTCTGTGTATTTATTATGCTTATTTAGATAATGCGACGAATGAAGCGAAAATCTACAAAGAATCGCATACAGAATGGGCAAAAGTCAAATTTTTGAAAACCGACAAAAATGAGGGTCTGATTCGAGCGAAAATCTATGGGGCTCGGCGAGCACTCGGTCCCGTTTTGGTATTTCTTGATAGCCATTGCGAGGTGAATCAAAATTGGCTTCCGCCCCTTCTTCATGAGATCAAACAAAAACGGGAAAGGTTGGAGTTTTATCGAATATTATTTAAAGGGACATATCCTACGAATTGAAACAAGTCAAACAATAAATAATAAAAAAGAAATTTCATTTTCAATTGTGCAATTTCAGAGTTGTGTGCCCAATTATCGATATCATCGACGCTGTCACTATGCAATATGTCGAGTCGCCGGTGTGCATGGGAGGTGTCAATTGGGCAATGACATTCAAAGTAGCATTATTTCGAAAAAAAAAATTTGAAAGAGGAATCTATAATTTCTTCCAGTGGGACTACCCTAGTCGGCGATATTTCGATGACGCTGAGAACTATGTGAAACCATTGAAGAGCCCCACAATGGCTGGCGGTCTGTTCGCAATCGACAAGGATTATTTTTTCGAAATCGGCTCCTATGACGAAGGAATGGATGTTTGGGGGGCCGAGAACGTCGAAATCTCGTTTCGGGTACACTGAGTGAATTCGAATGAAATATGCGCGAAAGTGGATTCAGATATGGACGTGCGGCGGCGAATTGTACATAATCCCGTGTAGTCGAGTCGGACATATATTCCGAAGGCAGCGACCGTATGGGATCAAAACCGACTCGATGGGCAAGAATTCGGTTCGATTGGCGAGAGTGTGGCTTGATGAATATCTGGTGAGTATTTCTCTTGTCGAAATTCATGATGCACTTTTACGCGTGCGCCTTTGAAATGGTCTCGCCACGCGTGTTTTTTTTTTTAAATTATTCTTGATGAGTTTGGAATTTTCTTGAATTTCCAACGCCATACGATTTAAAATCATCGATCCGACCCATAAAATCAAAAATAACCTTTCGGTGCGAGACCATAGCCAAGGCGCATTCACGTAAATCTACCTGCTATATAATTATGAGTTTAAAAAATGCACGTATTCATTATATTTTATTAAAAACTATATTTGTCCACCAATTATGCCATTTTTAAGCAATTCAAAATACTGATCAGCTTCGAATAATTTTTTTTGGTTAATAATATTGGTATGAGCATTGAAATCGATCAAAATTTTTGTATTTGTTAAATTTTGAAATCAATTTTTCTCTTTCTTTTTTGAAATATGGAAAAGTATATTGGTGAATTAGTTTGATAAATATTATTTGGTACGTTGTTGTTATCGTGCCAGGGAATAGTAAGTTGCCAAGTTATTTACTCTCAAACTTGGTTAATTAAATCAAATTCCACCGTGCAACTCGGCCACGGCCATGCCTAACTCGGTCACGGCCACGTCAAACTCAGCCAGCCATTGTTGCCAAACGATTGGAGGGCATCCCGAGAAACATTGAGTTATAAATTTAGACAAATCGGCAAACTTTAAGAAAAGTTGAAACTTTAAAAAAATTGAACAATTGCTCGGGTAACTCAAAACCAATCGGATCCGACAAAATTCGGCTCCGGAATCAACCCGATCCGATTGGTAATTCTACGGATAAGATTCATAATTGCATACAATTGGTAATTTATCGGATCCGATTGGTTTTGAGTTACCAGAGTGTTCTTAAATTTCTTGCAGATTATTAATTATTGGAGTTTTTTTAAGGAAAACTTCTTCGAGGCTCGTCCGAGTTATCGGACATTCACGGATTACGGTGATCTCACATCACGAATCCAATTGCGAAAAGATCTTCAATGCAAACCGTTCCGATGGTATTTGGAGAACATTTATCCAGCATTAATACCGGACAATACGCCAAACGAAATTGATGAGAGCATATTGGTGGCCGGAAAAAAATACTTGGTAATTCGGATAGTAGATTTTAAGATATATATATATATTTTGGTGTGAGGATTGCGATTGATGGTGTAGTTAAGTAATTAGAGTTCTGAATTTCAATAAGAACAGAAAGAAAGAGAAAGAGAGAGAGAGAGAGAGAGACCCCTTCGGCACAAAATACGCGCCCTTATATACTGTGTTGACGTGTTTCTTGAAAATTCGCACAATTTCTACTAAGCGAGACAGTGTTCACAATTGAGAGAGCGCAGACAACGAGAGAGCGTGCTGCGGACGGAGACGCAGACATTGCGTGTTAAATTTTGTGGAATCTTCCGAAATGCTCTGAAATTTCCAGATCAAATTGCACAATGGAACGCATTGTTTGTCGGCGGAATCAAACTCGGGTCGAATTGCGAATGGGAATCGCGTTGAAATGAGAAAATGCAATCATGGCGAACGCGAACAACAATGGAAATACACGCAAAATGTAACATTTTTAAAACATTGTCTTCATTAAATATTGTATAATATTTAAGAACGAGATTCGACCGATGGGCTCATCTCGACTTTGTCTCGATTCTCTGAAAGGTGTCACCGTCATTCGGTGCCATAATCAAGGAGCCCATCAGGATTGGAAAGTTTCGGTAATTAATTGAACCGTTTGCCATCAATTTTTATTGAATATATATTTTTTTTCAGAAATCTGGAAAGCTTTTCAATAAAGCAACGAACAAGTGTGCGAGCGGCGCCGATGAGACGATGAGCCTCGCGCAGCTCACCTACTGCTCAATGTCCTCACAATTGCAATTTGTCGCCTTATCCTAGTCGCCTGTTCTGTGATAAAACTTCGAGGGTACAAAAAAACGAGTATTCATTGTAAATATGACATTTTTTGGTAACTTTTAATAAAATGTTTTTTTTTGTGAACGATATGAGTCTGTAGTCTGCTTTAATTTGCATGGGGTTTGATTTCTTTGAGCTTATTCTGCTGGGATACAGGGTTCCTGAGATTTCGAAACGATGAGTTTCCAGTTGCGAGTCGGATTTCAGACTAGGAATTGGTCTAGAAAAGAAGACGTCGAAGTTACGTGAAATCGATTGTTGAATTTATATATTTAAAAATTTAAAAAAAAAACAATGTTTAGCGTCACCAGGGGTCGCACCTTCAAGCTTATAAACTTATTGCCATTTGTGACGTCTACTGACTTCGTAGAGTTGTCAACCCAGTGTGACCTAGGAGAAATATGGACCTGTTCACACAAACAATAATTTGTGCAGAATCTTCATCGAGACGGCATTCGTGGTTCGAGAACATCTGAGTTACATCACACGCAGGAAAGCGTTTTGTGAAAAAAGGTTACCACAAGTAGGGCAGCTAGTCGAAAATTAAGAAAACGAAAATAGAAAAATCCGATGTATAGAGAAATGATATATCGTCGCTTGCTCTGAACCAAAATTAACAACTATTTTGGAAAAATGGCGAATGTGAAAAACTGCGGCGATATCCTATGCATTGTGTGCGTACACCGAGTCGCACATCTCGATCTTAGCTACAGTAATCTCAACTGAAAATTATTTTATCAATTATTGATCATTTCTTTTTATATAAAACAATTAACTTTGAATAATATACAAAAATAATTACTATTACACCTTTTCAACACAACAATATACGTAAAACCATAAATTCACAAAGAAAACACAGAAAAAAAAATTTAAAAAAAATAATTGATTAAATAATTTTCAGTTGAGATTACTGTATCTCGAGATGTGCGTGCTCGGTGTACGCACACAATGCAAGCCGCAGTTTTACACATTCGCCATTTTTCTACAATAAACGGATTCTCTGAATTAATGGAACGAGCGAATATCAATTTTATAAGAATTTTAACTGTATGACCCATAATCAAAAATTGCTGTGATTTGTTTAAATTGGTTTGGTTTAAAATAGTGCAACCACTGAGTGCAACACCCTGCGGCCATACACTAAAACTGACGACTGTTGTATTTTAAAAAATTTGTTCGTAAAAAATAATGATTCATAATCATATATACAATATGTTAAAAAGTACAAAAAAAGGTATTTCTACGTCAAAAGATTTATTTAAAATTTCAGTCACCTTCAAGATTACAAATTGACGAAACAGGTTTTTTTCTTAAGCGTCGAGAATGATGACGGCGGTGAAGAGAGAAAAGAGACATCTCGACGGTTGTCTGCGGCCTCAATTCTCGAAAATATTCAGTGTCTGCCCGAATGGCGCTTAATTAATGGATGGCGAATGGAAATCAGCGTTGCGATTGCAGATCGAAGCGCTCGCGAAGCGCAACGATCTGCATCGAAAATCGAATGATGAGGAGGTCAAAAAACGAACGCAGGTAATCGATTGATACATTTCGATTGATTGTTGACATGCCTAGGATATGGATCAACGGATCGTCAAACTGCGCACTCTGGTGTCATCGAACGCCAATGAAGCGGCGCTGTACTATTTGGAGTGCGTGTGTCAGGCGGATGAAACCGAGAGGATTCTGAATCGCGTCTCATCGCACAACAAAAAGAAAAAGCGCAAGAAGCACACGGAGAAAGTCGTCGGCGAGCGAATTTCGAATCCGACGACGAGCACGTCGGACGCGACGCAGATTATTGACGCGACGCGTCTCGAAGCGGAAAACACGGTGCCCGAGAGACCGCACTGGTGGGATCAGTTTCAGCTTCACAGGCGGGCTGATGTGTTCCGACGCGACGCGCAGAATGACCGAAGGGAGTTGTGGAGAACGCAGGTGGGAATATTCATCAAACTGAACATGTGACGGCTCGTTGCTTCAGAAAGATTTCTTCTTGACGTGCCTCGGATTCATGGTCGGCGTTGGACACACGATGCGATTCCCGGCGAAGGTCTACCAACACGGCGGCGGTGTGTTCTTTATCCCATACACTGCCTGCTTAATATTCTTCGGACTGCCCATCGTCTTCCTTCATCTTTCCATCGGCCAGTTCACCGGCCAGTCGGCGAACACCGCGTTCCAGAAGCTGATGCCAATCGGCGCGGGACTCGGCTGGGCGCTGGTGGTGATCGCGATACCAGTCGCCATCTATTACAATATAATTGTTGCATGGGCAATTCATTATTTCACAAATTCGACAATGGGTCTATTGCTAGGCACAAGTTTATCCTGGGAGTACTGCAAAGAAGGCAACGATTCGAGACAGACTCGGGCTGAAACATTACGATTTCAGAATGGCAACTCGACAGCAAATGCTGCAATTTGCATAATCTGCATTCATGTTTCACCGCGAATAATTCGATAACAGCACCAGAAGCATTCTTCCAGTGATCGGCCTAGAATCTAACAGCAATGATTGATATTATTTTCAGCTCCGAAGTCCTCTCATTGTCAGCGTTCGGCGATTTCACGTTGGGACCACTTCAATCGCATCTAGTCCTTTCGCTAGCAGCTGCTTGGTTTTTCGTTTTCCTTGGCGTATGCAAGGGTCTCGGATCGATCGGCTCGACGATGAACTTCACCGCAACGGTTCCGTATCTATTGGTAGGCGACCCTACACTCGAACAGAATCGCACACATTCATTCGACTGTTTCAGCTATCCATCCTCCTTCTACGCGGAATCAGCCTTCCCGGTGCCAATAAAGGCCTCTCATTCTTATTTTCGGTCGACAGCTCGAAACTATGGAAATGGCCGGTAGGCATTCGGCAATGTGTTCTCAGTGTTCATTCCTCGATTTGTCTAGATCTGGAAATCAGCCGCCGAGCAAGTGTTCTACGAGCTCGGAATCGACGCGGGACCACTGATATCGATGGCCGCGTTTTCGCGATTCCGCAACAATATTTATCGCGATTCGGTTCTTCTAGTCGTTCTGTAAGAATCGATGTCTAAATTAATATTTGTTTTTGTTTTCAATTCAAGCGACGCAATGACATCGACATTATGTGGAATGGTCATATTCTCATTCGTCGGATTCATCGCTTCCGAATCGAATAGCAATGTGGACGATGTTCTTAGTAATTCGTCATCGGGTCCTGAAACCCATTCGATAATTCAGAGCACGATCCACTGTATCTCTCATTCACCGTCTATCCGGGCGTCACTTCTTTCATGTACTGGGGAGGCCTCTGGGCAACGTTGTTCTTTGGGATGCTCGTGTTAGCTGCGCTAGACGCCGAGTTCGCGTGGTGAGACCCATTTCCAATTGTTTCCTTGATTAATCACAAATTAGGCTCGAGATGATTGCCTCGGCGTTTATGAATCATTTCTCATCGAAGAACCAGCGAGTCGAGAATCGTCTTCTCGCCTTCCTCTGCCTCTTCGGCTTCATTTTCGGCCTTCCGCTGTGCGCCCAAGGCGGCATTTTCGTGTTCCACGCCATTGAGAATCTCAACGCCAACTGGAACTCGTTCTCATTGGCATTGTTAACCGTGTTGATAGTATGCTATATATACGGTAATTGAGCCAACCATTCGCTAGATATGTGCAGTTTGCAATTCTTTCTCCAGGTATCGATAAGTATCTGGCTGATGTCTCCGGAATGCTTCGGGTCCCTCAAATCCCATTTTCAAAGGCGACGCGATTCAAGGTGATCTGCAATTTTGATTCGTCCATCAAAATCGAAATTCCAGGACAAAATCACGGCGATTTTCGGTCCCGGCGGTCTTTACATGAAATACTCGCTGAGTTTGATCTGCCCGATTGTGCTCTTCGCTCTCCTCGTGACATCCGCTCTTGGCTATCAGCGTGTCTCATTTGCCGATCGTCCGATCCCATTGGAGTATGAGTTCGTCGCGTGGATTGTCATGGTCGGCCCGCTTCTGACCGTTCCGATTGTGGCGTTCTGTCAAATTCGGCAGACGCGTCGAGAGGGAAAACTGTTGAAGTCGTTGTTCGACACTTCCGATTTCGGACAAGACGAGGCGTGTCCCGACGAAGCGGCGGCGATTCCGTTCGAGAATCTCGAATCGCTCGCCCATCGAAAACGACCTCCGACCATTTTCAGCCATCGAGAAAACACTTATATGGTAAGATCAACTGGTTCTCGATTCAGTACAATTCATACGGGGTACAGTATATCGACTCAAGAGGCCCGACGGTTCGCACAAGGGTCTTTCCATTCGCGCAATCGAATGTCGGATTCTCGCAGTCAATGCCTGATCCGTATGGTTGGACCAATGGAAGAATAAGGGATAAGGTAAGGATGATTGAAGGAAGACGCCAGCAAAAAGGAAAATCGGATTTTTCAGCTGAATGCTTCTAGTTATTCGCCAGAAAGCTCAATGAACTCATTCATGGCTTCGACGATCATGCAGAGGGTTTTATTTTTCAATAATCGAAGAATTGGGAGTTTGATTCGATTAAAAATTGCAGAAAATTTCCAATGATTTCAACGACGATGACAAGACAAAGCAGCTTCCCTTATTCGGATCACCTCCAGTCAATCCGCAAGATCGCATCAATGTGATCTCAAATAATTCAAGTGTACATCGAAAAACTCATTTCAAAAAAAAATCGCAATTTTAAGAGAACAAACTTCGAGAATAGCGGAAATGAGCCGAGAAAGATGCGGCAGAGTCCGACGGCTTCGGATCCTCCGATTCCGACGAATCCGCCGCCGCCGCCGCCGCGAATATCGCCATCGAAATCCGAGCCGCCGATTCAGCGATCAAACATCCCAGTATTCACACCACCACGTGCGAAATCGTCAAGCTCACAGGAGTCGTTGACATCCGAATCGAGCAGCTATGATTACGGGATTGACGGGCATCGGCCGACAGTGATTCGGCGATTCGCCAGCGAGGACGACTCGTTCACGAAAATGTCGACGGTGACGACGGGATCGATATCGATAACACCCGTCGACATGTCGAGACAGCGATCGCTAAGCTCGGTGGCGATATATGATCAAGATAAGGTTGACGATTCCACTTTCGACCCATTTGAAATCATTGGTGTTCAGCGCTCGTCGAGGAACCAGGTGCTATCGCAATTGAAGCGGCCGGCGCCAATCGACAAGCCGCCCAAATAATTGATGCGAGCTCATTAAAATAAAATGTGGTCGTCAATTCGAAAAAAAAAAACAATGCGGAATCGGCCGATACTCATCTCCGAACGCCTCTTTTTTTTGGTCGTGTTTGAAAATTTCTTTTTTGAGAAGATTTTTATCGGCAATCGCTCTTCCTGCGGTTTCTCGCCATTTCCCGAAATAGACGGCCTTTCTTTCAATGGTTTTTTTTTTTCACAGAAATTTTCCAAAAATTGTCCCCCCAAAAAAGTGGGCGGAGCCAATTTTGCTCTTTAAATAGATTCTATTCGAAATTGGCACTCAAAATTTTGAGTTGGTGACAATTTTCAACGAATTTCCTTTTTTTGCCAAATTTTCCCATGAAATTTCGAATTGAGAAATTTGAATAATCTAGATATAATTATTTTTTATTTATTATATTTTTTATTTATTTTCATATGATTATTTTTTCTATATTTTTTATCGACGCAAAAATGGCAAAATTGAGTATAATGACAGTTTTACTGTAATTTAGACAATATTTAAGATTTTAAAATTACAGTAATCCAACGAGTTTGATTTGCTAAAAATAGTTATTAAATTGTTTTAATATTAATTGCGATCGTGTCGAGACCAATTATTCAGCTTTTGAAGTTTACTTGAAATATTAGCAAAGACTCGCATGCGCCTTTAATTGAATTTTTGAAATCGCGACAATCCATTAAGAAAATTCAATTTTTCCATATACGGTCGTCAAATTTAGTTGATATTGATCAATTTTTTGGCCGTTCAATGTACTCTAAAATAAACTACAGTAATCAAAGGCGCATCCAAAAAAACGTTTGATTATTTGAATGTGTCGCATCACAAAATCGACGGTAGATCAATTATTCACGTTGCGAACACATTGAATTTCAATTAATCACTGATTCGATCGCAACAAACATCGGAGACTTTTTGGAACTGAATAACAAACGCGGGACAACATTCGATTAGTCGAATTATTTGAGACGCACTAAATTGAGGGCGATGTGTATTTGGAGTGTCGTACTGGTTGTGTTCTTGCCAACTCCCGTGGAATGTTTCAACCAATCCCAATCCCCGATTCGTCTCTGGTAACTCAACGACAAAATTCGGATTCAGAATCAACCTAATTCAATTGGAAAATCTACGGAAAATATTGTAAAATTGTCGGACCCGATTGATTTTTTGGGGGTATTTTCGGATCCGTTTTGATTTCAATTTTTTTCATTTCGAATCGAATCCGACAATTTTTCAATGTGATCCCTAGAATTTCCAATCGGATATGCTTGATTCCGGTGCCGAATTTTGTCGGATCCGAGATCGGATTTCGAATTACCAGAGGTTGTAATCGGGCCCATTAAAAATGTGTTCGAATTCAACATTTCATTGGAACGAATTTGATTCGATTGTGTATAAATTATCGAATTAGTTCGTGGGTTCTCAAGTGTTTTTTCCTCATTCACCGTCACGCCCACGCGTTTTCGAATTGGCCCGCCTTCTCCCCCAACCAAAAAAAAAAAAGAAACGCAAAGGGCAACACAAAATATCATTATTTTTGCTGCATGTGTTTATTTATTCCGCAATAAATCTCCAAGTACAATGTTCTTCGGGGGTTATCATTGTGTCAACCAATTTTTTTTTCTCGTCTCATCTTAATCTCCTTCTCCAACAACCCGCCAAATTCCAATATAACCGGTACCCGGGGGGAGGGGTATTCCGAAAATAAACCGAAACCATCGTTTAGATAAATGTTTAAAACAAACGAAGCATCTGCGGACAATTTTTTTTTTGGAAATTGCGTTGTTGCGCTGAAAATCGACGAATCTTCTCGTGACGAGACCTTCGTTTTTACACAAGCTTCAAATCACATATTTTGAGGTAAATTGGCTGGAAATTGATTCGATTTCGATTGTTACAAACGCGTTTTGAATGGGGTTCCTCAATTATTGGTAATTTTGTGTGTCTGTGACCACAAAAATGTAAATTTTCCGAGTGGTGTCAGCCGGCCGATGAACCCCTCTTCGAACATTCGCGTCGAGAACCCCTTCTTACAGTATCCTGCGGTGGAGGACGCCCCCCGTCCCCTTGAACCTTACATTTCAAATTTGATCCTCTCTCCACCCCAATATATCATATAGTGATGATTGTTGTATATAATACTAGAATGTAGCGCAATTAATTCCCGGTCGCTGTGTGGGGCTAACTTGCCAACGGATTTTCGAGAGCAGTCAGATTCCTAATGCCGCCACGCCCAAGACATTTACCTTCAAAAATTCACATTTTCAGTGTAATCATTGATAAGCTTCAAAATCCGGTCCTTCTGAATGCGAACGAGCGTTAAACTTCAGTCGTTGATCGCATAAATATCTGAAAAAAAATATATATATATATATATGATATGTGAGAATCGGTCTATTGAAGATCGAGAGAGGCGGATCGACGTTATTCAAACTCTCCGCTATTCTCACAATCATCGTCAGTCACTTCAGCCGTCGCCTATCGGCCCCTCCATTCTTCGCGTTTTCCATCGGTCGCCGCCGACGCTTTCGTCTTGATGATGCGACACCCGCAAACTTGTGATAACTTTTTCATTTTCACTTTTTTTTGTCACTCGTCGTCCTCATCTGTGTATACACACACACACAAACACAACGGGAACCGTTTTATGATCTCCCCCCTCCCCTCTCCCCCATATATTGTCAATGTTATTCTTTATTATCAATTTTTGAATATTTATTATTTGGCCATCATCAATATTTGCATTTATAGAATGGAAAAACACGATGTGCAGAATTTCGACAACGCCAACGACGAGGAATTGAGGTCGAAAATTGACGACGATGATGACGATGATGATGTGAATAAATTGATGTGTGGATTCGGAGCGTAAATATCAATTCAATGTTCTCGACCAACATTGTTTGAATGGTTTCAGATGCACACCGGGTTGGCTTCAAGGATTCCACAACGCCAAATGTTTGCTTCTCGTCTTGGGAATCTGCGCGTTCATTCAAGTAACAATCATCAGAAGCGTGTGTGTTGAGAAGAATTTTTGTCCAATTTCCAGAGCTTCGTGGTAAATGCCATATTCCCTGTTGGATTGTCGACACTCGAACGACGTTTCGACATGACGAGGTAGGCATTATTCAAAACCACCAACGCGTCCGCAGATGTGTTTCTTGAATCGCTGGCGAATCTTCGTTTCGCATCCATTATGAGTACCATCAATCACTGAACGGTTTTTGTGTGGTTTTGCGGCGAACGAACACAACATTTTTTTGTTGTTGAAAGAATGGCCGTTCGAGATTCGCATTAATTGTGTTCATTCGTCTTTTGCAGCACCCACACCGGCATCATTTCGAGTTGGTACGACTTCGCCGTCCTTCTCGTCGTCTTTCCAGTGTGCCATTGGGGAAACAATGGGCATAAGGGACGATGGATCGGATGGGGCGGCGTTGTGATGGCTCTCGGCTCGTTGATCTGCGCCCTTCCGCATTGGATGGTCGATCTATACCATCCAGAAACCTCGGCAGGACAGAATCAATCCGATTTTGGCCAGTGCACATTGCGCGACGATCAAACTTGCGTCGGAACTGCGCCATCAACCTATTGGAATCCATACTTCTGGATGTTCATATTGGGTCAAACCCTTCATGGAATCGGATCGACACCATTGTTCTCAATTGGAACCACCTATATGGACGAGAACGTCTCGCAGAAAGCCTCTCCAGTGTACCTCGCCATCCACGCCGTCTTAACATCGTTCGGGCCGGTGATCGGCGTCTTCGCCGGAGGCTTCCTTCTCAATCTCTATGACGATTTCGATCGAGTTGATGTGGTGCCGATGGATGGATCCGATCCAAGATGGGTTGGCGCTTGGTGGGTGGGATTCATCATCTCGTCGATATCGGCCCTCCTCATCGCTGTGCCGATACTGGCGTTCGCTCGAGAGCTGCCAGAGGCGAAGCGTCACCGAGCCAAAGACGTTAATCAGGTAGAAGCGAAATGCAAATGAGCAATTCGAAACGAGATCGATTTCAGTGTCACGCGGTGAATGGAGACGTGAACGCGAAAGCGCCGAAAGATCTCAAGAAGCTTCCATTATGTGTTCTAGTATTATTCGAACGCTTCTCGACAATTTCATTGTTTGATACAAAATTGCAGAAAATCCTCATAAATCCCACGTTCCTTGTATGCATTTTTGTAGGAATTTTCGAATCGATAATCATCAACGGTTTCGCCGCGTTTATGCCGAAAATTCTTGAAACCCTCCTCAGCACCAATCCGACGTTTGCCTCCTATTTGTCATGTGAGTGCGCGGAATTTTTGATTGACCAAATATATCTATTATAATGATTTTTGCATGTTTCAGCTGTTGTGATTTTCGCGGCAGCCACCGGTGTGATGGTCGGCGGCACGATTATTCGCCAACTCAAATTGCAGGTATGTCAAGTGTTTCCATTGGTCGATTCTCGTTCCTCTAATCCAATTAGTCATTAGAAACTAAAGGTCGATCGAGTTTGATTTTGCGTGTGTCTGTTTTTTTTTTCTTGTCAATTTTTCCGAGAAACTTAAATTCTGAAGGTTGGCGGAATGCTGAAAATGATCATCGTGTGCCATATGATTGCTCTCATCTTCACCACCGGCCTTCTCAGCCACTGCCCTCAGCGTGAATTCGTCGGCATCAATCTGGGATATGACGATTTGTAAACAAAATCGCTTAAAACAATAACGGCGAACTATTTTCAGGAGTATCGAGAAGACGCACGATTACCTTGTCTCGTCCGAATGCAACGCCGATTGCCATTGCAAACCGGCGTGGAATCCCGTGTGCGATCGTCAGAGCGGCCACATGTATTATTCGGCGTGTCACGCCGGCTGCACATCGATGTCGAAAGTGAACGGCTCGCAGGAATGGGCGGGATGCGCGTGTCTCACGAGCAACGCCACATTCCACAATCTTTTGCATCCGGGTGTCGCCGAGTCCGACGAGAAGCTCTATCAAGGCTATTGCAATCACGACTGCGGCTATCGCGCATACATTTTGATTCTGACATTGTTCATCACCGTTGTCGCCAGCTTCGCCGCAGGAATCCCAACTCAACAGGTTTCTATAACAAAATTAATAAAAATAAAAATGCAATTGGGACTTATAACATTTTCCATCTACGGACAGTTACCGCAATATATATTTTCTTTTCTTGTTCAGATCATGCTGCGAGTTGTTCCATTTGACCAGCGTACATTGGCATTGGGAATCAATTGGACATTCGTCCGACTTTTAGGCATTCAATTTCCTCGAATCTCGATCTCAATGTCTGATTTAGGCTTCATCCCTGGCGGAATTCTGTTCGGAGTCATCATTGACACCGCGTGTCTCGAATGGGGACAATCATGCGGAAAATCGACTAGTTGCTTGGTGTATGATCCGTTCAAACTTAGTTGGACAATCACCGGATTAGGTAATTAATTAATTAATCGATCAAAAATTTCCTTATTTTTCTAAATGTTCCCAATTTTGTTTTCAGCAATCGTGTGCAAATTGCTTTCAATTCTCGCAACAATGATCGGCTACATGACGTACCAGCCATCTGATTTGGATAATGGAGGTAATCATTTTAAAAACAGGTCCCATTTTCAAAATTATTGCGTCGGCCACATGGCGACAAAAACGTGTTTTCTGATCGTTTGTCTGGAATCGTTGGCGGCCTGAAAATGATTTCCTTTTTTTTTCAAAACGCCACCCCTCATGGCGACGGGGACTGATAAGAATGCGATCGTACTACGAAAAGTGACGCGCCTATCACAAACAGATGAGATGCTACACGAAATTTTTCGAATCAATTTTTTTTTTCGCAAGTTCAACTCGTTAAAGTCTTCCATAAAAGGCGAAAAACAACAAAATTTCGGCCGTTTTACGAGTATCGTTTGCCTGAACAACAGTGGAACGCTGATACAAATAAAATGAGTAATAAAATCCAAATTAGCTATTTAAAAAAATTACACCTCGTGCACCAAAAATCGGTATAAAAATTGTTCGAAATTGATAGGAAAGGGCGCGTATCGACGAAAAAAGAGGGTGTGCGAACCTGCCGAATCGGCGAGTCCGCTTCTCGCCATCAACAATTGAGCGAGGTTTGTCATGGTCCGTCCGCGTCGTTCTTAACCAAGTTCTCGTCCTGGCTGGGCCCTGACAAATGCTTTTAACTCGATATTAATTAGGATCATTTCAATCCGAGGCAATTTCCGAAAATCAAACTTTCAGTGTCGATTCATACAATGGACAGCCAATGTCATACGGCTCTCCATCTCGTCGTCAACGATGATCGTTTCAACGAAGCGGCAGTCATAAATGCAAGCTACAATCATATGTAATCGACAAGAAACGCCTCAATTTCAATGTGCACGGGTCTCGCCACATTTTTTAAATTATTCCCATTTCAGGTTGTCTTGTGCTTTATCGTTTTTTTTATGTATATATATATAATCAATAATAACGTTAGTTCAAACTTTGACAACTTCGAAGTTGGTGAATTCAGCGACACGAGTGGCTCCGCTCTTTGCATTGATTCTCGCTCTGATGAAAGTTCCCGATGCTCCGCGAGCCAACGACGAAGGATTCACAAACGCGGTGCTGCCGACTGTCTTGACGGTTGGCGCGAGAACGCACGGGGCCATGACGATGTGAGGCGCTGAAGAAATCGAGGCAACCTCGAGAAGTTTCTCCAACGATGACGGAATTTCGGACGGCTCCAATGGATACAAGCATTTTTGTCTGAAAATGAGAAATGTTGATTTGAAAAAAAAACAAACAATGAAGAAAGCACTTGAGGAGATGACTGTAGAGTCGAGCAATTCGATCGACGTTTTCCTGATTTGCCGATCGATGATATTCATGTTTGCTGAGATGCGTGACTATCTGAAAACTCAAATGTTGATGTCTGTGAGCTGCAAGTTCAATTTCAGAATTGAAGAGAAATGAAACTCGCCTCGCTGCTGGTTATCGCGATCTCCAGTTGACCGTCACACATTCTCACAATGCATGGATCAGCAACAAAATGGAATTTCTAAAAACAATCGCTTTCAAACCTTGCGAACCTCTCAATGAAAATTACGTTTTGAATTTTCGGATTCGCTGAAAAATCGAATGCGCTCGCTGGAAAGACTGGAATGATTGTGGCATCTCTGACAGAAGATGGTTGAATGATTATTTGAGTTTTCGTACTAAATATATCCATTATATTAGGAATATTTCATTTTGCAATTCTTACTTATCTAATTTTCTAGCCATTTTTATGAAAAGCTGTTCTAATAATGTATCGTAGGTGATTGTGAATTCATTTTTTGTAAGAAAATTGTTCTTTTTATCAATAAATGGACCAGTCTAAACAGGACATTTCGATTATCAGTTTTCTATTGAAAATATTACCAAAATCAAAAGATTCGGCTGATGCTCAACGACTTGCTCAAGAAGTTCACAAAGTTGTTCGTATCCGCAATTGTCTGGCGACGTGAATGGTCCCGACGCGAACCAGACATCAGCACAAATCTGAGATGTGAACGGCTTGGGAGGTGGCGTCATCGGGGCATCGAAAATCCGATCCACAATCAGTTTTTCGCCGGTTTCGTTTATTCCGGATAACGCGACGATTTGTCCGGGGAACATTGAAACATCGTCAGACAGTCGCGACAAATCCAAACGGATCATTGATCCATCGTCATCATCTAAATAAGTCGATTATTGAGCGAAATGGAGAAATTAGAAACAAACCGATCATCAATGAAACATTGTTCTCGCCAAATCTCTCATTATCCTTCGCTTCATCGTCATGAAAGATTTGACCATAAGTGAACACGGATTCCTAAATCTTCAACGTTTGAATATTGATTCTACAATGTGGAAAACAAACTAGACGTTCGACTATAACATTTAAAAATAAATTCTTACCACGGCTGGTGCTAGAGGATTTCCCCAATCCGTAATCTCTGGATAGGCTTCTCGATAACTCTTCGCAATTTCGCCAAATCGCCGGAATTTCGCTTTAATTTTTCAGTTAATACAAAAAAACAATAATTGTACAATTGATCTACCTTCAATAGCTAATGAAGCTTTATCTCCTCCATACATGTCACGAACAGCTTTCGAAACCACTTCAATCTTTCCGATTGACGTCATGGAAGCTCCCTGATCTCTTTCGGTATACTTTGCGCCTTTAAATTCTGTCGTAACTTTTCCAATGTCTTTCCGATTAAAAAATCCATTGTTCGGTATCGAATTGCTAAATACTTGTATTTTTTTAAATTTAGCTTTAAACATATTTTACTCGAATGGAGCAAATCTCATGTATTTTTCAGCTTCTATCACTTCGGTTTTCTCACTTGCCGTAGAACCTTCAACTTCTTCCACAAATGATTTTCCCAACGTAGCCATCGTCCGATCAGCGAGAGGCTTCCGTCTTTAAAAATAACGACAATAACTTCTCGAAAAAAATGTCAAATTCACGTACACATTCGTCCTTTTCGCAGATCTCGATAATTCGACTTCTCTTTGCTGCTTTTGTTCCAGTTTCTAAATATTTTCACAAAATTATTCCTATTAAAATTTCTGTAATTACTTTCTCCAAATTCAAAATAACGTTCATAGTAACCAGTTTTTTGCCTTCATTTTGTAAAATCGACACAATTTCGTCGACAATATCATCAACACTCTGTTTATAGACGCGACAAATTTCGTCTACTGCAATTGAAAATTGTTTGAGAGTTAAAAAAATGTTGAAATCTCAAAATTACGTTTTTCGACGAAAACTTCATTGTCCGGGCATGAATAGTCGAAGGCTTCCATACATTCATTCATATATTCCAAATCGAATTCGCCAGCCATCTTATCTTTAAAAAAATTGTTAAATTCTATTGAGAAGAAATAATAAAATATGGGACCATAAATCAGAAAAACTAATTTTAAAATCGCATTATTCCCGCTTTACCATCATGTACAATAGAGCGTATATGCGCTACTCGTATCATCGAAATCGAATCACTGGTTCATTTTTAAGGCAGAATTTCTAGAACATAATTGGATAAGTGATTCGCGAATGGAATATCACGTGTTTAATCTATATTATAATAGAATGTTTAAAGTTAATTACTTGTTTCAATTAACTTTAATTTAAAAGTAAACATAATAAAAAAAGCCGACATATTGTCCGCAGCAGATAACCTCTTTATCTCTCTCGTTTGAAAAAGAATCAATTGGACTAAATACGCAATCATATTACTACAAAAATAAAATTGATATTATTTATTGGAAATAAATGCATATTTAACCGTTCAACATCATTGGGCAAAGGCAAAAATTTGAATAATTGAAAGGCAACATAACCAGGAAAGGCAATTATAGGCGGGCTTTGGTGTCAGATATTCAATCATTTTTTCGATAACAATTTGTAAAGAGAAAATTTTAAAAAAAAGCAAATGAGCAAGAATTGCACCGTAACCGGCGATAATAAATGTAATGAATGAAAAAAAAGAAACAATATGTTGAGAGAAAATACGCGTATCTAATGGGGGCTATGGACACGTAGAATATTAGAAAAAAGTTGATTAGTTCATTTTTTTAGTATTTATTGACTGTTGTCGATGTTTTCGTCTTCACCATTTCTGTTTTGAATCGTTCAGCTTCACCGTTCGTGAATGGCTCGAAATCATGCGATTTGGTGACTCTTGTGTGCACATCGCCCACTTCATGCTCAATGTCGGATTGACTGATCTCTTGCTCCTGCAAAAAAACCCATTCTCATTCAGAATCTCTCGTTTAATCTCAATACCGATGTGTACTCCTCCATTTCGCGATTCTGCGAACTCGACGATGACATTTGCCCGAAGCGATGCGCTTCTGATGGTCCGCGAGCACGCCCAATCGAGAACTCGGCGATACTCTCGCCACGTTCCCGCTCGTCGCCGTGCCGAATTGTCGCGTAGCCCGAATTCACGAATGATGACGATTTGGCTTGCGCGGCCGATGCTGACGCACTCGATGACGCATGCTCGTAGCTGGTGGACTCAGCGCCGGCGTAGGATGATCCGCTCATCTGCTGCTGGAATCCGCTAGCGCCTCCATGGACGACTGTTCGATCTCCTGGATGAATCAATGTCTCCGATGTGGTAACCACAGTGTTTCCTTCAGCATCAGTTGTCTTCGTCGTCTTGATTTCCTTGGTTGTGACATCGGTGGTAACCTGAATCATGACATCATTAGAAGCAAGAGCCCAATTAAACCATACCTTTCTCTCAATCTCTTCCTTGATCGTGTATTCCGACGATGCTTCCGACATGCTATCATACGAATCATGTCCTCCTCCGTGCGCTCCACCGGCCAGATGTGCGCGTGGAATTCTGACTCCTCCTTCATCAAGATATTGATCAAGTCTGGCAACTTCTCTCGATTCGACAGCATGCGCAACTCCGCCGCTCTTCAGCTTCGCTCTCGGGATTCCAATATCCGGATAGTATTCGTTTCCAGCAGCACTCATCGCTGAAAACTCGGCACCACTTTCCGATGACGACGATCCTTCGAGTGTTGACCATGGCCAAGCGCCGCCTCGTCGATAACCGAACGCGTTGGCTCCGGCCAATCCTCGTCCTTTGAAGCAATGACATTTGGTACAGAAGTAGAGAAGGCAGCAGAGGGTGAGGAGAAGGAAGAGCAATGCCAGCAGGATGAGAAGCACGAGGGAGGCGTTGGAAGGCGCCACCTGGCAAGCTGATCCGCTCCATCCGTCAGTGCACACGCAAGTGATGTTATTCGTAGCCGCATTGTGCACACAATCACCATGAGCATTACAAAGATCGCAAAGAAGCGCTCCGCAGACTCGTCCAGGTTCATCCGGATTTCCATCAATGTATCCATCGGGACACTGGCACGTGTAACCAACTGCGCGATCGATGCAATGAGCAACTCCCGAGCAATTGTTGAGCCCAAGGGCGCATTCATCAACATCTCTGACATGCATACAAAGCGTGTCATCGCCGAGTCCGAGCATTGTTCGTTTCTCCGATTTGCGGATGTCCATGAAGCCAGGATCGCACTTGCATTCCGCTTGCTGCTCCATGTTCTTGCATGTGGTGTTCGTTGGACAGAAGTTGACGTCGCTACAATAGTCAAGAACACACATGGATCCCGGAACTGATCCGGCCGGCGACGCGTCATAGTACGATGGGAGGCATTCGCATTTGTAGAGATGCTCGAGATCAATGCATCTCGCATTCTCACTGCACTCGTTATCTTCTTTTCGTTCGCATTCATTGAATCCGTGCACAGGCAAACACTTCCTTCCTGGCTGCAATGGGTTCATGTCTCTGTATCCAGGTCCGCATTCGCATTTATAGTTGTATTTCGATGTCTCGATACACTTTCCATGCGGATCGCAGTCGTTCTTGAAGCAAGGTTTGAACGGATTTGGTTGCGTCGGGTTCAAGTAGAGATCCGATTCTCCAACTTCATTGTTGTTCTCGTCGGAGATGTACTTGACAAGCTGATAGTAGGCATCGGACGGAACTCGGACCATTCCCTTACGGAAATGGACAGTGGTGTTGAACAAGAGTCCAGTGTCGTAGGAAGCGTTCAATAGCACAGGATTCATGATATCATTGACCTCAGCGGTGACGAACGCATTCTTCAATTCAGTATGTGGATAGCATCCCTCGATTCCCTTCTCCAATCTAGTCGAATAAGTCTTGTAAGCCGGTGTCTGTGGATTATCGAACGATTCACTGTAGACAATCGGCTTCTCCTTATCGCGAACCACCCAAAGTGGCACATTCCAGCTCTCAACAACTCGGCAAACGTCCGAAGATGAGGCGCGTTTCATTCCATCCGGACATCCACAAATGCTTCCGGCAATACATACTTCACCGAGGGCTTCTTTGCACTTCATTCCACCGCAATCGCCCCATTCTTCTTGTTGTTTGCACGGATTCAGAAGCTCGGTATCGGAAGCGACGCGAAGCGATCCTCCACCAATCGCGCCATTCGTTCGATCCAAAGACGACTGCATCTGTTTCCAGAGTTCGCACTCATCAATCGGCCGATTCGGGCTCTTCGTTGTTTGCACCTCGTACTTGAACAACAGTCCTTGATCCCAAGAGCTGTTGACAGTCTTCGGATGAGTGATGTAGTCGACCTTGGTGTTGACGTATCTCGGAGCGAACGATGTTCCGCCGAACGTTCTTGCCATGTTCTTCTGGAAAAGCTCGACGATCTCCACATACGGCGCGTTCTTGTTGGATCCATATTCACTAGAATACATCAATGGCCGTTGATCTCTCGTGACAACACGAATCTGGAATGGTGTCTCATCGACTGGTTGGCATTTGCCAGTTGTCGACGATCTTCCTTCTCCAGGCCGACAGCCGCAGTATTCTCCGCTGATGCAAACCTCGCCGCGTGAGATCAGACAATGATCTCTTCCGCACAGCAATCCGTCAACCGGCTGATGTTGAACTGTCGTGACCTCGACACGCTCAATCTTCGGCTCCATCTGGAACTCAATGCAAACTCGTCCGGGCTCCAACGGATTCGGCGATTGATCGTAGAAGCCATGACGGCAGACACAAGTGTAGCCATTGTCAAGATCGCGGCATTCGGCATTACGATCGCAGTTGTTCATATTTGGATTGAGACACTCATTGAGTCGGCAAATGCGTCCTGGTTGTCCAGGGGGTCCTTCGTCTCGGAACGGCGATTTGCAAGCGCATTCGTACCCGCCGGGTGTATCGCGGCACACCGCATTCTTGTCGCAATCGTTGAGATTCGCTGACTCGCACTCGTTGATCACTGAAATTTGAAAATCACAACTTCCCTCTACGAAGTGCAGAAGCTTACTAAATGAGCAGCGATGTCCTGGATGAGTCGGATCATCGTCATGATAACCTTGTCGGCATCGACATTCGTATCCATTCTCCTTATCAATGCAATCAGCAAATGCAGAGCAGCTGTTTAGAGATGGATTCGCACATTCGTTGATGCGTTGGACACCTGAGAATTAGATTGTGAGATGAGATAGCGCATTTTAAGATGCTTACATAATCTTCCAGGCTTTCTTGGATCCGGAGACTGGTCTTTAGTGGTGATGGGACAACGGCATGTGTAACCATTCGGCAGATCCTGGCACGTTGCCAACGAGTGGCAGTCATTCAGAGATCGATCGAGGCATTCGTTGACCTTTTCACGGCAAAGCCTTCCAGGCCTACGGAGTGGATCCGGCGATTCATCAATGTAACCATCGCGGCACATACACGTGTACTTTTCGGGACCATCGACTTCGCTGCAGATGGCGGCTGCGTGACAATCATTCTGTCTGAAATATGTTATTTTATAATCCAATATAAAAAGTGATAAGTACGTTGGATCAAGGCACACCGGCTCGGTGAGCACACAAAGCCGTCCGGGCTTGTTTCTCGGATCTGGACTCTTGTCGGCATAACCAGCGAGACATTCGCAGGTGTATGATTGGGCACCGGTGGCTCGGCATGTTCCAGCTGGATGGCAGTCGTTGCGCTCAGGATCCTGGCATGGATGGCGCGGCGGCGGAGTTGGTGGCGGAATCGGCTCACAAACCCTTCCGCGTTGATTCGAGTCCGGAGAGCGATCGATGAATCCCCGCTTGCATTCACATCGGTATCCTCTTGGCTCATCGTAACAGATTGCATTTCTCGAGCAGGTGTTGAGTGTCGGATCGCGACACGCGTTGTTGCGAACACACACGCGACCCTTCTGCCCGCTAGGCGACTGATCAACGTATCCTTGAATGCATGTACACTGGTATCTCATTCCACCGAGTGGCTCGCAAACCGCGGCCGATGAGCAATCATGATTCGATGGGCAGACTTCCGGAGCAGAGCAGACGCGGCCCGGCTGAGAAGCCATGTTCGGCGAACGATCGACGTATCCGTCTTTGCATTCGCAAGTGTATCCTTCTTCCAAATCTCGGCAGTCGGCCTGGGCACTGCATGTGTGTCTTCCTTCCAAACATTCGTTGACAAGCTTCACACAGACTCTTCCAGGACGGCTGAGTTTGTTCGGCGAGCGATCAAGATATCCCGATGGGCATTCGCACGTGAACGATTGTTCGTTATCGCGACAGATCGCGTTCGGATCGCAATCATGAGCACCAGTCTCGCATTCATTGATGACTGCAAAACAATGATCTTGAGAAATTTCAGATTTCACGGGACCACTTACACATAAGGCAGACTCTTCCAGGGAACGACGGACTTGGCGAGATATCCTTGGAGTTGACTGGACATTGACATTCATACGAATCCATTGTGTCCTTGCAGCGAGCATTCTTGTCGCAATCATTGAGTCTTGGATTTGCGCACTCATTGACAAGCTGTCGACATTGACGGCCCTTGAGGGTTGGTGATGGCGAGACATCGATGAATCCTTCCTTGCATTCACACCGATATCCTTCCTCTTCATCGAAGCAGCGAGCATTGCGATCGCACATGTTCAACGATGGCTGCCCACATTCATTGATCATCTGCTTGCAAATTCTTCCGGGTCTTCCATGCGAGTGATCCATGAATCCTTGATGACACTTGCATTCGTAGCCTTCCTCCAAATCGATGCATCTTGCATTCTGATGGCAATCGTTGAGATGCGGAAATTGGCACTCATTCACAACTGTAATCAAATAATTGAAAGCGTGAACTGATTCTCATAAAACTTACGTGGTTTGCACATTCGCCCTGGTCTAGAACGATCACCGACATCCTTGAATCCATCGCGACATCTACACGTGTATCCCTGGACCTGATCGATGCATTCGGCGGCCGTATGACAATCGTTGAGCTGAGCGAACAGGCACTCATTGATGACCGTACATGCTCCCGTCGAGTCTCGCTGGTAGTTGATCGGGCATGAGCATTTCGGCTCGCCACCAATAAGGCGGCAAACCTCGTTGAGATGCACCTTGCACTGATTTCCGCCATCGAGACGGCACTCGGGTGGCGGCGGTGTTGGTCGAGGCTGGCAAACTCGTCCCGGATGGCTGGCGCGGTGTGGCGACATGTCGAGAAAGTCTAGACGGCACTGACAAGTGTAGCCTTGCGGCAGATCTTGGCAAATCGCATCTCGATGGCAATCGTGTTTTCCGGTGCGGCATTCGTCGACAAGAGCCGGCCTGCAGATGCGTCCAGGTCGTCGATGTTTATCAGGAGACTCATCATCGAAATCGTCGCGACACTTGCATTTGTATGAATCTGGCGTGTCAACGCAATCGGCATTCGGCGAGCAATCATGCCTGTTCGAGGCGCATTCATTGATTCCTATAATCGAAATTTATTAGAAATAGATTCAGGTAGGCGTTCTTACTGAGCAAGCAGCGTCGTCCAGGTCGGTTGACAGTATCTGGAGACAAGTCGATGTGAGTCTGTGGACACGCGCAGATGTAACTGTCCTCAGTGTCTGTGCAGATCGCATCAGGACTACAGTCATTCTGTCCGGTCTCGCACTCATTCAACAATCTCTTGCACTTTCTTCCCGGCCGATTGACTCGGTCGAACGAGACGTCGAGGTAGTTCATGGCACAACGGCAAGTGAACGCGTCTGGAGTATCCTCGCAGATTCCTCCATCTCTTGCGCAATCATCGATTTCCAATGCGCACTCATTTTGCACTAAAATCCCAATCATATTCACAACGTTTCAGAATCATCAAAAATCTTACATGGCTTGCAAAGTCTTCCAGGCTTCGTCTGAATCATTGGCGAAATATCCAAGAACCCTTGTCGACATCGACACATGTAGCCATCATCGGTATCCGTGCAAATTGCACGATCCGGCGAGTCACAGTCGTTCAATGTCGGATTGTCGCATTCTGGGATGACTGGAATGCAAAGTCTGCCAGGTCTTGAAGGCGATGGGGATTTGTCCTTGAATCCTGGCGGGCAAGCGCACGAATAGTCATCATCGCCAATCTGAATGCATCTCGCGTTTCGATCGCAATCATTCTTTCCAATCGTGCATTTGTCGTTCGTCTTGACTTTTTCGCACGTTCTTCCAGGATTCCTGAATTCATCTTGATCGACATATCCCGGCTTGCAAATGCACGAATAACTCTGAAAATGTAAAAACTTGACAATTGTGAGAACCTTGCAATAGTCACCTCAATCGTATCAATACAGTGCGCGTTTCTCGAGCACGTGTTCAAGTGCGCGAATTGGCATTCATTGACGAGCTCCTTGCAAACTCTTCCCGGGAACGTTTGCGGGTTCGGCGAGTAGTCGACGAAACCGGTCTTGCAGCGACACACGTATCCGTTCTCAGTGTCGGTGCACAACGCGTTCGGCGAGCATTGATGAGTTCCATCGAGACATTCGTTTTGCTCAGCGATGCACACTCTTCCTGGTTTCGCGATCGGATTCGGCGAATGATCAATGAATCCTGATGGACAAGCGCAGATGTAGCTCTCATCAGTGTCAATGCAACGAGCCGATCGATCACAATCATGCTCACCAGTCAGACATTCGTTCTTCACTAAAAACCCTCTAATGAACCTCTAAATATTATATATCAACAACTTACAGCAAATCTGGGTGATCGGGTGTCTCTTCTCATTTCTGGCGCACTGACATGTGTAGATGTTACCATGCGGCAGACAGTGCTCACGTTTGCGGACGTCGCAGGAGCTATCATCGTTTGGATTGCACGATCCTGGATAGGTGCACTGTCCGGAGCGGCTTCTCTCAAATCCTGGCAGACATTGACAGTACCAAGCAGATCCATCGTTGACGCAATGCTCATTCGTCGAGCACCGAACTCCGCCATTATGACAGTCGGCATCGTGTTGCGGAGCAATATGGACTTCTTTGATCGACACTGACAAATGTTGAATTTAAATTTATGACTCTTTATGTCAATACACTTACCACAGAAGCCACTTCTGTAATCTCTGTTGTATCCATCTGGACATGTGCATCGGTAGTTCTGGTATTCCGTGATCTGACATTCTTCAGGGAATATGCAGGAGGTAATGAGTTGAGGATTGCAGAGATCACCTCCGCACACTCTTGTGTGCGGATGTCTTGTGAATCCTTCGGGGCACACGCATCTCGCTCTTCCATTCTCAACAGCACAATGCTCGTTGAGTGTACGATCGCATCCCGTCTGAGTTCTCGGATTGCAAACACCATCAGGAGCAGTCTCTTGCTTGATTGGTGATGGACAAGCCGCCTTCTGGATCATCGATCGAAGTCGAGTATCAAGATCCTTGAACTTGTCAACATAGAACCAACGGTTTGGTGATCCAGCAATTGATTCAAGCTCACTGGCAAGAACGTGATCGGTGACTCCAATCGCGAATGTGTTGATGTTCAGTTTTCTCGCGGCTTCTGCAGGTCCAGTAACATTATCCTGTGATCGTCCATCGGTCAGGACAATCGTAACTCTGGCGATGTCGTTGTTCTGCGGTCGTGCTCCACGACGCTCGCTGAATCCTTCCTGCACCATATGCTGAATTGCAGCGCCAGTTCGCGTGAGTCCAGTAAGGTATTGCGTCTCAGTGATTCCTCGGAGTAGAGAAGCTTTTGTCGTGTACTGGTCCATGTCAAACTCATGTCGAATCTGATCAGAGTACTGGATGAGCGCAACTCTCGTCTTGTCGCGTCCAATTTCGAAAAGCTCAACAAACTCGCGAACGAATCGCAGAACCTCATTCTTGAACACATAGGATCCAATGGATCCGGAGCCATCAATCAAGAACACCAAGTCAGTCTTCTGTTTTGGGCATGTGGTTTGAACAGTGCACACTCTTCCTGGCGGAAGGTTGGCGTTCGATGAGACATCAATGAATCCAGCATAGCACTGGCAAGTATACCCATCCGGCTGATCAATACAATCCGCATTTTCATCGCAAGTGTTCAACGATTTATCGGCACATTCGTTGCTAACTATAAATTAATGCATAATTTAAAGGGTCACGCTATAAATCATACACCTACCGCTTGTGCATTTTCTTCCGGGCGGCTTTCCGTATCTGCTGCTCACATCCATGTATCCATCCAAACACTGACACGCGTATCCATTAGTTGCGTCAATGCATTTCGCATATGGCGAGCACTCATTGTCAGCAGTTGCACACTCATTAATCACTGCAAATTTTCAGAATTGAAATACAGAACAATCGATTCTTAAATCGATACATTCTTTGCACTTTCTTCCTGGTTTGTTGTCGAGATCATCAGAGAGATCAATGAATCCAGGACGACATTGGCAAGTGTAAGAGTCGAAACGATTCAAGCAGATCGCATTGCGATCGCAGTCATTCTTCTTCGAGCACGCTGAATAAACCCGACAGCTTCCGTCGGTGTAACGGAACGCATTGTCGGCACAATCGCACGAATACTGCCCGCGCGAGTTGCGATCCGTGCAAACCTCATTCGGCCCACATTTCGGATGTCTCGGATCGCATGCATCCACAGAGAATGATGATTCTTGAAGAGTGGTGCTTATCTTTTCGACAGGTTTCGTGCAAATTCGTCCCGGATAATGGGTTGCATTCGGAGAAGTGTCGACATAACCAGGACGGCAACTACACAAATATCCCTCTTTGGCGTCTTCGCAGAACGCGTTCTGCGAACAATCATTGAGACTTCTCGACGAGCATTCATTGATGGCTTCGATGCAACGACGTCCGGGAAGTTTGTTGAACGACGCGGAGACGTCGGCGTATCCCGGCCGGCATTGGCACGTGTAGGCGTCATCAGTATCCACACAAATCGCATTCTCCGAGCAATCGACATTGTATTTTTCCTTGTTGCTGCATTCGTTGACGCGCGCGCGACAAATTCGTCCTGGTTGGCCTGGAGGCGAAATATCAGCGAATCCACTCCGGCATTGGCAAGTGTATCCTTCAGCCTGAATTTGAATCAAGATTATCACAAAACGCTTCAAACGCATTCTTACCAAATCGATGCATTCCGCGTTCTTTCCGCATGTGTTCAATTTCGGATGCTGACACTCATTGATCACCACACATCTTCCATCAGGAAGGCGCGAGTATCCACTGGCGCATCGGCACTTGTACGTGTTGTTCACGAACAAGCACACTTCTCTCTTTCTCGTGTCGCAACTCATCGGATCCGAAACGTCGCACTCTGGCGGATCAGGCACCACCGCCGGCACGCAAATCTTTCCAGGCTTCTTGAAAGCATCCGGACTCTCATCACGGTAATTGTCGAAGCAACGACACGTGAATCCGTCAGCCGTGTCAATGCAGGACGCATGCGGCGAACAATCGTGTTTGCCCTCGGCGCACTCATTGACGACAGCACGGCAGACTCTTCCAGACGGTCGTCCATGTTGTCGAGACACATCGACATATCCGCTAACACACTGGCACATTGGTCCGATCGGCGTCTCGCGGCATTCAGCTTCAGCGGCACAATCGACATTCGAGCACATATCCGCTGAAAAACAAAACATTTTAGAATCGCGTGTAGAAACATTCCAGCTTTCCCCCTTTTCCAGTTATTCAATCATTTTCTCCTTCAGATGTTGACACTTCAGGATTAATAACCGTATGGATAACACAACGGGCAAAGAAGAAAAAAAAAACGCGAACGAATTTCCAACAATTGCCCTCTCTCTTAGCCTCATCGACTTCTTCTCGTTTCAAGTGTTCATCCGTTGTATAATTACATGTATTCGTTCGTTTTCATGTCGTTGTCGCCACGTCGTTTTTTTTTTTTTGCGTGTGCGCGGCATTTCGCTTTTGGTGCCTTGTTCTTTTTGCGTCGCAACTGGATGAATGGACTCGTTTATTATCATCATCATCAAGCGTCCCGACGACACATCAAATGTTACTTTGGGCGTTGGTTTTTGCGAAGCCTTCGCATGGACGCCAGAAAACCGACGGGCACGGCTGCGGTGATTAAATGACCTCGATTTGTGTTCATCGGACATTAGGGTCATGACAGGTTGTCACTTCAAGTGCAACAAGTAATTTGTCGGAATAAAAAAAAAAGCATTGCACAGCGGGTGGTTGGCGATCTTTCTGGGTCGGACAGGTGCGTGATACCTTATTTGGCTGATTTCGACGAGTCCTTGATGTCACAAGACCGATACGAATTCACATTTTCAAATTTCAATGTTGGAGCATTGATTAGCCATTGGAAGGCTGAATCCCTACGAAATCGATAGCCCTCGTCAAATTGCCACCACAAAAAAATGAAGTATTATTCGTGGTTGGACTGAATATTTAAGTCGCAATCGACCGGTTCGCCGTCCCAACGCCGAAACTAATCCCTCGCTCCGGTCGCAAAAAAGCTTTTCATAGTTACTCAAGCAAGCATGTTCTCGCTAACCGAATTTCACGCACCTTTTTTACACACACGTCCCGGACTTCGGAGCGGATCGACGGAGGCGTCGTGCCATCCATTGCGGCATTTGCACGTGTACCCATCGCTGGTGTCGATGCAGTCGGCGTGCGGATCGCACGTATGACGGCCGAGCGAGCATTCATCGACAGCTGAAAATAATTGATTAAAGCATTTGCTAGAAGGTATATCGGTCAAATCCATGACATCCGTTTACAAATTTTACAACGAATTCGTTCAGATTTCGTGTTCCGATAATAATTCGTCGAATTTCGATTCCCCCCCCCCTCATTTTTTTCCTCCGTTCTTGCGGTTCGACACCGACGGACGCCTGGTTTTAACGGGGGGTTTCGCTTTTGCCCCGTTCATTTATTATTGCGACACAAACAAATTCGCAATATGCGCGTCAACTGCCGACACGAGACCAGAAAAAAAAGGGGCTCAAGGTGAATTGGCCAGGTTTCGGAAATCAAGAAAGCGCGCGCCGAGAAGAAGTGGCGCGCGATCCTCGAGAAGGTCAAATCGATTGATTGAAACGTATTATGTAATACATCGAAATGCCATTTATTATATAAAATGGCTAATTAATGTTCGTTCTATTGATCCGCCCATGATTCATTACTCGAGACCCGGCGACCTTTCAGCCGATTCCGACGACGACATTCGAATCGTATTCAAAAATTTATTTTGCCAAAAATTCAATTCTCAAACCAAAACCTATTTGATGCTAATGGGATTCGACATCAATTGCCTAATCAGAATTGGATTATTTTGAATTTTTTTCGCGAAATGAGCGAGAAAATTTCAGCGGCAGGCCCAAAAAAATGGTCAAAAAGCGCGCAATCTTAACCTTCATTGAAGCATTAACGATTCGGTTGAATGATTCATGTCACACCTTGTTCTATATGCCTTTGAAAATCGGAATGCAGATGATTTGAATATAATTTCGAGATTTTCAAGGAAATCGAAGAAGATTTTACGATAGGGAATGACTTTGTGAACATAGAAAAATTAAAGATTGTGTCAGCCAGCTTGTGAAGCATCCTTGGGAAGGATCAATCGTTTCGTTATTCGAAAATAATTCAAATATCTTGTTTTCAATGATTTCAAATCATTTTTTAATGTTTTAAAGGCTTCTTCGATCTTAATGTTAAAATAACTAAATTAATGGTATTGAATTTCAACTGAACCTCCAAATCAGAACGTTTTTTTCTCTTTTTCAGCTTAAACCTTCACCCCCAGAATTTCATTTTTTTGTGACTTTCAATAAAAATTTCAACAGGATTTCAAGGTCCACCAATTTTCGTCGCCAAAATGGCATGCATGCCGGTGGCCTAGTAAAATCGCCTCAAAGCAGGCAACGAGAAAAAAAACTGGAAACTACCACAATTATTGAAAGTTAATACACTGTCGCCTTCAGTTCCCAGATGCATAATTACTATTTTCCCTTGTCGCAAATTTCGAAACATTAGAAAACACGCACACCCACACACACACACATCATTGAAATCTGCGCTGATGGCTAGCTAGTTATCAGTCATCCGGGTGATAAACGATTGCGAGTCCTTGACCCGAATTCTTTTTTTTTCTTGCGCTCACCATCTACACACACAAAAAATCAATTCTCACCTCGAACACATTTCCGTCCCGGAAACCGTTTATCCGGCGAAACGTCGGTGAAACCTTTTGGGCATTTGCACTGGAAATAACCGGGTTGTTCCGAGAAGCACTCTGCTAGCGGATCGCAATCATGAAGCGAGTAGTCATGGCACGGGTTGGCCGCTGAAAAAAAAACATTGTCAATTAATTGTACATCAAACATTTCGAGATTGTTAAATGTGATGTTAGGAAGGGAAATTGGAAATGTTAGCGTGCTGGAATGAGAAGGATTCCCGGCAGGTGGCGACAATCGTCGATTACTCCAAATAGAGTACTGGATACATATAGTGATGAAGCAAGGTAATTTTGAAGTTAAAAAATTTCAGCTCCAATTTGATTCAAGTTATTCTCTCGCAGACCCCGACCTCGATTACCGAAGTTCATATATATAACACCAATTTTGTCTCTCAAGTTCATCCACCCTCCGAAATAACTCAGCCGACCGACCATCTTGTAACTTTAAGTGGCCGAATACATGGTATTTTGCAACGAAGGCGTCGCTCGATCATCCAATGCCCGAACGCTCTGGTGGCAGACGCGCGAAAATAGCGCGCTTCGTCGCGAGACCTACCACCAGCACCATCATCGCAACTCATTCGGGTCAATCTAATGGAAAGAAGACGCATCCGACATCATGCTGCGACACTTTTTTTTCACTTGTCGGCCGTCGATCGACGCGCGGCTAGTCGAAATGTGTTCATATGCTAATTCAAAGCTGAATAGTAGTTATTTATGCGCATCGAATGCCACCGGATCAAATCGGCAACGTTGCGTTGAAAGCAGCTAGAAGAAAATTATGAACATTTAAGGGAGTGATGTCACCATGGCGGAAAAGCTTAAAAATCGAAACTAGGCGTTTTTCAACAAGGAGAGATTTTGTGTAGTATGATTGAAAAGCCGACATTCGATAATAGTGAGTGTAGAGGCTTTATAAGTTCACAAGAAGTCTTCAAGTGTTCAAATCAGAAATTCCTGAAAGGTCGGCGTCACTACAATTCTCTGTATAGGCTGGTCAAGCTTATCATGGTGACTTGTTGATGGTCACACTCTCGATTCGAAATTACTTCCTTGCTGAACTCAATTCACGAAAACCTCTCTTGAAATGACTCACATTTTTTCGGAGTGTGATCAAGAACTTTGCAAAAATAGGAACGATGAAACTTGTTATCAGTCATACTTAGCTGTTCTTCCGGGATTGTCCCGCGTGTCGTTCTCCATCTCCTCCTTCTTCTTCTTCTTACCCAGTTCCCGTCACGGTATCCATTCGGCCGTCGTCGAACAAAGACAGCGAATGGGTGGAAAAAAAAACACCGACTCCCTTCTAATCACCATCGAGAATATGGAATCAAGGTCGGACGATTTCAATTAAGCAAAAAACTAATCAGCGTGTGATTCATCAAACAAAACATCCGAGCGTTTTTTTCGGGGTCATGCATGAAAATAAATTGTGCTTTTTGGATGATAGCGGTCGAAAATGGCGAAACAAAAGAGCACATGAAAGAAGCATTAAGACGAGCCGAAACGAATTTTACCAAAGAATCTGCTGGTGTGTCCGCAATCTCCCGGGTTACCTGTATACCGCTAAATTCAGTACCAAAAAAACGAGGGGAAAAATAAACGAGAAAAAATGGAGTGCCGAAATTGTCGAAAACCTACCATTTACGGAATAAATGAATATAAAAACGCCTGTTAGTAGGCGGATAGGGCCCATGGGCTCAGATGATGTTCGAAAAGCGTTGCACTCGTGTGCCGCTCTTCACTTATTGGAATCGGATTCGATGAGAAGGGTGGGGGGGGGGGGAGAGGCGGCGGCTAAAGGGGAGGATGGGGAGGCAACAATACTGAAAAGTGGGCGGTTTCGGGTTGGGCGCGGGAGGAAGAAGAAGAAGAAGGGGGCGCGCGAGAAAGCGGCTGCGCTGGACAGGAAGGCGATTTCGATGACTTACTCGATTTCGGACGACAATCTTGTCCGGGTGTGATCGGCCGCATATCAACGAAGCCCGGCATGCACACGCACACCCGATTGCCGGACTCGGTCGTGACGCAATGCGCATTCGGCGACGTGCATCCGGAGCAGTCGAGCGATACTGAAAAACGAAATTTGATTAATGATGTACCAAAGACGGATTTGCGATACAATCATCATGATAAATGGCATGTGAAAGATGAGAAATTGCGAATATCCAAGTAAGGAATCGCAATACATTTTCATGTGTCATTTTTTTCGTAATTTAGTTAGATTTTCGGGGATTTTTGTGATCACAAGTGGATAATTTGAACATTTTTTGGAGGCTCATTTCAAAATTTCAAGTTTACAAAAAAAATCAGACTCAACACGAAAAAAATGAACAAAAAATTCACTTTAAAATTTGAAGATTAAAACGTTCACACGTGTTTGTTTTTCTTAAATCTGCTATTAAAAAAATGTTAGCCTTATGGACCACATTCCCTTGAAGCGAAACTTAGTTACCTTGAACAAGTTAAGATCTATTCACTGGACCCAAAAGCATTGTAATAGTTTTTTTTTGTCATTATTCAGTTCTAAATTTATCGAGGTCTTTCATATTTTGGTTCGTTTTGACTTTTTTTTTAATTTCACTATTTATAGTTTTTTTTTGTTTCTTTTCCCCGACAAAAAAGCTACTGACTATTTTTATAGTGTTAAAATTTTCACATAATCATAAAAAGAATAAAATGTTTTTGATGAAAAGAAAAACTTGTTGATGATCAAAAGTTATCAAAAGCAGTCAATTTCTTGAAAGAATACGATGAAATTGGTAAAAAAAAAAACAATAAATTCAATTTCTCCAAATCTGAGTCAATTTCATTTTTACCTACAGGGTGTCATTTAAGTTCCCGCACAACTTTGAAGACGTATATTTCTGAAACTAAAAGTCCAAATCAAACGAGACTCAAAATATTATTTATCTATAGTACAACAAATAATTATCTATTAACTCTTTTCGATTCGGCCTCCTTTCGCAGCTATGACTTCACGGAGACGCTTCGGGTAGGAAGTGACTGTGGTACGCAGGTATTCGATGGAAAGATTGTCCCACTCCGCCAGTAATGTCCTCTTCAGAGCCTCTACACTTGAGTGGGGTTTTGCGTTGACCTTCTCCTGCAAGACCCTATCACGGAAAAGTCAAGCGGTTTCAGATCTGTGGAGCAATCAGGCCATTCGGATGACTTGATGAAGTCGGGAAAATGGGTCTGGCACCACTCCTGAGTAGTTTTGGCAGTGTGGGCGGGTGCTCCGTCCCGCTGAAAGACCCATATCTGCCCACCGAAATGCGTTTGGGTCCAGGGCATCACATGCTTCTCCAAAATGTCCCGAACGTAGACTTCTTTGTTCATTTTCACTCCCTGATCCACGAAATCCTGGGGGCACATCCCGGTTGAGCAGATGGCACCGAAAACCATCACACTGGCAGGATGTGAGGCTCGATTAATTGTTTTTCCTTTCTCAGAAGCTTGCTGGGATGTCTGGGCAAGTACTCAATGGTTTTGTGAGTAGAATGCCGTCTCCACAGTGAATAGCTTCTCGTCGGAGAAGACAGTGACGAGATCTTGTCCAGACCGCGTGCGAGCAAGAAGTCGTTTTGCCTTTTTCGAAGCGTCTCTGCTTGTTGACGGCCGATAGAATTGCCGCTTTTTGGACACGATATGGGGTCAGTACAAGCTTCGTTTTGACGATTTGTTCCAAAGCGAAGATGCTCATTCCCATGTCTGACGCTATCTTTCTCATGCTCCTGTGGGGGTTTCGGCTGATCCTCGATTTGACGGCGTTGATCTTCTGAGGAGTGGTTACTGAGACGAGTCTTCCTTGTCTGGGACGGTCACTGGTCGTATTTAGCTCCTTGAATCGTTTGATGGTGTCATAAACCGTTCTACAAGGCACACCGACCCGTTGAATGATGTCTCTCGGGCTCACATTTTGCTTATGAAGTTCGATAATGGAAGCGCGATGGATGTTAGCCTTCGCCGTTTCTCGGAAGCACATCCGAATGAGGTGAAACTTGGAAAGTAAGTAAAATATACCTTGTTCAATAAAAATAAATTGTATTGGTGTACGAAAAGTGCGTTAGCGAAGCTCTACATGGCGTCAATGTGCGGGAACTTAAATGACACCCTGTATAATATGTGTCTTTCTATTTATTATTCCATTCATTTCATCATGAAATAGTCGATATGTAGATTTCCATTAAAAAAAGCACGCCAATCGGATTTGGGTGTTCTTCTTCAATGAAGAAGCGGCTTACACGCATTCGCCTCATTGCGTTCAGTTTCGAAACAACCGGAAACCGTGTTGCTACCAAAAAGAAACAAAATGGATGACGATGATAAGCAGTGTAAGCGAGCGAGGCGCAATTTTTGTCGGATCTCGCATCTTCTGATCCGTTCAGCAGATAGCCGGCTTACAATGGAACGATTCGGGAATTCCAAACGGCTTCTCCTCCCTATTGTCCATCCGAATATTTTATTGTGTTAGAGTTTTGGAAGCGAATTCATTGGGGGGGGGCTTGTTTCACGCAGTTTCACATCATTGTTTTTGGTCAATTTGGAAGGCGTTGGATAAAAGTGGAATCAGCTGTTATTACGAAACAATCACTCTCTCTCTCTCTCTCTCTCTCTCTCTCTCTCTCTCTCTCTCCCTCTCTCTCTTTCACTCTTCCTCGTGGTTTCTGGTCTCGGCACAAATCAAGTCGAACAAGTTATAAACCGATTCCCATCATTAAAAAAGCGCATCACTCCACCACCTACCCGGCGCGCATTTTCGTCCCGGCTTTGTCGCGTCCCGACTGATATCAGTGAAACCGAATGGGCATCTAGAACGATCAAATATAGTTTGGAGAAAACGCTGAGGGTAGCGTTTTAATTACCTGCACGAATAGCCGATCGGCAGATCACGACACACCGCGTTTTTATCACAATCATCCGTTCGCATTGCGCATTCGTTGATGGCTGAAATTAAAGACTAGAATGGGAGATTGAGGTGATTGAAAGCACCTTTGGTACACTTCCTTCCAGGTTTTCGCGCTCCACCCGACGATATATCAATGAATCCTTCTTGACATCTGAAAAGATGATCTCAAATTTTCATCAAATCAAATGGTTTCTAAAAAATCTAACCGGCAAGTGTACCCATCTGGCTTATCGATGCATTTCGCATTTGGTGCACAATCATTTGTCGTTGCTCTGGCACACTCATTCACCACTAAGAAACACATCAAATTTAATAATGCAAAGCGATATGAGACTCACGCTTCAAGCACTTCCTTCCAGGTCGTTGGCGGGGCTCAATTGAAGTATCCAAGTAACCTTCTCGACAAAGGCATTCGAAACCGATCGCGGCATCGACACATTTTGCATTTCGATCACAATCGTGAAGATTTTTTGCGCATTCATCAATCAATTCTAGAAAAACATTCAAGTTCCTTCTTTTTATCCATCAAAATACTAATTTTTTGAATTCGAATGATCCTTTTAAAAAATAAATACTAAATCAGAAATTCTGCGCTTCTAAAATCTTGGTTTCTCATAATAAAATTTTTTGGGAAACCATCATCACTTCTCGATGACATTTTTTTTTGTCAATTCCCCCGCCGCAGCCGCACCTGTACATGTTCCATTAGCGAATATCGAGTTCTGATTGCATGCGCATCGAAAAACGCCGTCGATTTGCATTTGGCACGACATTCCCTTATCTAAATCTACCGTTTTTTTGTTTTTCACCAACTCTTAATGACTCACCGCATGATTTCTTATCGTTCGGATCACATTGAGGCTCATCGAGTTGAAAACTCGGCTCAGTTCCATAACTATCGATTACTTCATCAGGAATTGCGTCGCTGTTGAACATAAATGGAATTCGTTCATTTCCGCTTTCCAAAAACCCATCAACATCCGAATTATCAGGAAGCTGAAACCTCCTGCTATTATAACTTTTTCAAATCATGACATTTAGTACCGTAGTCCGAGAAATTGTTCGAACCGGTGCTCGACGGATTTCCGACGGTTTTTTCGAATAAATTCTCGCGATTTGAAGATCTATTATTTCTAATTTATATATACATATTTGTTTTGTTAAAAAATACCTTTTAAGGTTCCAAATTGTAATTGGAGATCCTCGTTGAGCTCAGAGCAATTTGTTATAGGATTCATCATGTATCGCTGGAGGAGCTCCACCGGAACACATTTAGCAGAGCCTAATGGCCGAACAGTACCCAACTTGCATACGCAACGCCAAGTTCCACCAATCACCTAAAAAAAATTAATTTTAATTACTTTATACACATTTTAACAATTAATTTATATTTTATCTGTTTTAATTATATTTATTCATTAATTTCATCTTTAAAAAATGAAAAATTGCATTAAATTTGAATTTTTACAACCCTGAATTGAAAAAAAATGTACATTTATTAATGCATTTCCGTAAGATTTTCAGAAAAAAAATTTAAGCGAGTTTACTTGAAGAACATACAATGCATATTTGCCCTAGCTCCTTTTTACATGGATTCTCCGCTGAGCACAGCTGAATGGTCCCTATCGAGAGCGAATTGCTCCCGATTCTTCGCAATGTCCCGTCCGCGCATTTTTGTTCTGCAAACTCAATACGATTTTCACTTTTCATTGCCAAATGTTTGCCAATCGTCGTTTTCGAAAAGCCAATGAGGCATACCTCGGCTATTCGAGGTGATGTTCACCAATTCGTCAGAACCGTCTTCACAATCCCATGAACCGTCCGAAATTGCCGATTTCGAGACGCAACGAACCGCGCCGCACGCGCACGAGAACTGCGATGCCGTGCATTCTTCGTCGGAGCCATCCGAGCAGTCTTCTTTGCCATCTTGAAATCGTGATTTGTCGATACATTTCGAACCATTTGCACATTGAAATTGGTTCTGTGGGCATGCTGAAATGAGTAATGACTTATATTAGATCAATTCATGAGACGCATACGCTCGTCCGACTTGTCATTGCAATCAGGTTTACCGTCGAGGAATTTAGACGGCGGAATACAGTGACTACGGTCGCGACACACGAAAAAATGTGCAGGGCAGCCTAAAAGAAATTGCAACTTTACACAGATAGTTTTATTCTTTGTTTTTAAATACTATGAGAAATTAAAATTTTAAATAATCTTAAAAACTTTAATTTTTTATAATAAAATGCAGAAATTTAATTGAGCAATACTTGCAAAATATTGGAATAATCCGCTATAATTTTGCGTCATTAAAAAACTGTGCATTCACTGTGGCGTCAAAATGCACATTATTCAACTTAAATTTTTTTATTTTCATTAGGGAAATCGTCTAAAATTACCTTCATCAAATCCAGAATAGCAATCAATCTTCTTATCGTTTAATTTTGCTCTGGAAATGCATTTCGGGCTCCCAAATTGGCAATCGAATTGCCACGGAAGGCATGCTGAAATACCAAAAATTGATAATCCCCCAAACAATGCAAAAGTCATTGCAATAAATATTTGAATAGAAAACTAATCACAGTAGGAGACAACGATTTCCCGCTGCGACATTACTATGGGATACCTATTGTATTATGCAAATCATTATCCATTTATGGAATCTGCTTCGTTTTTTTTCTGTTTCATTTTCAGACATCCCCCCTCCCCAGAAATGTTCGTCTCGGAATGCGTTTTCTAATTGGCCTTCCTAATAAGGCGTCATACTTCAAAAAAAAGTTGTGGTTTTTTTGCCCGAGAAGACGTATCGAGTGGCATGGTAATTATGACGAATCAACACATTTGACGATGTACTTTTCGAGAGGTTGGAAATAGCGGTGTGAAAATGGTTTATGGATCGGACGAATCAAAAAACAGTCGGAAAGAAATGGTCTGAAATTGAAAAAAAAAAACGTAAAAATCTATCAAATTTGAATATTTTTGTGAAGATTTTGCATTAAAAATACCCCTTTTCCCCCCTTTTAATACCTTTAATAAAATTCAGAAATTCACTTATTTTTTTTTCAGAATATTTCACTTCCCATTTCTCGAATCATTCATAATTCCCATATAGTGGAATTTATTGTCTTTTTTTTCTTGTTTTTCTCTCTCTCGAAAAAAAAAATCCGATTATTTCGGAGAGCAATTCAACCTCTAGGTCATTCTTGTCAAGACCCATTAACATCAAAATTCATGCACCTTTACAAAATGAGTGGTAATTCATGAAGAATGATTTTAAATGTATTCCTGCATTTGATTTACTCGATTTTCATATTATCAAAAATCCGTGCAGTCACAAAAAAAAATAGGAGCATCCGATTTACGGTGAGTTTGATTCGCAGGTTGTCCGTCGTAGTACGATATTCAAATTCCCACTAATGATTCCCAAATATTCAGGGCGTTTGGTTTTTTTTTGTTTCGATGATAATATTATAATTGCAAAAAATTGAGCAAATCGTGGACCATCATATTTTTTTTGAGGGTAAAATTCAAATTTCTATTCAAAATTGGTACCGTGCTAGAATTTAAATAATTGTCAAATAAATTCTAACCTGACTAGTATTTATTTATTTTTTCAACTCAATTTGTTTCGAAACTTTCATTTTTACAATCAAAACTCAGTAGGTCAAAATACGGTTTCGATGGAATCCAAGATGGAAGCAATTCGTTTCGGAACGCCTTCTTCCTCCAACTCGATTCAGTTTAATTGGTTTAGTGACCTCGAACATATGCAACTACCTTAAAGGTCACTTGGTCCACACGCATACACCTAATTAGGGTCCCACCGGATCGAAATCATTCGATTCTGACCGCAGCGGTGTCGGACGCAACGGCACAATCGATTAAAGTGAAAGTCGGCATGCATCATTAAGCCGCCTAATCGGCTTCACACGTGCCAATTGCATAACTATAATAAATATATGGTATAAATGAATGCGTGCCAATTATGTGTGTTTGGGCACACGCGAAACAATGTCTCGAGGAGCGCCGACTGGTTTCATCGTCTGGTGCATCAACAAACAAATCTGTCGGCGTCATGTCTAACGAGACGATTGCGCAATCGATATGCCCATAATTAGGTGGCGGTGATGGACGTTTTCACGAATGTTTGACGAGTAATTTCGGCTGGTATTAAGTCAACATTCGACATTTATCCAACTGGATATTTTCGCGCGAACTCACGCAATTTGAATGTCGCTTGACAAATGACTCATTTTACAAATAAGGTGTAACCGAGACTGAAAAACTCAAACGCGAATGGAATACGGTAGTAGAGCCTATATTTAGAATAGTTTAAGCATCAAAATGTGCGCAGAGCGAGGGAGATTTTTGCGTTGCGAGACTCACACAAATTGCACTATATTTTGCATCTGAGAAACCCGAAATTTTCGGAATAAATTTCCGAAAATAGGCAATCTTGCATTTTGTAGATCAGTGTTTCGCGTAAGTCGAAATTTCTTGGGCGTAAGCTTTAGTGCGTAAGCACGTAAGCTTAATTACTGTTGTAGATATTTCTAGAAGCAAATCTTTTCGTGAATAAATACCATTCGAAACCACAACAGAGACCATAGCTCAATATTTTAAAAATTTCGAATCAACTACAATCGGTTCACAAACTTCTCTATTTTCAGCATCATTTTTTCTACTATATGTAGAAATTCAGTAGAAAATCTACAATAGAGATTTGACAGTCAAAATTGATAATTTTGAATAAAAATTCCAAATAAGTAATTTAGGTCAACTCTTTAAAATATATAAAATTTAGCTGTGTTTTTATTCTCGAAAATCGAGAGAATTTTTTGTTGTCAATGTGAAAGTCGATGTTTTCAGACCAAACAAGATACTAGGAAATTTTTGGGAAAAAAAAATGAAATTGGGATCTGATTAAAGTTTTCTTCGGGAAAATAAGTGGGAGTTGAACATCTCAAATAAATAATCAAATTGGATGAAAAAAAAAAGTGGAGACTCGCATCATGAGGAAATCAAAAGGAAATAATTGCAAAAAAAAAGCTCACCCTCATCGCTGGAATCGAAACAATCCTCAATTCCATCTTGCCATTTCTTCACCGAAATGCACTCGCCGGTGCCGCATCGAAATTGCGTCCGATTGCCGCAATACTCGGCCGCGCATCGCGCCCCCGCCAAAAATTGAAGTAATAATAAAAAATCGAGTAATAAGTGTGTGTCGTAGTGCATTCTTCACAATATCGTCCTAGCTATCATACTACTTCTGCAAATCACGATTGGCGGTTTTGCGTTTCAAGGCAAACAAGTAGGCGGGAAAAAACATAGCAAAAAAAAACATAGAAAATAACAATAATGTTTGTGTTTCGTATAGATCCCTCCTGTTTAGTTATATGACCAACCGCCTGGTGGCGCAACTGGTCTACCGGCTGGGCGTACGGCCAACTAGGGGGAGGTGGGGGCGGGGCTTTGGGTTTGCGCGCGAAACGGACGGACAACCCAAAAAAGTAGGTTGAGTTGCCCAATTACTGGTTGTGGCATGATGATGATGATGGACACGTGAGCTTCAAACTGGATTGTTCTCAATATTCAAATAGTTAGTTATCTTTCAACACAAACGGCCGTTTAAAGACGATGTCGCGAAAATATTTTCAGCGACTCTGCGGGTTCCTACATGGAATTGAATTGTGATACCATTTCTCAAATTTAAAAGGCGATTCGATTTGATATGATTTTCAGAAGAAATTTTTTTTTTCAATATTTTTGTCAGTAGTTGATTTTTTTGAAAATAAGCTCTAATTTTGATAACATAATTTTATGAATTTATTGAATTCAATAAAATCTAAAGATTGTTTCAAAAAATTTTCCCATTTTTAAAACAATAATGTAAAAAATTAATGGAAATTAAATTCAATTTCTTAAAAAAAAAACCAATTTTTTCATGAATATTTTGCTCTTTTTAGTTTTATGCTGTCACTATCAATCGATTTCGACCAAACTGAAGAATTAATAAAATTTCTAATAATTTAGAGAATCCCGAAAAGGAATTCAAGTAAAATTCTTTTTTTTTTCAGCAAAATAATTTCGAATCGGGTCGAAATTCAATGATTAATACCATTTTATTACACAACCTTTGCATCAGCTTTTCACTTGTTGCCCAACTTCCTAATAGCATGATACTTCCATGGGAATCTGGTATAGCCGGCAGGAAACGAGCAATTATCCGCGATTGTAACACGACATCCGAAATTAGAATTAAAACCGTATGACACGCATTGCTAGTGAAAGCATTCAAATCAAATGCTCGTCAATCTATATAGTTATTAAACCAGAATATTTATTATTTTTTTTAGTTGCTTTTAAACATTAATTTCATTTCACGGGCAACCATCGCAAATTCGACAAATTTCTTAAAAATAAGAAGAAATGGGCTCTTTTATTAGCTGAAAATCGTCCGATTCTCTCACCGAAAAAAAAAACAATGAGTTGTGTTTTCTCATCTTCAGCGCACGGTTGGGTGTCATCGACTTAATTGAACATCTCCTCAACGATCATAATCCATTACTCGTTCCGAACTATACAACTACACCATAAGTGGTTTCTCGGCGTTGACCTTGTACGGAATATATATCTCCATCATCTTATTTCGTCGCCGTGGGGAAAAACGCGCATAATTAGTAGAAACAAAATAATAATAATACTAATGCAATCTATCGCCATCAATTACGACGCCTTATCAAAAAATGCGCTTTTGTGTCTTGCTCGCCGAGAACAATGGAGGTGTCGAAATACGATAGTTTGGCGGCGAGTTGACACCACTTGAGACAGTGCACCATCGCCGGGTGTCACAATGGTGGCGGCGATATTCTTTATTCCAAAAACGGCAATTATTACGGGAAAAGTTGACCTACAATAGCAAAAAAAGATAGCCAAAAATTAATGAATATAATGGGAAATGGGATGCAAAAATAGAAGCAATTGAAAAAAAAATTAACTGGAAATGGAGTGAAGAGAAATTATACATACATTGTCGTCGAGGTTTACAACTCCCTGAAATAAATCAAAATTTAATCTCTGAAACCTCGTGCTGTACAGATTTCGCAAAAAAGGCACGTTTTTGAAGTTTTTCGAGTGCTCTTCCCAAAATCTGCATAGAGCCATAATAAAACAAATTCAACATACTCCGACTCGATGAATCCGTTGGTGTAGACTCTGAGCATGAACTCGGCCTCTTCATTTGGCTCGAACGTCGATGGAACGACGACGTAGTTACCTGGTGGAACACGGAATCGGCCAGTCATCTGAAATTAAAGAATTCAAAATTTTTTCTGAAAAAAAGAGGCGCCACCTCTCTCAAGTTGATGAACGCCGCACTTCTCATCGCTGATTTTGTTGAGGCGAAGAATTGTTTGGTCAATCTTCCGCGAACACCTCCAGCCTAAAACAACCATACTATCATTTTCGAATTATTTGATCTACTATTTATTATTAGAAAACTAAACACATCAAATGAAACAAAAGGAAAGCCACACGTCACATTTTCACAAATTGTCAACAACAAAAAAAAACAGAACCGAAAAACGTCTAGCTAGCTAACAAATAGGTTCACCCACGAAAGAAGCAACTTACAGCATTCATCTGAAAATGATATCAAAATTAAAAAGAGGAACGGGGAGCCCCACAATACGATATCGAGAAGAATAAAGAAGAAGAAACCGAAAAAAAGCCCATCCAAGATTTGTAACGCGAAATCTGCGAATGCAAAACTCACATCATAAACAGCGAATCCTATTGGTACATTGTCAAGACCATCCTGCTTCAAGTTACGTCTGAAATTAAATCATTTCGCATAGACTTTAATTATATTCGAGACATACCTGTATTTCTGCATGACGGCAAAGATGACAGTGCACAGCTCGTCATCATCATCTGGATCCGAGTCGGTGAGTTGAACACGGAATTGCGGATTGTTTGCGAAAGTGTCTAAAATCAAACTCTTCAATTTCTAATAACCTGTGTATCGATTTTGAAGCTCGAAAAAAGAAACACCTAGGCCATGTGCTTTCACGATTGCATCAATCAACTTACTAATGTAGTTTCGGCATCCTCCTGCAGTCTGATTGCGGATCCATGCTCCATCATGTGTGTTAGCGGCCCAAACCATACCGGCGGCCTTAACACCAGTCATCTGATACACTTCATCCATGACGTCTGGACCGAGATTGCAAATCTCCATTTTCTCGAAGTTTCTCATGAAATCCTCGAAGGACATCCTTGAAAACAAAAAATCAATTTTTGAATCGTATAAATCGCATACCAGAACTCTCCATCGTGATCGAATTTGAGTCCCATGTCTTGTTTCACCGAGTCTGGCACACTTCGCCATTCTCGCGAGTTGTCCGACCATGGTCCGTTCCATTCTTGCTCATTTCCCCATGGGTTTCGGACGCGAAGAATGCAAGTCTGACCATCAGGGCCATCGACGATGCGCATTCCGGTGATCGAGTAGGCGTGGCCCTTGACAAGCCCATTCGGCATCTTTGCCTCCCATTGGTATGGATCAGCCTCGATCGAACATCCGAACAAGGATCCCATTTCGAATCCACGCATCATCATTTGCATGAGATTCTTTGGCGGGCTCTTGAGATCGATGAACTCGGTAAGACCTCCGGTCATGTCTTCCAAAGCTTCAGAGGTGGTTCCGCCCTTCAACGCCTCGTAAGAACCGAACAACCTGTAGCAAAAAACCAATTGAAAATCTATAACAAAGAGACAAATCATACTTGGCGTAGGCCTTCTCAAGAAGAGCACTCCAGAACTCATTGTTCGATGCCGAGTGCATGTAGAGAAGCTCACCATCACTGGTTGGAAGGCGATCATCAATGACGACGTCGACCCACTTTCCGTACTGCCAAAACTGGAAGTGGAAGATTCCAGCGTAGTTCTCAGTGAACGATTGATCTGGTGGAACGACACGATAGAACAACTCATCCTTGAGTGTCAAATTGGCAGCGGCCGCAAGGAGCCAGCAATCTCCGAGTTCTCCCTAAAGCGAATCAAATAGCAAAATGAGAATGAGGGTCTCACCTGGATGACATCGAATCTCGAATGTCCCTCGGTAATGAGTTGCGGCTCACGAACAATCTCACCGGGTCTCAACCATTGCACACGCTTTGGCGGTCGCTTGCTGTAGAACAACGAGCTGTCTTGGGCCGGGAATTGTGGATCCTCGAACAGCTGCTTCGCGGCAAGACAATCGTCACGAAGCTGATAGAAGTCTTGCGGCTCCGTCGTTGGTTTCGGAGAAATCGGTGACGGGCCGCCACCTCTGTCGTCATTGGGTCCCGGACGGACGAATGGGTCAACGTCGCGTCGGAATTTTCCCGAAATGATGTTGTCAAGGATAACCTTTCCGATGTTTCCAAGAGAATTGTCTTTTCCGCCAAGACCCATGATCACATTACCGGCGACCGCGCCAATAATTCGTCCAGTGCTCGGATCAACACCAAGGAATCGATGCGCAGCCTCGCCGATGAGGTTTCCGATGATGTTCACCATTCCACCATTGAGCTGGTTCGGGTTCACATTACCACCTCCGCCAGAGTATTGACCACCGCCGCCACCACCGATCAAGCTACCGATGAGGCTTCCGAAGCCGCCACCTTGGCCTCCTTGGCCGCCTCCGCCAAGCGAGTTGATAATTCCACCAATGTCGTTTAGGTTGAAGCCGCCGCCGCCGCCGCCTCCACCTTGACCGCCACCACCGAATCCGCCGCCGCCACCTTGATACGGATCATTGTATCCGCCACGGTTTCCTGAATAATTCGAATTATACAGCGAAAAATATACTATGCAAAAATTAGGGGGTAATAATAATAATAAGCAACATAGTTAGGCGAAATAATTAGGGTGATTCAAGATTCTTTTTTTAGAAACAATTGTAGAAGGAATAATTCATTAAAAATCTGCCTGCAAACCTTTTGAAATGGAAAACTAAAGCAAATTATTGTAAGCAGATGATTTTCTAGTTATAATAAAACCATTTCTGGGAATAGCTTATTCTTAAGATTATATTTAATGGGAGTTGGGAAACGAAATTAAGGTGAATTATGTTAATAAACCATGCAACAGCAGCGAATCAAAAATGTACAACATCGAATAAAAACCATCACTACGAATAAATATCAAAAAGTGAACCTCCACCGCTGCCGCCGCCGCCACCGAGCAGATTCCCAACCAATCCACCTAGACCACCGCCATCATTTCCGCCGCCGCCTCCACCTAAATAATCATGCAATCCCAAAAAATCAATAAAAATACTGGAAGGGAGGGCCGTCGATGTTAGTAAGTGAAGCATGCACCTCGAGAGATGAGTCCGCCGATTAAATTGCCAAGAGCATCGTTTCCACTTGATCCACCACCACCACCACGATTTCCGCCTATAAAAGCGCATGCCAAAAAAAACCAAAAATAAAGAAACGTGCGAATCAGAGGAAAACGAAAAACCCCAAATGAAACAAAGGAAACTCAAAAGAAAATTGAGCACACACCGCCTCCTCCTCCACCGCCGTCGCCTTGCTTCTTTTTGTGCATTATTCCATCGATGATATTGCTCGCAGCACCTGAGCTTATCAATCCGCCGATCACATCCATCGCCATGTCTCGTTTCCTTCGAGGCTCCTTATTGCCGCCGCCACCGCCAAAATTCGGCCCGCTTCCCCCTACATAATAACACTAGGCCGACAAACCACAAAAACACAAATGAAACACGAAATTTTTTGTGGCGTTATTCGAGGGGAGCAATAATATCTGATTGTGCTCTTAAAAGTGACATACCGAATCCGCCGTTGCCACCTGAGAATCCACCGCCGCCGCCGCCGCCTCCTCCTCCTCCACCGAGGAAGTTGCTCGCGAGGCCACCGAAGATATCACCTCCTGGTCCGCCGATCTTTCAATATAAATATTTTATTATTTATTTTCGATTTATTATTTGTTTTAATGTTTTTTCCAACAAATATATCAAAAAATACCTATTTGCCGGGTGCACATGCCTTATTCAATTATTCTGAATTCTATTCCATATAAAAGAACAGGATAAATATTTGCAAAAATCTTGCGCCCTATAGGAAATGCTTCATCTCTTTCAGCTGCTATAGCGATTCTCTCAGCCATTTTTTTCAACTAGCTTAGTATCCGTGGAAACGACATGGAGAAAAACGTAAAGTAGTTGTAGAGTTTTACTAAATGTCAAATGGCATCTGCCAATGTCATAATTGGCCAAAAGGGTCCATTACTTTTTTTAAAAAGGTTTTTTTTTTTCATAAAATTCTAACCTTTTCACGGATCAGGTTCCCAGCAATGCTTCCGATAAGCCCATTAAACTCATCGGGCTTGACCTCGACCTTCTGGATCACTTCCTCGTCGTCGTCAGCCATCGTTATACCCTCAGTATGCGAATTACTGGTGGTAAATCCTTCGGGTTTCGGTCTCCTTTGATAACCTTCTTCGTTTGAGTCCCTAGTTTGTTGCGGATCTGAAAAAGAAAAAAATTTGACATGAATCGCCGTGTAGCAAACACGAGACAAAAATGAAAAAAAAAATGGGACCTCGCCTCGGGCTCATCGCAATCAAAAACGGCAGCATTTAGTTTCGGGCAAATATAGCAGAATTGAGCTAACTGATTTATAGCGAATATGTTTATGTGACAACGCAGTCTGCGCGCAAGAAAAAAATAGAACGCAGAAATTGGTGTGGCGCAAAAACGACGACAAACGACAGCGACGACGACGAGCAGAGGAGATTAGCAAGCAGTTTGTGCGCAAAAAAAGGCATTTGATCGGATATGCGACGAGCACTCTTTAAAAATCTGATTGCATGCAAAAAATACTAAACAAAAATATTCGACCCCGGAAATAAAATAATGTTATTTTCTAAACATCGGCAAATCGTTTTTTTTTGTGTGGCACGAGACTGAGTCATTCCTAAAACCTTTGAATTTGTAATAAATGTGTTTCTCTCTTCCCTTCCTCATGTTTTATTGTTGCTTGCTGGAACACAACAATTCGTTGTGAAAGAGATAGGCAAAAGAGCATGAGCTCAGACATCGAGAGTGGGCAATTAAAAATGAAGAATTCCACTTTGAAATTTGTTTTTTTTTTTTCAAAAAAAAATGAAAAAATGAAAAATACGCAAATGTGCGTATTCTTTGATGTATGCGGTGTTAACACCGAATATCAAAACTACCCAATTTCCTGATAATTCTTTTTTTTTCACCGATTTTGTTCTAAAAATATCCGATTTTTCGATAATTGTAGGTTGTCAGAAGCACGAAATCGTTCAAGTCGATGCAGAAAATTGACTTACCAATTACACAGCAATTGAACAAGCTCATTTCGAAATTGAAATTGTCGCCGAGCTCTTTCGGCAGAGCGAGCAAGAGAAAGGCGAAAGGGGGTCAAATTGTTGGTGGAAATGGAGCCGTGGGCTCCGGAGAGAATGCAACTCAGTGTCTCCTTTGCGCAGATCGAAAAGCACTTTTTTCGAATTGTCGCATGAGCCTTTTTTGTGAGCCGAATAGAATGCAATCGAATGGAGCGTTCGCAAAACGGCGGACGGCACCGACTAATGAGTGTTGAGAGCAGAATGGAGTCTCAATTGGTTTGGCATCCACAAAAAAGTTTTTTTTTGTGGACGGACTCCCAATATATTTCTCTGGCTCCCTCAACCCATCAACACTTATTTTTGTCAGAACTCTGAATTTAAAGTGAAGTCGAGTGGAAGCCGAAACCACTAGCCATGTGTTGAAATAGGCGGAAATTGCCACTTTTCGAGGTAAAAACAAACTAGGTCTAACGATTTCAGGGTTTCAGCAGATTTACTAGCATGAAATATATCCCAACGAGAGAATCTTTTCCTATTTATGTAAATTTCAATCCTTTATACATTTATTAGGAGTCTGATGAGATTTACGGGAATTCATTTATCATAGTGGCCCTATACGGAATCGCTAGTTAGCATTCTATGTCATATTTCAATTGTTTTATGGAACTTAAAATTCTATGGAATTCCATTTTCGGAAATGAACAATTCACCTACACATTTGAATATCAGTTTTTTTATAAATAGTTTTAAAAATGAAAGAAACGAAGGTGAAGAATGAAATGAGAAATGGCACAGGTGTCACAATTTTCACAAAATCAAACAAGGGTCAGCCCCCCCCCCCATTAACTTTTAATGATCACCGTCGTTAGTTCAGGAGTCGGACACTCATGACGCATCAATCAAGAAAATAGATCGAATGGGAAAAATCGGCTAATTGTGAGTCTATGTCTTTCATGAAAACGAAAAAATTGTTTGGAGAATAGCGATTTCAATGATTTATCGCTATCAAATCTTTGAATCAAACCAATTCACTACTATTTTTACGCAATTTTTGATAAGAGAAGAGTCGATTAATCTTTTTCGAGAAATCGTGATAAAACTCAATCGGTAAACATTTCAACACGGTTACCTAAATCATATAATTTTATCTAGGTAAGGAAAAAAATAGCCTACGCCCAAAACAAAGCAAATGCGGCAACAACAATAATATTACACGATAACAAACAAACAAACAAGACGAATGGAAATTGATTCAGACGATTTTGGACGGAGAGAGCGCGCAGAATTGAGAGACGCAGAGGAAATTGAAGGCGCGAGATTCGAATCTGACAAGAGAACAAAACCGCAATTTTCAGAGCAGAACTGGTTCTGAAAATAATTGGTACTCCATTATTTTTCTTTTATGGTAGCAATAAGCGTTTTATTCCAAAAAAAAAACTTGGTTAGTGTTTTTTTTCGGGCTCCAAAAAGAAAGGGAGACGACCAATGTTCACAGTGCAAATTGTTTTCGCGTTCTTATTTTATTCTTTATTTTGAAATAAAGAACGGAAGTTTTTGTTTACATTTTTTTCAAAAATTACACGTTGGAGACCAAATGGGAATCGATAAAATAATGATTAAATCCGCCAAACTGGATCTCGATGTTTTGGAAAAAAAAATTGAAATTAATAGCAATGTTAGTTTGTTACAACGCTGGAAAAAAATGCTGATTGCCTGTCAGAGAGTTTGCTTGTTTTATTAGGGCCTACAATCGAAATAGTTGTGAATACACGAGAGGATCGACACGATGCCCCGATGCTGTGTGCCGTCGGCGGGTAGCGTGTCGGCGAAATAGCGCGCTGAATGAGGAGGGCGCGAGAGACGCAGACGACGCGGCGCCTTCTCAAGGTTGGGTTGTTTACCGTTGTGAAAAGGGGCGCGAGTAGCGCTTTTGTGTGTAGGCCCGAATTGAGAAAAAGAAATGCCCATCTATCATCGCGGTCGACGGAGATCAAAGTTTTGACAAAAACCACGCGTCTTGTTTGGGAGATTCGACGAGAAAACCAAGCCAAACAATAGCATAAATATCGAGATTTTGGTTGAAATTTCAAATTTGGCTTCAGGGAATTTGAGAGATTGAAAAAAAAAGTTTTTTTTTTGGTTGGCAAAATCCGACACAAAAAATTTTTAAAAATCCAGCTTTTCAAACGCAAATAGACAATCAATCAACTTGTCAAAATAAATGCTCTGGTAAATGATTCCGAGTCGTATACGAAGAAAGCTCAATCGTATACGCTGATATCGCTCTTCAAACGCGGCCAAATACGATTGGGATTTCTTAATATACGATTGGCATTTCTTCGTATACGATTATAATTCTTCGTATATGATTGTGATTTCTTCGTATACGACTACAATTCTTCATATACGGTAACGATTTCTTCGTATTCGTTTGGGATTTTTTCGTATTCGATTGAGATTTTTTCGTATTCGATTGAGATTTTTTTCGTATACCATTTCACTTTACACTACTCGTTTGGCATTTTAACGCTTTTAAATATATGATGTAAAGATTTCTATACCTGTTTATTTAAAAAAAAAATATGAAAGACAAAAAAATGAAAAAGAAAAAGGAATAAATTAATTAATTTTGGTTGGCGCATCAACCATTTTTTTCCACTGCTCGCGCTTTCGATCGTGAATTGTTTCTGAATTAAGTTCATTTGAATGATTAATCATGAGGCAGTCTTCGGCATGTGCAGATTTTGGAGAAAAACGCGAAAAATCTGATTAAGACTAGTTTAGCCGAATCTTTATAATGTTGTCGAGTTTCTTTAAAAGGTTTTTACTGCGTTTCTTTTCAAAATCTGCATAGGCCCACTAAAAAAGTGAAAACTCACAGGAGATAGGTCATATGACCGTGTACCAAATAGGAGATTGTAGAATTCGCCGTTTCGTCAGCCATTCCAGCGATGGTAACCGTCTTTTGTAAAACAGCTGAAATTAATTTAAACATATTTTAAACATTTTTCGCGCTATTTGAGCATACCAATCGCTGTGTTGACAAACCGAACTGGAAGCGTTGCGTGCGGCGGCGTTGGCTTAAACGATGTTGAATAATTCACACGATCGTTATTGGGAATTGTCTGAAGATATTTTTTGCAACTTTAAATAATTGTAAGATACCTTATCGACAAATCTGTTGACTGTAGTATTTATCACATGCTTCAGAGCTGCCTTCATGAACGGAATTTCCAAAAATATTTGGGCGACGTTGATGTCTCCTGTTAAAAGATTTAATACAAATTCAAAGCTTTCGAAACACAAAAAACCCACTATTTCCATCCAGTGATGGAATAATTATTTCTGCGTCTTTAAGAGCTTCAGGGTTGTATACGGCGATCACGTCGATCTAAATTTAGAGAATAGCAAAATTAAAAAAAAATACTCACATTGTTTTTGTTTGGCTTTGCCGCGAATTTTTGGGATAAAGTTTCTATCTGGAAGTATAGGGTTTCTATAGTTTCTATTGTGGTACTATGCAGATTTCGCCAAAAACTCAAACAGCGGTAACCATAATTATAATGGTTTTTGCCGGTTTTGACGAGTTCTGATATTTTTTTACGGCTTTTGATGATTTTAATGCTTTTTTTCGCGGAATCTGGTACCATTACATTTGGAATGATTGAACAATAAATAAAACATACCGTGAACATGATTCCTTTCATTTAGAATGTATGGTTGTAGAATAACCCGGTCACCGAACTTCTCATTGAGGAGAAATCCCAATACATCGCCATATTGCAGTGAATTTCGCCAACGAAACATCACGACGCTATTATCCGAAGCAATATTTCTTTGTATTGAGTAGTGTGAGCCTTGATAGCTGTATTTCTCAGTAAACAAATCGCCTTTTTGAGCCAGCATTGAGTACTTCAGTGGTACATCTGTCGTTTTTCGATATCATCATTCTCCGAATATCGAAATAGCAGTTTTCTCAGTTTCACGATAGACACATCATGTTGTTTTCTCGTTGGGTCCGAATCAAGTCTTGCACGAACTTCGGTCGTCAAATCTTGCAAAATTGCAGCACTAAAATTTTTCTACGGTGTACAATTTTATAATAAAGCATACTTCCGCAACATTCTTTGCCCAATTCCCTTTGTGATTTCTGACGATAATAGTCGTTTCAAACTGTGAAAATAAAATCTCGCGAAGATAATGCTTCCCATTGGCCTAAAGCGAAATAATTTCAAAAATATGCAAAAACGGTAACAACCTCTCGACGTAATGACTCTTTGCAAGTTGTCACAGCTCGACATTGACACAAAATCTTCTTCCGCGCAAGTGAGCTCATCTTCAGACGATTCTATAGAATCTATAGAAATTAAATCTTGCTCTGTTTTTACTTTTAGTTATACCTGATGTTAAGTTTCTCTATTTTCTGAAAATAGTTATTTTCTTCATTTTTTCTGTTGTTATCACCTGTTTCTGTCTCGTTCCGATATTCCCTATATATTTTTTTCCATGATTTCTCGTGTGGTGTAACGATATCGCTTTCGATATGCAAATAGTTTTGAATTTTGCGACATATCTGCAAAGAAAATATAGATTTCTTAGAGCGGAGCCAGTAAAATGCACGATTTTTTTGGAAAGTATATATATTAAAACGCAATATACGCATAAAAATCGAATATGAAAAAATTCGAAAATTTTCGAAAATTGTTTTTCGAATTTAGACGTCAATTTTAATGCATGTCCGCAGTGTATAATTGTGGTGGTTACACTACTGTGATAAAATCCAAATCGTATACGATCCTTGCAATAACGTATACGACGAGGAAATGCGGATGTTTCGTATACGATTACAAACCATTCATCAGAATCGTATACGATCCTATACGATTCACATTAACTAATACGATTACCATTAACGTATACGATTTTAATTTTATCTTATACGATGAAGAAATTCGCTTTTTTCGTATACGACTAGGAATCATTTACCAGAGTGTTTGATTTTGAAAATTTCCTCGTCTTGAAACAACACGACAAAAATCATTGAGAAAGAGATGAAAATATCAGCGACAGCGTCAGATTGAGACAAATACTTTACACTAATTGGAACTGATCCTATCACTCAATTCATTCTGTTTTCGATCAAAGAAACATTTCGCCGGTTCCTCTCAAAGACTGACATTTTGATATCAATAAATGAGTCAGATTGCTGATTATTTATTTCAATCAACGAAAAAGAACATTCCTTAAAATTGAATAATTTTTACAAAAAAAACATTGTATTTAACTTTTTCTGGAAACTCAAACCCCATTTTATCGGAATGAGTAAAAATCATATACGAAAATTTTATAGCCTTGGTGTTGCATCGACTAACTGATTATTTTGCATTTTAGACATCATTCTGTTAATTTTTAATTTAAGTTGTATTTAGTTTTTAAGGAAATGATATATTTGAGAAATGTTAAACAGAAAATTTGAAAAAAAGCATTCACGCGTGGCGAGACCATTTTGAACAGCGCACCCCGTAAATCTACTCGCGTACAGCTCTTCATTCTCATTGTAAGCTTCATTTGAATTAATAATTATACTCTAACAAGTTCGCAAATTGGAGAATCCGCAAAATATGTGAGAGTTACGAATTTTCAAGCCGACACGATTGAAAATTCCACCATTTTCTGAATTTCCAAAATGTCAGAATGCGACTCACTCTGAAATTGTCTCAGAATAAAATTTGCGACAGCTCTCAACGCACAGAAAAAAAATTAAAAATTCTTTTGGAAGACAAAACAGATTCAAGGTGGTTGCTTTCATCAAACCGCAACTTTTTTGTTGAAAATAGTTCCAGCCAAGCGATGCTCTGAAAAAGACTCTTCTAAGAACAAGAGCTTGTTCGACTTCACCAAAATTTTTGGGGAGTCGTCGGGAAATTTCGACATTTCTCGTGGAATGAAAAAAAACGGCTCGGGAAAAATTGGACACCTCGAAATTTCGCAGAAGCACAGAAATCGATGAGGTATTCTAAAGTGGTTTCCAAAATTTGAAGGGAAAAAATTTCAATGGGACCATTAAACCCGATGAGCGTGGAGGAGGAAATTCATTATAGAAATACATGAAATGATATTTATGCTGAAAAAAATTGAAAAACAATTTATATAGTGAATGAGAGCATCGAAATCGATGGAATGTTGAAGCAGTTGAATTTCTCTCTTCCAGATTCTTCATGCTCCTTTAACTTGAATATTGCTTGTGCGCGAACACTCTAAATTGGTTTTATCGATAAAATTCGTTGAGAAAATGCTCACAAGATCATCTGAAATCAAGCTTCGAACAATGAATTCCTTAAGGAAGCTCGCCGTTTCATTCGAAACTTTCATCGACATGATATTCCACATCGATCCCAAAATATTCCATTCGGTTTCCTCTTCCAACGCGTTTTTTCGGCATCTCATCAACCATAGAATTTCGGCGGACCTCTCGAAAATGCGACTCTCTTCCATACACTTGAGTTGGCGCTTCTGGAGAATCGGAAAGAACGGCGGCGAGCGGCATTGGAATCGATAGCCGCACTGCGCGAGCTTCCATCGTGCCTCATCGGGCCGATTGATCACACATTCCGACTGTTTGTAAATGTTAATGAGAACATCGAGCACCACTAATCGATTGTTGAAATCCACCTCGTCGTACTCGACATCATTTATACATTTGATCCAATTATTCGGATCGATTACCTGGAAAAAAATAATTTTTAATGTAATTGAAGACCACTAAATACTTTTAAGATGCTGTTGAATAATTCGTGAAACATTTTAATCATCATTTTCTGACACGCATGATTAATGGGATGATTTCGAATGATTTTCGCGATTTTGTCTTCCATGAAAATCAACGAATCTTGAAGATCAGAATTTCTGGATTCACTATAGGAATCGCAGAAAGCGATGATGGATTCAAACGAGAATTTCAATGATTTGTTGAATACCTCTGCAATATAATAATTTTAAATGGAAAATCTCAGAAACTGGTTTAAAACAATTTTTTTTAGATTATTGTATAGCGTGGCGGCTTCAGAATATATGGGGGTAGACATGCGATTTTCATACCCTTAAATGGTTAATGCAGAGAAAATAAAATCATTATTTTTTTCTTTAAAAATAATTTTTTGCATTGAAATTTTGTTCTCTTTTTTTCAACATTCTTTCAGCATTGCCTATCTTTTTAAATTTCATGTTTAAATTTTCTATAATTCAAGCAAAATGTTTATAATTTCCTTCAATTTATTTGGAATTATTGATTCCACACGAGACCATTGCGAATGCCCGTAAATCTACCCACACACAGCCGCCGATTTTCGCTGAAAAACTACAATCCACCAGTTATTTTTTTTTTGAGAATTTTATTTAAAAAAACATTTATGAATAATCTGCCAGAGAAAAAAAAATATTTCGACGTACCTCTCATCGGGCGCTCTTCAAGAGGATCTTTGGAATATTTGAAGGGAATTGAATAAATCGTTTCAATAGTATTCAATGATGATTTTTCGAATAAATCCCTTCTCAAGTTCACATTTTTCATGATTTCCTCACTGATTTCGCACTGCATTGCATTATTTCGCATAAACTTCACCAATCCAAAAGCATTGTTAAGAATCTCAACAATTTTCGCAATTCATTTGTCTCGATATGTTCGATACCTCGGCTAATTGCTCCAATCTCGTCGCAAATTGCTCCGAGTTGTCGTTGAACGTCGATTTCGTCGAATTCAGCAAACAATTCCAGACGTTCCATTCAATCGGCCTCATGATTTTTGCGAATAATTCGAAATATTCACTTGGATTTTTTAAGTGCTCAATTTTTCGAAGGAACAATGGCAGTGTGGCGTCGACGATTCCACGAACATTTCTGGATTTTCGGCATATCTCACCGAGAAAGCTTAAAATATACAGCCTTCTATAGCCCATCTCATCGCTGGTCTTGTGAATTTCGCTGAGAAATTCCCTGATCACAATCGTCCAGATATTGGCGTATCTCGACTCGGTCACTAAAAATCCACAATTTTTTTTCAAACATTTTTTAAAATACATAAACCGACTGGGATATTTGCGAAGAATCTCGTGGAATACATCCAATTGATTCTCAAAATCTTCACAAAAATAAATAATATATGCTTTGACAATCTTGATATAATCCAGATCGGCAAAATCGAGACAACGCAAAAGTTGATTGGAATTCAACAATGTGAGCACAGGCTGTGTGACATTTGGGTCTTGGCGCGAAAGAAGAAAACAGAATGCTTCGGCCATCTGAAACGTTTGATCGGTATTCAATCGATGGCTAGCTGATACCAAATGTGAGCTTCCAGGTTCGAATTGTATCAGGTGTCGAATGGCAGCGATGAAGATGAACTCGTGCTCGACCATTTTCGTCTGTGCTCGCCAACAGCGCAGATAAGCCTTATAAATCTGAAATGACGTATTCAAACGATGGTCCTGACCTTTGAAAAACCGAATCAAACAATTCGAAATCGTTTTTTGCGAGGAAGTTTTTCAATTGAGCCGCATCGGCCAATGTCAACGTCTGCGAATAATTCCAAAGCGATAAAAAATAATTGTCAAGTTCCGATTTGCTCAACGATTTTGAGCTATGCGATGCGCATGAACCCATCGAAATTTGAATCTAGAATTTATAAAATATAAAAAAAAAACAAATACAAGAAGCTCACTTTCCGAATTTCTTCAATTAGCAATGCCTCCATGATGAGAGAACAAAAAACCGACGGGCAAAAATATTGCAAAAATGGATGGAAAAGACTGCTTGCAATATGCGCAGGTCGTCTGCCAAGGGACCATAACGACACAACTCACGCATTTAATCAATACTGCCGATGGGGCAGGTGTTCATCAGTTGAACTGTCGCGGACCATTGCATCGATCAAATCGAAAAAAAAATGAAACACGCCCTCAATTATTCATTCGTGACCTTTGATTATTGAGAAAATCAAATTAATTTTCATTCCCAGCCTTTTAAAAATGACGAGCACTGGAAATAAAGCGGTAAGGATAATAATAGCCATTTTTCAATTTTGATGATTTTGTAGAATATCTGCGATGAGTTGGACAATCTTGTCGGCGGACAGGATCTCGAAAGTCTCAACAAAGTCCTTAAAAGGATCGATGATGTTGATAAATAAATCGAAAAAAGGGATATTGGTATTGATTTTAGGTTGATTTGGATTCAAATCCGGCTAAAATCCGAAGCGGAATTTTGCGAAGAAAAGGCGAATGGCTTTATGCGTTGAGCAACTATGAAGCCGACAAGAAAAAGCGGGTGGAAATCCTCGAGCGGGGTATGGGCTTTTTAGAGAATCCTTCTGAATCGCGATTTTCAGCGTATGAAGCGGCGAAGCAAGCGCATGACATTGATGACACCGATTTTGAGATCTGCAAAGTGCTCTGCTCGACGTCGGGAAGGCTCGCCGAAGAAAGTCAACTCAAAAAAAAATTGCATTATGGGTTTCTGTTCAAAAACTATCTCGACAAGGCGATCGCGATCGATGGAAATGATTTCGAGGCGTTGCATATGCGCGGCAGATTCTGCTACACGGTCAATTCACACCATCGGATGACTTCTGATGAGCAAATATTTCAGGTTGCAAATTTGTCGATGGTTGAACTACTTGCGGCGAGAATGATCGGAAGTGTTCCAGATGTCTCATTCCAGGATGCACTCACCGATCTGCTGAAGGTTGGCAATTTGTCTGGTAACTCAAAACCAATCTCGGATCCGACAAAATTTGACTCCGGTATCAATCCGATCCGATTGGAAATTCTAGGGATCAGATTGTGAAACTGTCGGATCCGATTGGTTTTTGGGTATTTTCAGATCCGATTGGATCCGATTTGAATTGAAAAATTAAAACGAAACGGATCCGACAAATATATAATCGGATCCGACTAATATCCAATTGGATCCGACAAATTACCAATCGGATATGCTTGATTCCGGTGCCGAATTTTGTCGTATCCGATTGATTTTGAGTTACCAGAGTTCGAAGTATATGACCCTATTTGGCAAAAATTTTCAAAATTTCTTTTTTTAAAGAATATATTTTTTCCTAGGCTGATTCGATCATCTCCGATGTTGCTGAAAATCAGCTATTCATTGGAAAAACCTATTTGGCATTGAATGATATTCCGAATGCGAAGAAGTGGCTTCAAATGGTATTCATTTTTTGACCCTCAAAAATAGCGAAGAGCGATATTTTGAAATTCAGGCTGCTGAGAATACGACAGACATGGCTGTCGAGCAAGAGCACGTTGAAGAAGCTCAAGAGCTTCTCAAAGATCGTCGCTTCAAATGACAATGAATGGAGGTTAATTTTTTTCACAAAGATTGGATTAGACTTGGATTTTTTCTTTCCTTTTTGTTTTTCTCATAATTTCAAAGTAAAAATTTGCGATTCGTTGGCGATTTTATTTCCATTTTCTCGTTGAAAATTAATTTCCGAGATTCAGTTGGCAACCAAAAGAAAAGAAAAATGAAAACCTGCCGAGTGGGCCAGGTTTTAGCGAGTTTGGCGGTGATTCGAAACTACATAAAGCGTTTTCGATGCGAGACCCAAGGCGGCAATTCAAACAAGCAATCTCACAACACTTGTTTGCAATTCTATGAAAATATTAATCTCGATACTTTTATCTTATTTTCTCTTATTTTCCAATCAGAGTGAGCCCTCGAATAATCATCTGAATATTATTCGATGATTGTTGTGAAATGCCAGCAAATAAACAAAAAGGTCTCGATGCGCAATATATGCGCCTTTAACCTATCTTCATGCATTGGCCAATTCTTTTGTAGTGACGTCACGGGACCGTAAACAATTTAGGAAAAGCTTGTGGTAATGTGCGCCTTTAACCTATCCTTATGCATAGGTTCGTAAATCGATAATTTTGAATTTGCTGCTCCAAGACCACTGACATCGTTTTTTGGCATTAAGCCAATTCATCGAAGGCAATAGTTTCTTTCAAAAAATTAAAAAAAAAACTTTGGAATCACAAAATTTAAATTTAAATTTAAAAAAAAATTATTGATCATATTGTTCAATTGTATTACTATTATAATTCACCGTCCATCAATTTCGCATTCGATTCGAACTTCGCTCTCTCACGCTGTTTTCCATTTTTGGTGTGCAGGCGATTCGATTCGTCGACGCGACCAAAGGACAATTGAGAGGAACGACACAATCAATTGTACGTGCACACTCGATGAAACCTCGAACTCCTAATCCGATTTGCAGCTGAACATTTTCAGAATTTCTTTTTTTTTTATGCTGTGATTCATTATCGACATTTTGTGATAAACATGTTGACAATTACTTTTTGCAAAACCGAGATGTTCACTGACCTCGGACGGATAACACACACAGAACTAACTTTACACATGATATTGAAAACGGCCAGGTTGTCAAAACGAGAAAAATTGAGCTGTCTATTTAAGGGAGCTTGTTTGAATGATACTAATCAGAAGCAATTGTCAGACATTATAATCGGACGACGTTGTAATATTTTTAAAAAAACTAGTATACAACTATTTCATATACTAGATGATTTCAAATTTATCATCTGCGGACAATTTGAAAATGCATTTTTTCAAGATTTGCATAATTTGATGTGCTTGTTCCGCCCAAGAGACAATGATCATTGTCGGAGTGAATTTGATGGTGATTCGGTTTGACGGGTCTGAAGATTGAACAACAACAAATGCATTTCAATAAACGAGTTATCTGATTCCAGAAGGCTCTGGTTCGACGGCAGACTGAAGTTGGATGACGTCGTTGATCTCGACGGCCCTTAAATGGAGAGGGGTTGTAGTGTTGGCATGTTGCTCATGACAAACATGTTTATTTGCTGATTCAATTGTTCACTCTTCTTTTTTTTTCTTTACAAAAAAAACATTGAGGAGACCAAATCAAATAAAAGAACCGAAAATTAGTTGAACTTTGGGGTTGACTAAATCAGAAAAATTGGCCACAAATGAATTTTTATTTAATTTAAAATGAATGTGGATTCAATTAGAAGGATGCCAAAATTCTAGAAATTAGGGTACAAGTTCAGAGAAATTTCAAAAATTGCCCTGAGCTTTCTCTTTTGGGGAGCACTTTTTTGTCGAATGTAAACACATCATGCTATACACATCGAGGCTTTTTCCAAAAACTTTTTCTTCTCGCTGCGAGTGGCCAAATCGTCGAGCAATTCTTCCATGTTGATCACATTGTTATCCGTCTTCTCGTCGATCTTCGTGCGGCTTACAACATTCGCGAAGCACGTTGGACATTTTGAAACAGACAGTTGACAACACTCACTCTCTCCGACTGCCTTCGTGATGGGATTCAGCGTACGTGCAACATTTGACGAAAAAAAATTGACGACGGACGAGGCGGCGCTTATTGGGGCGTGGGGAGGAGGGGAGAACGAAGAGGACGATGTCGGCGGCGAAGAAACGACGATGGAGCGAAACGAATGTGGAGGTCCGCGGCACGTTCGACTGCGTCTCTCGACGGCCGATTTAAGAAGGCCCCCTCTGGGTTTCGAGCACCACATGAATTCTTGCTCGCGCGCGCACTTTCTTCTTCTTCTATTTTGTCCTCCCAAACTTTGTCCTTATTATTATTATTATTTTCTGTGTGTGTTTCAGAACAATGTCGGCTGCCGATTGTCGTTCGCTGAAGCCAATGGAGAATGATGGCTTTCAAGTCGTCACCGAAGTCGTCACCCACAAGCTCAACCATATTCCCATCTTCAAAGTTTGTGACATTCATTGACGGCAATGAATTGATTCGCTTCATCTTTAGGGTGACTTCGCTTCGCTTCCACCAAAGGTTCAGCGATTCGTCGCCGAGAAGGCCGAACTCATGAATCCGGCGGGAATCTACATCTGCGATGGATCGCAGAAGGAATACGACGACATCGTCGACAAACTTGTTGAGCGCGGTGTTCTCACCCCATTGACCGCTTATGAGAACAAGTGAGTTCCTTTGGAAAATTCAAACTCGACCCTTCAAACTATAATGGAGTCTCAATAATGGACGAAATGGAAAAATATAAAAATTTGTAATTTTGACTTTTTTATGGAAAAAGGTATTGCCAAATTTAAGCAAATTTTGGTTTTTGAAATTATCAATTTTTTGCATTGAAATCAAGAAAACTATTTCAATACAGCTAAAAAAAAAAACAAAAAAAATTTTTTTTTAATATATATTTTTGCTCTCTTCATTTTAGACTCATTGATCGATGATTAAATCAAATAAAATATTTTGAGATCCTTAACTGAGAGACTAACCGCTGCTAACTCAAAACCAATCAGCTCAGAAATCTGATACGGAAAATGCTCAAAATTTTCAATTCAATTCGGATTCGAACAATACCCAAAAAAAACCAATCGCATCCGACAATTTTACAATTTTATTCGATGAAAAATTTTATCCGTAAAATTTTGACCGAAAAGCTTTCGAACCTCAATCCTCAGGCGAAGAACGAACCGGCTAATCGACTCGGATCCGATTGGTTTTGAGTGACCAGAGACCTTTCAAAATATATTTTAGACTTTTTTCAATCAACCTTAGAAAGTATTTTTTAGATTTTTGAATGTATTAAAACTATTTAGAATTCTAACAATATGTTTTAGGAAATTTTAAAGACTTTCAAATTTTTTTTAAGTTTATTGAGTCTAAATTAATATTAATTGGAAAATTCAAATTACTTCACAATTTTAGAATTTTTTTAAACATAATATTTGATTGTCAAAATACTTTTTAAAAAAAAATAATTTTTCTAAAGAAAACGCTAGTCGTTTGAACTTCAACAATTCAAAACAAGCAATGTTTCAATAGATCATCTCTGCGTTTTTGATCTCTCATTTCATTTCTCGCATTTATCTTCGAGGAGAGTGTAACAAACATGAAAATGATCTTTGAAATTAGATGAAATCAATCCTTCTAGAAGGGTCTAGTGCGATATCAGATGCGGGCAAAGGGGATTACTGTAACCGGTTTCGACGCGACAAACACAGACTGATCGATTTTCAGCTATCTGTGCCGCACCGATCCGCGCGATGTGGCTCGTGTTGAGAGCAAGACGTGGATGGTCACCAAGGACAAATATGACTCGGTGTGTCATACGCCCGAAGGAGTCCGCCCAATCATGGGACAATGGATGAGCGAGGAGCAGTTCGCCGTCGAGCTCGACGCCCGCTTCCCAGGGTGTATGGCCGGTCGTCCGATGTACGTCGTGCCGTTCTCGATGGGACCAATCGGTGGACCATTGTCGAAGATTGGAATCGAGTTGACCGACTCGAGCTACGTTGTGCTTTGCATGAAGATCATGACTCGCATGGGAAAGAAGGTGCTCGACGCTCTCGGCGATCAGGACTTTGTCCGATGCATCCACTCCGTCGGACTTCCGAGACCAGTCAAGCGTAAGCCGATGAGAATCCCTAGATAGTAATAATGATTGCGGGTGTGACTTTCAGAAAAGGTCATCAACCACTGGCCATGCAATCCCGAGAAGGTCATGATTGCTCATCGACCAAAGGAGCGTGAGATCTGGTCGTTCGGATCGGGATATGGTGGAAACTCGCTTCTCGGAAAGAAGTGCTTCGCCCTTCGCATTGCTTGCAACATCGGACACGATGAGGGATGGCTCGCCGAGCACATGCTTGTAAGAATTCCGAATTGTCGCGAATCAAGACTAGTTCAAAATCGCTTCAGATCATGGGCATCACAAACCCGGAAGGCGTTGAGCGTTTCGTCGCCGCCGCTTTCCCATCGGCTTGCGGAAAAACCAATTTGGCGATGCTTACGCCAACACTTCCCGGATGGAAGGTTCGCGTCGTCGGCGATGACATCGCCTGGATGAAGTTCGGCGATGACGGACGATTGTACGCCATCAATCCCGAAGCCGGCTTCTTCGGCGTCGCGCCGGGAACGTCGACGAAGACGAACGCGATGGCGATGGCTTCGTTCCAGAAGAACTCGATCTTCACCAATGTCGCCGAGACCGCCGACGGCGAATACTTCTGGGAAGGACTTGAGAAGGAGCTCAAGGAGAGAGTAAGCGATTATATCAATTTTTTGCTGCGGACAATTTGAAAATATTGAATTTTGAACATTTTCAGAAGGGATACAGCGATGAGCAATTGAGAAACCTTGAGATCACCAATTGGCTCGGCGAGAGATGGCACATCGGAGATGAAGGAAAAGCTGCTCATCCCAACTCGCGCTTCACTGCTCCAGCCGAGCAATGCCCGATCATCCATCCCGACTGGGAGGTAAGACGCATTCAATCAATCCATTGAATCCATTTTGTGTTCAGGCGCCACAAGGTGTCCCAATCGACGCCATCGTCTTCGGAGGACGTCGTCCAGAAGGCGTTCCGCTCGTGTTCGAATCGTTCTCATGGGAGCACGGATGTTTGGTCGGAGCCCTCGTCAAGTCCGAGGCCACCGCGGCCGCTGAGCACACCGGCAAACAGGTGATGCACGACCCGATGGCGATGCGTCCATTCATGGGATACAACTACGGAAAGTATTTGGAGCATTGGCTTAAGCTCGGAACTGACCAGAAGCACAAGGCTCCGAAGATCTTCCATGTCAACTGGTTCCGCGAGACGAGAGACCACAAGTTCTTGTGGCCAGGATTCGGCGACAACATTCGTGTGCTCGACTGGATTCTTCGTCGCGCTTCCGGCGAAGAGGGTATCGCCACCGAGACCGCCATCGGATACGTGCCGACACGCGGATCAATCAACCTCGACGGCCTTCCGCGCATCAATTGGACCGAGCTCATGAGCATTCCAAAGACCTACTGGGAAGAGGATGTCGATGAGAGCAAGCATTTCCTCGAATCGCAAGTCGGCTCCGATCTTCCAGCGCCGATTCGCGAGGAGCTCGAGAAGCTTGAGAAGCGCATTCACAGTCTTTAAGCTTTTGTACATTTTCGCATATGGTTAGATCCAATTTGTAGTTACAATTAATAATTGAAATAATGTATTTTTTAATTGTGAACAAAAAAAGCAAGAAACAACAATAAATAACTTCGCTAAACACTATCTATCTACTCTATTACCCATTTTGTATGAAATTGAAGAGGCGTGTGAACAGGAATTAAGACCATTTTCGAGTTGTGTCGATGTAATCACCGTCGGGAGCTTCGTAGTTCTTAATTGGAGGAGTAATCGAAGGCCCTTCAATGATAAGCGGCAAATCATTGACAGCGGGTTGGACTGCCTGGAATGCGAGGAAATTTGTGTAAAAAGCGAAAGGGTACTCAATCGCACTTTTTCTTTTAAAAACACTATTCTAAAACTAAAGGAATGCTATACCGGTTCGTTTTAAAGAATGTTCTATTTCTAGAGTATTATTCTACTTTTTCGGATTCATCAGCGTGAACTCAAGGTTTTGCAGACATGTAGAATAAGAACGAAATATTACATCAAAAGGCGCATTCAACATTTTTTCCTTTTCGAGCTAATATTGGCATTAGTTTAAATTTGCCATATTTCTATTGTCGAAATAAAATAAAAATGTTATATTATGTTGCGCGACCGTGGAAAATTAACAAAATGTAAAAAACCTATGTCAGAAGATTTGACGTCGACATTGAGACATAGACTTCGGGGTTTTAGAAAAAGAATTCCGAAAAAAAAACAATATTTTTTCAAAAATTTTTGAAACAAATTTTGTTTTCAGACAGGAATTGTGGTATTGCTTCGCCGCAGTTAAAAAGGAAACTCACGTTTTCGTACAATTCCGGACTCAGGGCTTTCAATTCTCGTAGGGCCTTTCGTTGAGCTTCAACAACTTCTTTAATCCACTTGTCATCATTTTTTTGGAGTAAATTGCGCGATTTCGTGTATTCCTGTGCAAACACCAGCATTAAAAAAATATGTACTACATAAAATTTGCTACCTTTAGAGCCACTGCACGTTCATCAATTTGCTCAATCGTCAATTCAGCTGGAGGGCGTCGTCGCTCCCTAAACAACAAATATTTTAAATTTTAAAAGTTTATAATTAACAAGATCTTACTCAATATTTTTTGCAGATTTAACATCTAAAGTGAGCTCATCGACAGGTTTTGGCTTCTTCGAATGCTTCTGCATTTGTCGAATTTCTTTTTCCAGCCTCTTACGACGACGGGCTTCACGCTGTTTTGCAACCTTAAAACGAGCATTTCATTCAAAATATTGATTTTTTTACCTCTGGATCCATTTTCTTTGATCTTTTCATGAAAACGGAAGAGCACGAAGGCGTAGTTTGGTGAAATAATCTTGTAACGACCTCATGTTGAGCTCTGGATATTGAGAGCTTCGCCAAGCTCGAGAGGAGGCTCATTTCTGGAAAAAAAATTCATTGATTTTCTAATGAAGAAAATTTTTCTCTATTATTTTTCGATATAATACGTTTAATAATTCTCAAAATTTCAAAAATATAATAAAAAATGCACAAAAAGAGAAAATAAAATAAATCGACTAAAGGCGCACATATCGAGCGTTGCACTTGGGTCTCGCACGGAGTGCAACAACGCTCCACAATTAATGCAGCCAAACATTTATCGTAAATGTTTTTCGATTTATTTTTAAATTGTTTGAATTTGTGAAAATCTGAAGCTTCGAATAATAATGGTATTCAGAATGCCGAAGTCTACAATTGAAATAAAAAACGAAAACACAGAAAATGGATATGACGATGAGGAAATTAACGTCGAAATGATTGATGAACCAAGCTCATCGCAAATAATGCAACAAGAAAACATGTAAGAATTCAAATTTCAGTTATTTTTATTATCTTAATTTGATAAGTTTTAGGGACGAAAAACCCACGTTCATTTGCGAACTTTGTCATTGTGCTTTCGACTGCAAACCCGCAAAAAACTTCCATTTGCGCGTGGATCACTCCGATATTGATACAAGAAGTCTGTTGGAGGGAAATGCGGTAATATGTGAAGAAAACCTGATTGATGATGGAAATATGGAAGAATTAGTGGAAGATACCTCGGAAAATGTTTCACAAGGGCCTCCGCCGAAGAAAAGAGTATTAGATTTTTATTTGTTTTCATTATTTAATTGATTTTTTAAAGACAAGACGTAAAAAGAATCAGATGCTACCTGGAGAAGAGGAATTTCTTCAACCACAAGGTCGTACAATGACAACGAAAGAGCTAATAAACGGAAGGCGAGGAAATTCCGATTCAAAATCAAGTAATTATTCAATTATTTCAAAAATATTTTTAAAAAAAGTGATTCAGGATCTCGAGCGTCAACTTCTATTAGGAATGACAATAATTTAATTCATAATATTGTTGAAAATGCTCCCGAAATCGGAGAAGAGGTAGTAATTGATCAGATTGGTAACACATACATACATGATGACGGTCAATACCAGTATATTCACCTACCTCCTGGTCACGGAGAGAATAAAAAGGTAAAATAATCGATAATATATTGTTTTATTGAAAAAATTGTGCAGAAACATACTGGTAAGATGGGAGCCCCCCGGAAAAACACGCCGGCCCAAAAACCGAGAGTCTACGAGCCCGGCAAAATCCCATTCCGTCTTCGTGTTGGTGATGTAAATGGAAAATACGAGTGTTATATAAAAGGTGAGCATTGAATTTATGGGTTTCAAGAAAAATTGTGTGTTCAGAATGTAATTGGAAAGGTGGATACCGTTCGTTGAGAATGGACCATATGAGGTCAGTTCATCCCGAATGGAAAATGCCGAGCCGGTTTTTGCTTCAGGTAAAAATTAATTATTTATTTTTTTTTTACTTTTTTCACGAATTTCCTGAACGTCTAATTTTTGTTGAGTTTAGAGGATATCGAAAGAAGGAATATACCTGAATCCTGACGAATATGAGCCGCCAATACCATGTTTGGTGCCCGGATGCACGTGGAGAGGCAATTATCGGTAATTTATTGGAAATTTATCAAATTTTTTGTATTTTTTTTTCTAATCTAGGGCATCGCGATCTGCTCATATGCGCCAAGTTCATAAAGAGATTCACGAGGAGAATAAGAAAAAGACCTCAATGGTTCGATTTTTTTTTCTTGAATTTTGAAATTCGTTATGTTTGTCTATTTCAGGGTGGATACGCCCCAGAGGGTCCATATCTTTGTCACGTGACGGAATGCGATTGGCGCGGTGTTTCGAGAACGACGCGATCGAATCACATGAAGAAGGAGCATCCGGACTGGACGGCGCACAATAGGCAGTTCGTCAGGACGGTAAGACCCTCTAAATCATGCAAATGTTGCAAAATATAGAATTTGCAGATTGTTCATGAATGCTTTTTGTGTCAGAATCCATATAGTTCAGTTAATCTGCTTTATCGTCATATTTCGGATTATCACGGTGCTGGATTAGAGGTTGATATAAATTTTGCGACAAAAGGCGAATTTAATGTTTGTTTTTTTGGATTCAAGATTGTCAAAAAAAAGTTGTTATAATATTTCAGACTTGGATGGGTGTTGTTATGAGGCTTTTTCATATTACATTTAGTCGAAAAATTGTGCACAGAAATGCCAATGGCTTGGTGGTAGGATTGATCTGATCCGAATAACCGATAATCGCAATTTTGCAGAATTATTTGCTAACGTGCTCCTGTTCATCTATGCGGCAGGCGATTTTGACAAGTACTAGGTAATATTAGTCATGTGAAACAAAAATGTATGTATGTTTTTCATTTTGGTCCAGAAATGCGGCGTATTCTACAAATTTTCTGAGGAAACGATCTCAACGCATAATTACTCGACGAAAAATTGAGTGTGCTTTACATCTTAATATCACGGAGAACTCGAAGAATGGCAATGTGCACGTTGTTGGCTGTCTGGAGCACACGGGACATCGTTGGGGCACACCTCAAATTCGATGGCGTAAGATTTGTTGTCGATTTGCCGCAATCAAAAAAAAATTTTTTTTAGATAATGTAGATCGGCAGGTTTTCTACGAATATATGGAGTATCGATCGGAGAACAATGTTAAGATGCCGTTGGCGAAACTTCTGAACTTTTTCGAGGGTTCGAAATTAAAAAAATTTTTCCGAATCAATATTGAATTTTTTAAAGAGTTTGAATCCTACAAAGCTCCGCGATTTGAGCCAAACGTTGAGCCAATTGATATGGAATATGAGCAGGCTGATGAGAATGACGCGATTTCGCTTTACAAGTTGATTACGGTAAGAGAAATTTGTAAAGATTTTGATTGAGTTCGACATTTGTTTTAGGATGGTGTCATCGATCAGGACGCTTTGTTCGATGTCCATCTCGCCCACGCGGAAAATGGAAGGATTGTCGAGAATGCGACGATAACTATTGGATACATGAACGATGAAATGAAGAAATCCTATCTGGAGCTTTTGCAAACGCCGAACAAGCCATGCATCATTGATCATGTAGGAATTACAACCAGTGTGTCTACCCGGGACGAAGTTTCCCGGGAATTTCCGGGTTCCCGGGAAATTCCCGGGAAAATTTTCCCGGGACCCGGGACTCATTGAAACTTAATTTCCCGGGATCCCGGGATCCCGGGAAATTCGTTTCCCGGGAAACGCGGGATCCCGGGATCCCGGGAAATTCATTTCCCGGGTTTCCCGGGAAATTCCCGGGACACCCGGGACAATCCCGGGACAATCCCGGGAAAGTCTGCAAACACCGCGCGCGCAAACGCACACTCTTCGAATATTGCGTATTGTCGTTTTTTTTTCGAAATTTTATGAGTTTTCTTATTTTCTTTGTCATTCTGATTCGCGACATATTCAAATCGAATCTTTTCAGTCAGTCTTTTCAGATCGAATCAGCGATATTATTTATTATTATAATTTATTGTTTACTTGATCGATCTTCAATAAGTTTTTTCGTTGAAAAAAGTATATTGAAAAAAGTTTAAAACCATTATTTCGTATAAAATTCTTGCTAATTTGGAAAAATCGTTATTTGCACATTTCAATTGTACTCATTTTTCTGCCAAATTTTAAAAATTCCAAATAGGGACTTCCTACGCCATTTTCTAAGCATTGGAATCTTTTTAAAATAAGAAAATTCATTAAAAAGAAACGAGAATACGCAATATTCGAAGAGTGTGCGTTTGCGCGCGCGGTGTTTGCAGACTTTCCCGGGATTGTCCCGGGATTGTCCCGGGTTTCCCGGGAATTTCCCGGGAAACCCGGGAATTTCCCGGATTTCCCGGGAACCCGCTCATCCCGGGAAATGAATTTCCCGGGATCCCGGGATCCCGAGATACCGGGATCCCGGGATCCCGAGATACCGGGATCCCGGGTAGTTGCGGGACGAAACCGGGACGAGACCCGGGATTGGAGTCCCGGGATTTCCCGGATAAACCCGGGAAACGAAATTCCCGGGATCCCGGGAAATCCTGTCCCGGGTAGATACACTGATTACAACCCATTTTTTTTTTGGTGGAAGGGGCGATTCGTGTGACTTTAGAAAAAAATGTGAAGGAGTTACCGTATAAACGCTCAATTCTGGTCACACAAATCCACGAAAATCATAGAGATTCAGAAGACGTCTATAATTTTACCAACTTTTTCAGTCCCGCCTAAACGTTGGCGATCGAGAATTGTCGGTGTTCACTGTGCTATCGCCGTCATACAATCCGAGATGCTGCTGTGTGTATATTACTTCGTGTCATGAAACGGGCTATAGGGCGATTTGTAGCAAATTGCAAGAAGTGTAGGTCAACGAGACATTTCGAGAAAATCGGTGCGATATTTCTAGATCTCCGCAACCGCCAATGATTTTCATGGTGGATCCTTCCGAACAATGGGTTCGTGAAGTTGCTTCATTTTTCCCCGAACATCGAACAAATGTTTTGGTGCGTTTTTCTCAAGAAATTGTTGTTCTTCATTTCAATCTATCCATTTATTCTGGCGACTGAGTATTGCGGGTAGATTTACGAGTGCGCCTTTGAAAAGGTCTCACAACGTGCGAACGCGTAAATGACGTTTTCACGTGAACGGTTAATTTTTCTTGATGAGTTTGGTATTTTCTTGAATTTCTAATGTTATTCCAATTAATCCAACCGAGCTTTAGAATGAAAAATAACCAGTTAGTCAGCGTGAGATCATAGCGAAAAGCGCAACCCCACCAGTCGCCTTATGTCGACTGAATTTGTATGTTTTTTTTATTCAGATTTCGGAATGGACCATTCTCGATTTTTGGGGAAAAATGGTTGAACAAATGATCTCAAATGATGCTGACCAATTTTTTGTAATGGCCGCATTGCGAAAACTTCTAAGGTTCGATTTGATCAGCGAAGATTATTGTAAATTTTAAGACAATTTAGAATCGATGAATCCGACGAATTCCTATTATTCATTGTGGAGTTCTTCGAAGCTCTCAGCGAAGGAAGTTGCGAGGATTTCATTAAATTTATGGATTTTCAATTATCCGATGTACAATATTTTAAAAGGTAAATTGACGACGTCACGCGGCAGCACAAAGTTTAGGAAAATCTGTTGGTGCTCAATATTTGCGCCTTAAACCTATCTTTATGCTTTCCTGAAAAACTACACTTTTTTTCGCGCCAAGACCACTGCAATTGATTTTTTGGCAATTTTCCGCAGTCGCATGTCGTCGACATTATATTTTATTAAAAAAAACAAATATGTTTTTATTTCTAGATGGTGGCCATTTCAAAGAAATTCGCGCGGATTCTCGAATCCAATGCTTTTGAGTTGTTCGCGATCGTTGCGCGAGAATTTCTTGCATCCGACGAATTGCGACCGAATCGACAAATATATTTATCTTCTTCAGAAGCGAATTGCCGAATTCAATGTAGGAATTTTGTTTTAAGTGCCCAATGTTCATGATTGTTTCAGTCGATCACCGCGTATGTGACCGAATATGCGCCCGAGTTCAATGAATCGGAATGTGTTCAGTATGAGGAAGTATTTGATGATTACGATCAGCAAATGGACGACGACGGCCAGCAGCTTGAAGTCAATGAGGTGTTCATACCTGGATCGGTAGGCAATTCGAGCATCCGCTTCATCTGAATTTTGATTTTCAGGAAATCCCGCACCAACTTCACAACGAGGTTGTTGTTGATGGAATTATTGGCATGGAACACGTCATTGATGGAGAAGCTGTGGTACGATTTTTCTTCAATCGATCTTCTTGATGAAATATCGAATTTGTTTTAGATGTTCACTGATGACATCCCATCGACTTCCGGTATCAATCAGCAACACGTGTACGAGTATTATGAAGAAGATGATAAAACGGAATTGGCTGCCGCCGATCCGGTCATGATTCACCATGATGAATATGTGCCGTTGAAGAGAAAAGTTTGTATTTCTTTTCGGATTCACTTTGAACAATCTCTTCAGATTCCGACGTATGATTTGACGGATGACGAGATTGGTAGAATTGCATCGGAAATAATGAGTATCGACCGTCGAAAAAATCGCGGCTCATACAAAAAGCAGCAGCGCGTTTATGAGCCGCCGCCGGAAATGTACGAAGAAGTCCTCGTAATGAAGCCCTACGATCCGAATGAGCCGTCGACGTCTGGAACGCAGCCATCGTCATCGACAGTGTCATATATTCCCCCGCAATGGCATGAATAATTCGCCAGCCTGACTTGTTTTTGTGATCTACAAACTAAATTGCTTCCATTGCGTTTTTTGCATTTTCTTATAAGGCCATAATTTATTTTTATATTTTCGAATATTTTAATTAAAATATAGTTTTATTGCAATTATTTTTCAATATTTGTTGTTAATTTATCGATTATGGAGTTGTGATTTGTACTCCTTGTATATATTTTTTCTTCAAATGGATCTGTTCAGTTGCGTCAATTTTGACATATCCGACAATATTCATGAATTTCATAGTCGTTCTAATTTTGAATTCAGATGAATGTTTCTGAATCGATTCCGAGGGATTTGAGAAATCTTCGAGCATGTCTGCTTTGCTCGTTGATCAAATCGGTTGATCAATTCGAGAATTATGGATGTGATAATTGCGAGAGTGTGCTGCACTTGAAGGGAGATGAAGAGAAGGTCTATGATTGTACGAGGTACGTTTTTGCAATTATTCAAATCAAGACTGGCCGACTTTTTTTTTTCACTCAAACCGGTGTATAAATTTTGTTTTGCGCGGGCTAGAAGATAAATTTTCCGCGTATGACCAGAAAATAAATAAATGACCTCAATTTAAATTTGAGTTATCACTTCGCCTCAAAAAAGTGCGATGGGCCACAATTATTCAAGGTGTTCATTTTTTGGGATGAGAAAAATTAATCCAGACAACTGAAACCAATTTCAACTCTGCCATTTCACGTGTTTCTTAATAACCAAACTAGTTAAAATTTAAAAAAAAAAAGTTCAATTTTTAAAAATTTCCATTGAAACAGAAATTCAACATAATTCGATTTTTAGTTCAAACTTTGATGGAATGATCGCCGCGATGCATAATGAAGAATCGTGGGTTTGCAAATGGCAGGTTGGTACCTAATTATAGAAATAATTAGTTCAAAATATGATGATTGCAGAAAATCCACCGAAAAGCGAAAGGAATGTATGCGATCAGTGTGTCTGGCTCGCTTCCAAGCAGTGTCATCAGCGATCTCAAAAGCATGGGCATTCGATACAAGCCGGGAATGCGCGACACAAGTTTCCAGACGAAAAAGTAACCATCTACACGTGTATATTTATTTATTCTCAATTATTATTATTAATATTATGATCATCATTATTAATAATATTAAACATTAATTTTGGCAGTACTTTTTGAGCAATAAAAATATATTTTCAAGGCAATTTGATTGAAAAGAAAAAAAAATGAACTGAAAAAAATGCATATAAAGAGAGAGAGAAAGAGAGCAAGTTTAGGCAACACACTTTTAAAGCTTAGATGGTTGTGTTTCAGCACCTATTTGATTGATTCGGGTCGATTATTGCAGTTTCGATTTTGTTAAGGCATCTTTTGTCAAAAAAAAAACCAAAAAGAAAATTATAGAGAACCTCTTGCAACTTCTCCGCGAATATTTCTACAGTTCAATCATTAAAAAACTACGGACCTCTGAATACTTATCTGATTGAATTATAGTAAAGTTTTTTTCGATAGAAAAAAGTCTTGCGAAAAACGTGGTCGCTGCACTTTTTTGTTAAATTTTGAAAAAAATTCAAAATACTTGAAAAAAGAGTCAAAACCTGGCGATTTTTGAAAATCTCGTCTGCGCGACAAAGACGCCAACAATCGACCACTGACACAGTTTGAGTTTCCATTTTAGGAAAATGGGGCGGAGGGGTCCGTCACCCTGTCAGTGCCCTGACAAGCTGACCAGGTTATCCACAATGTGAGTAGTATGGTTTATTATGGATACAATGGAAATATCTGTTGTTCTTGATTTACAAGATCAGGAGGGAGTTTCCCATCGTAAGAAACCCCTCCAAATCAATACGCAGGTTTGTTTAACAATTCTATTTTAACTAATTTAAATGCTTATTCTAGACAACAATTAAAGATTTGAGCAAATCGATTGATTCTGTATTCAACGTTGACGAAAAATATCAAGAAATTTTTCACAATGGACGTCAAATCCTTTCCTTAACATCAACAATTCAGCAATTCGATGTAAAGAATGACGATGAGATTGTCATAGTGAGTGTTTTCGGTCCATTGGTCCAATAGGAATATATTTTATTATAATTAATTTTTAAGTGATTTTTAGAAGCACACTTTCTTACCACAATTGACAGCATTAACCGGGATTTTTAGACTCAAAATTGTATTACACCATTATTATTTGTTGTTTAAACTTCAGAAATTACTGTTTATTATTAAGACGTACAATTTTTGGAATTTAAGGTCCCCTATCACCTATTCCCTATCAGTAAATTTTTAAAAATGTATTTCAGAAACATTCTCTTCTGGAATCCTGGCGTGCGTATTTGTTTCTTTGTGACAGCGCCAAAGATATCAAAAAAGGAAAACCTGAACGAACAAAGTGTGCACAAAGAGCTATAGCCAATTCACAAAAACTCGAGGATTCCGGATTTTTCGAAGCCTACGTCAACTTTGTGACAGTTTGGATCGATAATATCGGTCAAATGATGAGGTTTGCTAATTTGTTCAATTCCTTTTAAAAATATTGACAAAAATATGATATTCGCATTTCAGGTTTGTCGACCGAACGCGAAACGTTTTTGAACAAAGCGCTACAAAATTCTTCACCAAGATGTTTCCCACTTCAATTATAAGCTTTAAGCCTAAGCAAGGCGGTAGTCGAGCAGGGATTGTGGTGACTGTAACTTGCGATGGAGAAGAGACACTTTACTATATGAAGACTTATCATCGCGCCGGTTCTTCAATTTCCCTGCAAAATGCACCAAAGCACCTGCCGGATCTTCGCGAAATGTTCGCATATCGACTTCTCGAACATATTGGAGTTGGACCTGTTGTATTCTTCCCATTCTATGATGGATCGACATACATTCACTTCATTGCAACTAAGGAAGTCGAAGAATTCAAAGAGCTGGACAAACTTGAGGATGTTGTTCTGCAAAATAAAGTAGTTGTCGAGGTGATACATTTTAAATAATTTGTAACTAAAAATACTTTAAATAATTATTTTAAAAAAATCCATTTCAGGCTTACCTGCTCTCACTTATCCTTGGCATACGCGACTTGAATGAGGGAAACATTGGTTCAACCAGGGAGAAAGCCCTTTCTATCATTGATTTTTACGTTCCGGATACTGACAACTTTCTACGACGAAGAATACTCGATGATTTGAAGAATAAGAGCAACTTTGGTGGACTAGGAAAAGCCAATGAAATTCTCACTGAAATAGGCCATGAAGAGATGATGAAAATTGTCAAGGATGCGCTGCCCCGTTGGAGTCGAATCAAAAGCATTACAAGCGATATCATTGGTATTGAGAAAAACGAATTACGGGAACATGGAATAAAGTTCGGGACTGCTACAAATGACGTAGAAAATTATCTTCAAGACATCAAATTGAATTATGACTCGATATGTTCAGCTTTTCAGTAGTTTCGTTTATCATGTTCATCGTTTTCCAGGATTAGAATAGTATTTATAATCGTAATCAAAAACCACAGTGCTGTAGTAGTTCTTCTGTTCTAGATTCTTTTATAATACTCCGTGTTTCCACACAAGCCTAATTCATTTGTATTTTTCCCCATTCTTCTTTCTATATCTTGCTTTTATCTTTTTATTTCACATCCTTGTATCATCATCAATAAATTCAGTATTAATGAGCTATGATAAGCACATTATTAATAAAAAGACAAACATACAACCAGAAGGCTTACCTATAACTAGGTTGAGCTCTTAAGTGAAAGAACCTTTACTTTTACAAACTCTTCGAGGTTAATGTTGGTCAATAGCTTCAGATTTTTAATGGCTCCGCCATTAGCATTTTTTATTCACCGTTCTAGCGCATTATTTCGACCATATTTTTTATAACGCACTTTTCGGCACAATATAAATGTTGCGTGCTAACAAATAGATTTTCCGCGTATGATCAGAAAATAAATAAATGACCTCAATTTAAATTCAAGTTATCACTTCGCTTCCACAATTATTCAAGGTGCTCGTTTTTTTTGGGATGGGAAAAATTAATCCAGACAACTGAAACCAATTTCAGCTCTGCCATTTCACGTGTTTCTTAATAACCAAACTAGTTAAAATTTTTAAAAAATGTTCGATTTTTAAAAATTTCCATTGAAACAGAAATTCAACATAATTTGATTTTTAGTTCAAACTTTGAGGGCATGATCGCCGCGATGCATAATGAAGAATCGTGGGTTTGCAAATGGCAGGTTGGTACCTAATTATAGAAATAATTAGTTCAAAATATGATGATTGCAGAAAGTCCACCGAAAAGCGAAAGGAATGTATGCGATCAGTGTGTCTGGCTCGCTTCCAAGCAGTGTCATCAGCGATCTTAAAAGCATGGGCATTCGATACAAGCCGGGAATGCGCGACACAAGTTTCCAGACGAAAAAGTAACCATCTACACGTGTATATTTATTTATTCTCAATTATTATTATTAATATTATGATCATCATTATTAATAATATTAAACATTAATTTTGGCAGTATTTTTTGAGCAATAAAAATATATTTTCAAGGCAATTTGATTGAAAAGAAAAAAAATGAACTGAAAAAATGCATATGAAGAGAGAGAGAGAGAAAGAGAGCAAGTTTAGGCAACACACTTTTAAAGCTTAGATGATTGTGTTTCAGCACCTATTTGATTGATTCGGGGCGATTATTGCAGTTTCGATTTTGTTAAGGCATCTTTTGTCAAAAAACCAAGAAAAGTAAAAAAAAAAAACAAATTTGGAAGACTAGCGAGAAAAAAGTCAAACTATAACGACATTTTCTCAAGGATTGGGATGATTTGATCAAAGTTTGGCCGTCGGCCGGGATCTTCGTTCATGCAAATATTCAAAAGACGCGCCATGTTGCGCGCAATCCCTGGCGGAATCTGGACGCGAAGGCCTTCGAGAGCAATCTGCAAACGAAAATGAGTATTTGAATGAATGGGTTGATTTGGTTACCTTCATTCCGCATTCCATTGGTGGCAAATCGGCGAATGGCACTTCGCGTGTGTTCAACTCCCATAATAAAATTGCAAACGACCACATGTCAGCGGCACGAATGTTCAAGTCTTCCGGCGCTCGCGACAGTGCTGAAAATCGGCCAATTTCTAGATTTTTCGACAAAATTAATGATTGAGACAAGAATTTCAGTAATTTCTAGATACAATTCTTATTGATACAATTTTTTAGTACCTTCTGGACTCATCCAAGCGGGCGAATAGATTCTTCCGACCTCCTGGAACGAGAACTTCGTGTCAGCCATCGAGATCTTTGCGGTGAGCTCTTCATCAACGACAACATGCTTGGACGACAAGTAATACCTAGAAATATTCCCCTAATAAGCTTTAGGTTTAAATTATTTAATTACCTGAGGACCATTGGATCCAAACTATGCAAATAAGACATTCCTCGGGCGACATCAAGAGCGAATCGAATCGCTTGGCTGTGATCAATGACAACGGCTGAAATCGAAAGTTTGAATCCGAATTCCGAATTTTCGTTCTTACAGCTCTGCTCATGAAGGACATTGTAGAGACTGCCGAACGGCATGTATTGCGAGATGACGACAAGATTCGGCGGCTGATTGGCGGCGGCGAGCACAGCGCAGATATTCGGATGCGCGAATATTCTAAAACGCATCGATTTAGATTTTAGGCTGTAGAAATATGACGATAGTTAAACCTCAAAGCTGGAAACTCTGTTTGGAAATCTCGCGAAATTCTTGGCGTCACATCTTGAACGTTGAGAATTCGTGCGACGATGTCACTTCCTTGCCATTTTCCGCGCCACAATTCGCCGGAATGCGATTCAGCGATCTAAAAGGAAAAAAAAACAATTAATGGAATTATTGCAACAAATTACTTTTGTGATCAAATTAAGAGACGAGACATCAACACCAGTGTATCTTGAAAGAGTTGCATCTCTTGTGCGCGATTTTGTCCCTTTCCAAGTCGTGTCCTTAAATGGAATGCGCTCGTTCGGATTCTGGCCATTCTCCTGCGCAATTTCTGCAAACAAAAACTCGCCGTTTTCAGGGATTCGATTCTTGAAAACAAATCGCACCAATAATAATATTTTTGCACTGCGGCTGGCACACATCCAATGGAGTTTGTCCGCGTTTATTACATACATTTACAAGCGCGCCGTATTGAATCAGATCCTGAAACAAAGAGGGCTGGTTGCGAATTCTGATAGTGTCGCCAACCTCGGCAATCTGTTCGTAACCCCAGAAGCACGCGTAATGAAGCGCTGTCATTCCGTGCTCATTGGTCGCATGCACATCGGCTTTTCTAGCAAGAAGTTTCTGAAAACAGCACATTGAAATTCGCAAACCCATTAAAACCACGTTGATTTCAACACACATTGATCGACCCAATATAAAAATGGTTTGAAACTGGAAATGCGAATTGCACTCACCACAACAATTGTTCGGTGGCCGTGAGCGGCGGCCAAATGAAGACTAGTGTCATCACCCATGTTCGTCGAGTTCACACGCGCTCCTCTGAATGAATTGAGAATGATGATTCCCTATGATGGGCATTTACCGAGAAAGAAGCATCTCTGCTATCGAAACGTGCCCTTCTTTGGCTGCCCAGTGGAGAAGCGAGAATGCGTGATCGTCACTGTAAAATCGATGAGTTGGCTCGAATTGCGCCCCGATTGCTCACCCAACATTCAAATCGTGCTCATGATCATCGAGCCATACGCGAACTTGGAATGCGTTGCCCTCGCGCACCCATCCGAACACGTCTTCCATAATAATCGGCACATTCGGCTTATGGGCATGATAATGCGTCGAAAGCGACATGTTTGGCTCTGCAATGACGAATTGTTGATTAAACGAAACCAAAAAAACAATCAATTCGACTTGCCTACTCTATCCTATCAGAACGCACAAAAAAAATTGATGGTGATATTTTGCGGCAAACGGACGGATGGAAACCCCAAGCGATCTGCAAAAACTCATATGATCTAGGTGATGAAAGAATGAACAAAATCGAGAGGAAATAATTGGAACGTTTCATCTTTCATCTGCGGACAATTTCAAAATCATTAAAATTTTGACATTGCACCATTTTTAATTATTCTTTCTTAAATTTTTTTCGAATTTCACAAATTTAAGCTATTCTTATGAAAAATATATTTTGTAAAATTGTGGCGAAAAAAAAAACAGGAACAAAAATTGCAAATCGCTATAAATAATGCAAAACTGAACGAATCGGTTGACTAAATATAATTGTAAACGCGAAAAAGGTACATGACGGAACGCGAGAGCAACTAGCTTGAACAAACAAAAACGCGACCGGCGAGTCAGGCAGGCAGCCAAGAATGGAAAACGAATGCGGCGAGGAGAAGGAAGAGCTGAAGCAGCGGCGGGCGGCAGAAGGAGAGCGAGTTGCAAAAGTCGTGTGGGGTCCGAGGCGATTGTTAAAAGCTGCGTGTCCCCCAAGTTGGGCACGCATCATCGAATTTTATCGCCTTTTTTGGTGCATTTCGAAATGCATTGCTCATTTGGGACAATCTCGTCCATTAATTATGTATGTATTATTATTTGAATTCTCTTCTCATTTTAGATTAGATCAAATTCTCAATAATGAATTTATTGCTAATATATTAATTAAGAAATTGGAAAGTAATTAAGAAAAAATAATAAAATTTTAGAATTCTGATGGAAAGGTAAAATTTTACAAGTTGTCAATTATTTTTTGAAAATCTTAATACAAATATATCAATGTTGTTTAATATTTCAAGATTTCTGCGGCAATATTTTAATTTTATTCGCCATTTCGGTTAATATTGAAAGAAAATACATGGAAAAAATAAAAAACTGATGGAAAACATGACAAGTTATGATTTTCAATTGTAATATAAGCGGGAAAACGACATAATCTCGTTGAAACTGATAGAAGTACAAGATTCGTATAAGGGAGCCCCGCATTTCTATAAAATTCAATTCTACATTATCGATCAAAGATAAGAAAAAACACAATAATCACAAGACGGATAAGAAACGCCGAGAAAAAGGCGATATCGTGGGTGGGTGATGCGCCGTCGCGGCCGTCGTTGATGATCAGCGCAATATCTGGCCGAGGTTGCGGCCGCACTCGCACTCATACACCCGACGAGAAACGGTAGCGCACAACGCGAAGAAGTGGAGGGTCGCCGAGAAGCAGATGAACGAACAAGAAGACAGGCGCGCGCCTAGCGGCGAAAGCATCGGCGTGTTGTAACACACACACACGCGTCGTCGCCGTCGTCGTCATCGGCTGGCTCATACCCGGGTGCTCGGCATCCCGCTGAGTGCCCAAACCACCCGAAACATTCATTTCTTTCTCGCGGGGACGAAACGACGGGGGCCCGAACACGTTTTTGTCCCAATCATCGTGTGTTCGTGTGTGTGTGTTGTGCCCTGCGATTGATCGAATCGGCGTCGTCGAGTTCATGATGGCGCGGCAGCAGCGAACGAAAAAAAAATAACGGCGGCACATATTGATGAACTTTGCTGCAGGAAACGAGGCACTTGAGTGGCATATAACGTACGATTGGGACATATGCAAAGGGACTCAATGTCCCAGTTGAAATTTTTGATTTCAATCGAGGCTATGGTTTTTTGATATCAATATTGGATTTAAAAAAGTGACTATCATGATAAAAAATTGTCGGCAGCAACATTCAATTTCAATTTTTTCGACCCTACTTAAAGTATTTATGATATTTCAGAAAGATTTTTACGAACTTGAACATTTTGTGGCGCAACGCAAAAATTTTAATAAAGAAAAATCAATTCAAAGTTATTATTTTCTTTTTTTTTTAATTTTTTCTGCATTGTCCCCTTTAAATTGATGGCAAATATGGGAAAGAATGACACACAAAAAAGTAATCAATTATATATCGCAATTGATCAAATTAATGAGCGTTTCTGTGGAATTTAATAATTACAAAATCACTAAAATTTTTAAATGTTGGGATTTATCAAAGGAATGTTTAATTAAAGAAGAAATTCATCAAAGAATTTTTTTGATCTTATGCGAATTTCAAGAGAATGACGACAAAAAGCTCTAAATATGCAAATAAAAAGTTTTTACGGAAACAACATACCGCGTTTTTAAAATTTAAAATTTTAACCACCTTATTTTAAATTTTTTTTACCTTGAGGTGAAAGCTTTACAATTTTCAATTTCTCTTTTCATCAAATTTGCCTATTTCTGCAAACTACGTTCTAGTGCAACCACCTCTATAGTCACTATTATCGCGTACAAGTTTCCACATCTGTCCCGTCTGAGCACAATCGATCAATAATTGCGCGACATCATTCGTAATGCACTTTTAGGTGGAATTCGGTTCAAAGTGTACAGTTATGTCGAGACAATAACAAACGACACACACACACACACACACACACGCACCTTTATTATTTCAATGTCAGCCACTTTTGCGATTCTCAGTGATAAGGCTACAACCATTAGTGGTTTTCCTTCTCTTGTGTTGTCTATTTCCAATTTCGTCATATTATTTTTATAACGTAAATAATTGATCATTGAAAATGATTTTAGACTTCGCATATTTTTTTTTAGTTTAAAGCTGATTTTGATAATGCGTTTTTCGATAAAATTTCGACAAGAAGATTAGTAATATTCTCTTATCGTGAAAAAAGCTTGTCATTCTATGCATATCGCTAAAACGCTTACATTCGCCTTGTTTTAAAATTGACAATGTTTTAGACTCACCTTATGATTCCTTCCACTTCTACAGATCCACCATTGAACGACTCTATCCAGGTACTTTGCATTTTTTTGTTGCAAAACAGCAAAAATTGCAGATGCTATCAGAATTGACGGATTATGAAGACGCATTGTCGAGTGAGGAAGAATTTCATAGGCTCTGTACGACGCTGAAAAACCAAATTAGGCAGAAAACGTAGGTGAAGCTATTAAATGGGAGAAAGAAGGTTTTTTTTAAACTAAAACGTCGACTGGGTTAGCCGGTGTTAATTTGTTCACGGTTACTGTAGCCAAAACAGTAGACCACGCGCAATGTTGCACAATTCATTGAGTTTTCTTTTCTTTTCCATTTACGGCAAAATAAGGGTATTTCCTGGTTTTGACGATACCCGCAGATTACACTTTTTGCCTTTTTGAAAGCCGGCAATTTGTTCCATTTTTGTTATTACTAAGCCCCAATTTTGCCATTGATTCGATATCGTTTTCGAAAAAAATATTTTTGTCATTATTTTCGAACAAATACCTATTTCGCCCGTGCGCCTGACGAGTTAGCCGAGTTTTTTATTTCAGAAAAGCTAGGAAGGAAAGAAAGAATGAAACCAAAATTATTCGACCGAAAGCTGTTTCATATGATAGTGTGTCGAGCAGTGAGCATTCGAGTATCGAAAAATTACGTAAGCTCGTGTTCAATATGTTGTGTTAATATATCTGATTTAAGAACCTGGAGAAATGAGAAGTCGTCGTGGAACTGGACTCTCCCGCCGTCATAGCGATAGTGATAATGGAGAATGGAAAATGCTAAACTTTGCCGTATGTGGTAAATTTAAAAATCGTACTAATTTGAGAATTTCAGTTTCAAGAAATGACGCATTATCCGATTCTTATTCAACTCAATGAGCATCTTTCGGAAATTGCTAAGCAGTTAAATGAAATTGAAGCAACAAACGTAATGCAGCTCAAAATCATTATGCATCTCCTGACTAGGATGTCAAAGGTTTAAAAAAATCCCACCCTATTGAATTTAATAATTTATTTTAGCCACGTCAATCATGGTTCCAAATAATTTTACGAACTTTGAAGAATTTCCAATTTTTCATTTTCGCGTTCACTTGGCCTTTTATGGCTCGTGTAATTTACTATTGGTATCTTCGCCTATTCCGTCCAACAATTACGTAAATTATTTATCGTATAATTATTCAAAATATACAAGTAAATGTTAATCGAGATCTATTTGACATATTAGACCTTTGGGATGGTTGATCGAACATTCGCGATTGAGCTGAATTGCTCAGCCAGCTGCTTGAGCTCATCAACCGTCAAGAATCCGTCCTCATTTTTGTCGAGCATTGTGAAAATTCCATCAACGTCAGTTCGGCGTACCTTATTGGTTGCGGTCTTCTGCGAAAATTCGTACAATTCATTCTTGCCGATCTTATTGTCTCCGTTCGAGTCAATGAACGACATGAGACGAAGAGCAGATGTGCGCTGCTCATCAATCTGTAATTTTCGGCTCAATATGACTTATGCCAAAATAAATATGTCATACTGGGGAAACTGGAGTTTGATTGGTCAAGTGCGAGTGGAACTCGTCATAGGTGAGTTGGCCGTCCTTATCAGCATCGGCGACAGCGAGAATTCCATCAATAATTCTGAATTTCCTTCAGTGTTTTTCAATAAAATCGAAATTGTCTCAAAAAAAAGAAACCTTCCATTATTCTCATCCTTCATTTTTTTGACTTCGCCGAGATCAACAATTCCGTCGTTGTTCAAATCCATTTTCTAAACCAATTTTGACAGCATTATTTGAAAAATGAAAGTTTGCGCAAAAAAAAAACCTTGAAAAACTCGTAATCCAAATCCACCGGTCTTCTTCCCATTTCGAAAACCAGCGGCACAAATTCGGAAATGTCGAGATGTCCATTTCGATCGAGATCGAAACGATTGAAAAATTCTGAAATCAATCTCAAATTTTGCGCAGATTCGAAGCGGATTACCTTTTCCGTCGGGCCTTCCGCGCTTCCGCATGAATTTCGTCAATTCCTGCTGAGAAAGCTTCCCATCATTGTTGGCATCAACCAATTCGAATGAAGCTTCTGATAGTCAAACAATATTTAATCTGCGGACGTTTTCAGAACTGCATTTTTCAGGATTAAAATTCTTTCCTTTTTAACTCATATTTCAGATAATTTTTAAAATTCTATTTTATCCACTTTAAAATTTTCATGTCCAACACAAAAAAGAGAATGCGTAAAACGATGAGAAGGATTCTTCAGAAGCTCGAGCTCAACTCACCATTCTCCGGTTGGGGCACTTGTGCTCCGACAATCGCCAAAACAGCGGCCGCCGATGCAATATATGTGAACGCGAACATTTTGTGGGGTGACAACAAAAATTGGAATCGTAAGTACGCCGTCGGTCGGACAAACCAATACAACGCAATTTTTTTGGCACGAAGTCATCGCGGTGGTAGAGGCGCAGCGATCCAACGGCAAACGGGTTCCCACCACACAGACAAGCGCCGTCAAGCTTGTTTCCCCCCAAACGATGCCCATTTCAATGACGCGAATTGGACGACGATGGATATCAAGATTACGTAACAAAATGAATGCAAGGTGTGACACACCAATAAAATGAAAGAAACCGTCGATAGGCTGTGGGGAGAAGAGATTGAATTAGTTTATACCGAAAAAAATTCATATAATATAATAGGAACCGCTTAAAACTGCAGAGATCAAAACTATATAAAACAGGGCAAAATAGAATACAATTTTAATCCAAATGAATATACTTAGTTGGATCGAAGCGATGGTTATTTTTCGCCGGTGTCTGATTCAATTGCGCCATTATGTTATTCTGTACAATTTTCTCGCGCATCTCGTCCTGATACTTCTTGATCGACTGCAAATTATTTTTATTACGCAATTTTTTGATTAAAAATTAAGCCAAAGTTCAAATGATAAGGAATTCTTGTAGCACACATCAGCTACACTGAAGAAATGCCAGCATTTCGGTTCACTTTACATTAATTTCCAATTTTCTTTTCAAACCCGCATTCACAAACTATAATCATGCGCATTCAAACAGGTCAAGTAGTATGTGAGTCATTATGACTGGATGACTTTTACTTTACAATACGAAAAAAAATCAAGCAAACCTCAAGAATATCTTCGCCTAATTCATTATAAAACTGCCTTATTTGAGGGGCTGTCTTGTTTCCCAATATTTCTGCGACTGCATCGAAATCATCTTGATACCAATGGAAGCCTGAAACGCGCGACGATACGGTATTTTCATGGAGCTCGGTTTCTTACAGCGAATGGCATCTTGCTTCTCTTGATCCGTCCATTGGAAGTTGTGTTGACGATTGCGCTGTGATTTTAAATCGCCCTCCATCGAAGCGGATTTTCGCTCAACTCGCGATCTTTAAATTTATTATAATTATATTATATATCAAAAAATTATATATCATACTTGAGAATCTGCATTTCTTGTTTCCAATTGGCCACGTCTTGCCGATTGACTCTCGCGAAACACTGCGCCGCTTCATACATTTTTCGGCGAGCTTCTTCTCCGAGAATTCTAAAGCATGTCAAAAATTGTCTCCAAATATTTAAAAATGAAGTCTTACTCAATATCTTCCATACAAATCGTTTGCTTTTTTCTCCATACAAGCATAATTGGAAGTGAATTACGGTCCTTGAGACGTTCGATTTCTTTAATATCCTCTTCGCTGGAAAATGTTCGAGTCATTCGGCAAGTGTCTTGATCAACAAGCCCATCCAATACTGACGGTTCAACAATTAATGGAGATGATGGACGACGAGCACTGGCTGCTTCTAAGAACAAATCGTTTTCTTATATAAAATGTTTATGCGCATAAGAAAATCGTTTAAATTTTTGTATATTTTTTCAAAAAAAAACTTCTGTTGGAAAATACTCAAATTCCGAACCTAGAAGGCCACATTTTAGGAATAATCTAGTTATTTAATATGGCTTTATTCATTCAAACGTAGAGCTATTTGGATTTTAATAAAATTAAAATTTAGTGTTTTATTCGAAAAATTTTGTGGATACAAACGCTTTCAAACTACAACATTTTCAGCAAGATTAGACTTGTAACCATAATTTTATTCTAATTTTACTCGGACCGCAAAATAAGTATATATAGTCTCATAAATTCAAATCGGAAACACTAACCCAGTATCATGCAATCATCTTCTTCTTTTACAGCCTTCTTCCGGCCGATTTTCAGCCGAGTTGTAGGATCGCCAGTCGCCGGTGCTGACAATTCCTCATATCGTTCCACATGTTTACGCATTCCTAAACTACACGTGTTAAATTTTTTTCTGCATCTTCTGCTTACTTTCCGGGCAACGAATATGAACCCGCTTTAATTCTTTTGTCGTATCCCGTAATGACACTGGCCTTGGAGCACCCATCAAACGCATATACTGTAGGCATGGTTGGCATTCTTTGCGTTGCACCAATGTATTATATGACAGTTTTTCAGTTCTCTCTCCGCAATTTTCGCAAGTTCCGCGGTAGAACATTATCTCGCGATCGTCATCTTCATTGTCGTCTTCATCACTTATTTCGTCCTCGTCGATTCCATCAAGCTCCGAGAGCTTAACCTCCAACGAAGTCTTGTAATTCGCATTTTTCTTCGTATCATAGTAATACTGAATAATGGACGCCATTGAGCGATGTGGAAGCTAAATAATTTATAAAATGTTTATCAAAATTAAATGATTACCGCTGATCTGATTTCGGCGAACTTTTTTCCATGCTCATGGAATGCGTTAGTGAAAATAGCACGCTCTTCCTCAGTCCATCTATCCCGAATTTGACGCCGCTTCGAGGCCTGTAATACATTTTAGAGTTTAAAACATAACTGAGTTTTTTTGTTACCTCTCCTCCAGCAGCTTCATAGTTATAATGAGTCTTCATGAGAATGTAAAGCGCTCTATCGATTGGAAGTCGGAAGCGGCCGACAGCCTCATTTACATACATTTCCAATTTTTTTTCATCAACGATACTCGGTGTTCTCCAAACCAGCTGAAAAATCATGAGTATTGATTTTTCTTTTTTTTTTTTTCATTTTTACCTCATCCCGATCTGGATCTTCTGTACACAACACAATGTCCTCTGTGCTTGTAAAATCATCGATCGCTGCTTGATATTCACTTCCAATATGAATTAAGTTGTCGACGTTGGAGAGTGGAACCACGTTGTGGCCGCTTGCTGCAAAAACAAATTGACTATTTAAATTTTGCCCACAGGAGTACCTGAAGAGGGTTCTTCCTCGCCTCCGGAATCACTGGAGTTTCTCTTCTTCTTTTTTGGTTGACGATTTGAACGTCTTGGCTCAACCACCGTTGCTTCTTCGAATTCATTCGAAGATTGCTCATCGCTTTGTTCATCCTCATTTACTAAAAAAGGACTTTGGAATATTCATTTCCATAAATGGATTTTACCTGTCTCGTCTTCAACAGTCTCGTCCTCTGGTTTCTCGAATTCTTCGTTTTCATCAACTGGATCCATATCTGATAAAACTAGAGGTAAAAATAAGGAATGTTAGGTGTACCCGCTAAAAACCGGTTGCTGAAGAATCCGCGAATAATTGGAGACAGTGGGCGCCCAGCCGACTACCAAGCGCGCTCCATTGACAATATGTGGACGGCGGAAATTTAAATATCTCATACATCCTTGTGCGTTAGAAGGAATCGAATAAAATTCATAAAACTATTGTAATATCATCGATGAAAAGAATACTAAACCAAATCAAAATGAATATGGCGAGATGAACAGACGAGGACGTTGTGATAATAATTTCTGGTAACTAGAAATTCTCATTCTTTTGATTCCGACAATGAACTTATTTAGCTCACGGCTCATTGTTTCTTTTCAAGGCCTAGAGGTGAGGAGGAGCAAAACTGCATCTGGGAAAAGGACAAAAAATGAATTAAAAGTGAATGAAAAAATGGATCAGTCTTTAGAATTATCTATTTTTCTTCCACTTTTTAGCAATATTTGCTTCTTTCCCAGTTTAAGTGTAGTTTCCCTTCATTTTTCTATGTGAAATTGTCGTATTTGGTTCGGTTCGAGTTACCAATTCCATATTAGTTTAAAAGTTTTATAAACAATTGCAAATCGATTGTTTATTCTTTTAATCAATTATCGTCGAAACTTCATCGAACAAAGTTCAAACATTAAATAACGAAGAACCGAACAATTGCGCACACAATCCCAACGAATTCGTGATTCAATTCATTTGCGAAAGCCACGATCCACGTGACCTTTTGCGGTCTCAAGGTCACGTGACTATCAAATAATCGGAACAATTTAACGGAAAATATCTCGTCATGCGAAGACCACGAACTCGTCATCGTTAAATGATTCAGACAAATGGGAATTTGAATAATGCCACGTTCCCTTTGATTGCTCAGATTCGAATAGAAAGAAAAAAATTCCCGAATATATGAGAGCATTACTCACGTTGATTTTTTTTCTCTGCGCCTCCGAGATCACGTGATTTTTTTCAGAATGAATTACGAATTGGAATCACGTGACAGTAGGCGGATTGGTCCGAAGACATTCGGACCTTAGTACACGTAGAATTATATGGGCATCAGTTTCGGAGAAAATCGGCAAGAGCAGACAAATCAATGCGGTCACAAGGTGTTACATTTTTCTCCGAATTCCTTTCTCTTGATATAATTGGCGCGGCATTATATAAACGCTCATCCGATAAACAATCGATTCACAATTTTCTGATAGCGCTTTTGAACGTTTTCATTCCATTTCAGACCCCCTCTCAAAAAAATTTGACACCGTTTTTACAGTCCCCCCGGTTGTCGCCTCTACTCAAACATCGAACCATTCCTATCTGTTTTGCAGTCGCTCGTTATCATTAGCCATCGGCGAAAATCGAAGCGAAGACGACGCAACACGACGGGAAGAACCGGCGAGACGCGAGCGACCCCATCGCCCATTTTTATCAGCTCAACCAGCGAATCGCGCACGAGGAACAAAGAACGAATCGATGCAGAAGACAGGTATGACCCCCGGCCGGTAGAATGAGGGTTGACCAGAAAAACACTAGATTTGATGCAATCAATCCATTTTTTATAAAGAAACGGCGAGATGCTTAATTTGTTCGGCTCAAGCTACTGGATATCATTTTGAAGCTCAAAGTTGCTCGGCATGTGCTGCATTTTTCCGACGAACTGTTGCACTAAACAAAAAGTTTACTTGTATTACCGGCAGAGATGATTGTCAAGTGCATTATAGTAAGTTCCAGAGGATTGTCATTAAAAATTTCTGTTTTTTTTTCAGGCATGCATCAGATTTGCAGAAGTTGCAGGTTTCGAAAATGTCTTAAAAACGGAATGAAAGAATCTGGTAAACATTTAGAAGAATTCGCAATTTCTGCACAGACTTAAAAAAAAGAATTGCTTCTTTATTTTTGAGACACGTCAAAGTCTGCACAAACCTTATGTATGACTTTTCCGAGTGTACATATTGTCGATATCGCGCGACTGCGGAAAATTGGCTAAATGCCAAAAAAATTAAAGAGAGTGTGCGTTTTTAACCTATAATTACTTTGGCCCGTAAATCTACACATTTCGTTTTGCGCCAAAAGCACTGTCATTGTTTTTGGCATTTAGCTAAATTTCCGCTGTTGCGCAACGTCTACAATATAAATTGTGCAATCACACCGCATTCACTCCACAGGCTAGAATTTTGATCTACGATGTAATATTTTAAATTCTGCATAGAGGTTGCAAGTTCTACACGACGCATTACTATCTTATTTCCAGGTGTTCAACCGAAACGAAAACAAACCGAAACTGGACGATCATTTTTCACGCAATCCGGATTAAAAAGGAATAAGAAATTTTCGACAATTGAGCCATTAAACGAAACGGAAAAATTACACGTAGGTTTAGATTGACATGTCGATGAGACCTAATTGAAATTCGTAAAAATATCGGAAGAAACGAAATTTTAATGCAGATTCAAATTTCAAAGCTTTTAAAATGAATGGGGTTCTTAATTAAGCAAATTTTTCCCTAGATCATCCGTGTTATTGTATAACCCTCATGCTTGTCTATATGTTATGTAAAGTCCTAAATAGCCTTCCCTTTGTATAATTCTTCTAAATATTTGAAAGATACATCAAATTTGAAACAATTATTCATATTCAGTCGGCACATATTTCCATTCAACATATTGTTGTTTTAATTATTAGGTGGACAATCAGATACAGCAGAAAAGACCGAGAGAAACTGTGCCGAAACTTGAAATAGCTGATGACACGGATGATGATGAATTTGAAACGGTTTCGTTACACTTACATATAAATTATCGATGTTGCTTTCAGAAGAAACAGAAACCTTTCTACGAGCCTTCGTCGAGTGCTTCGCATACACCGACCACTTGCAACACACCGATTCCGGGGCCTCAAAAGGAAACGTAAGACTGCTATTCAACATTTTTAAAATTAGGATAAATTAAATATGTTTTTAGATTTGCTTTGTTTCAAAAATATAATCAAATATGTTTTATAGTCCTCATGAAGACGTATTGTCCTGGTTGTGCAGGGAAGAAATGAAGCTGGGCGAACGACGAAGAATAATGTTCTGCGAAAGACCCGTCGAGAAGCTGCTGGGACAGAATTCAAAATGTGTAAGATTTAAAGCATTTTTCTAAATTTAATTTCAAATGGAAGAAAAGATTTTTTTTAATTAATTTCTACGAGTTTTAAACTTTTTTTGGTAGCCATTCACCAAAGAAGACATCAAACCGCTGTCATTTCGAGCGTTTCGCAAAAGCATCCGAACTCACATTCTGTTGATCTACGAATGGCTTCAAGCATGGCCAGATTATCAAGAGCTCGACAACAACGACAAAGTCTCATTCCTCCGCAAATGTGTCCTATTCCACACGATTCTCGATCCAGTGTATATTTCAATTCAAATCGGATATCCTGACAAGTTCGTAATGCAGAATGGCGGATACGTGTCGTGCATCGAATCGTGCAATGAGGGATGGGAGGATGAGAAGGAGATATCGGGAAGGATCAAGAAATTGTATGGGAATTCGTCACAATTTTAAACGGCAATTCTTGATTTTCAGAATATATCAGCCGCTTCTGAAGCGAATAATGGAAGAGATTATACCGCCAATGATTGACATGAATCTTTCGTTTGAAGAGTTCGTCGCGTTGAAGGCTTTGGTCAGTTGGCAAGGTGCCATTCCGAATGTTTCTGTGTCCAAGAGGAATATTATGAGGAAGCAGCTCGATGCGATCATCACATCACTACATCAGCACTACACGCAGGTTGGGAAATTAATTTTAAAAAAATAACATAATTATTAAATTTTAGATTGGTGACATTCAGGTTGCCGAACGTCTTGGTCAAATAATTCTTCTTCTCAGCAATATTTTTGTAAGTCCTCATAATACTTCATATTTTACCTTTCTTAAATTTTCAGTCTACTGGTCTCGACTTTGTTGTCAGTCATCGCCAAATAGAATTCTTCGATCTTTGGAACATGGATTCGCTTCTGCGGCAGCTACTCAACCTCGATACCATTCTTGAGGATAGCGAATTACGGAAAGAATCAGAACAAGAGCAATAAAAATTTTGATTTATTTATCAAAATACTTCGAGAAAATTAGTTGAGGCAATCGCGCGTTTCTCCAGAGAATTTTCCTGCGAGTTGGAGGACTCCAAAATCGAAAATCTTCTTTGGCTCTTTTCCGCTGGATATGTATGCGCTTGGAATGTAAACGGTGATTTTTCGCTGGCACGGTTTGATTCCGTCGTCGCAATCATGATAGATATTGATTTTTGGCTCGATCGAGGTGAACTCATCTGCATGCCCCTTGAGATCGAACTTTCCGCTTCCATCGGTCTTTCCAGAAGCCATTAATTCATCAGGAGAAACTGAACGAAGCTTATTCTCTTATTAGAATTCGATCATGAAACTTACGCTTATCTTCATCGTAGATCTTGACTTTAACACCACTGGCTGGCTTTTCATTACACATCAGTTGCCCACGGACCCCGACCGACTGGGTTCTTCCAATCGCATGACACACGGCGGCAAATGAAATAAGGACTAAAATGGTGGCTTGGTGCATGGCTGAAAAATTAAAAAATCAGATATTAGCACAACAAAATATAGGGCAAATGAAATGTTGGAATTGAGAAGTGTAATGTGTTGAAGCGAGAAAAGACGACAATGAAGGTCGTCGTCGTCGAGAATCGCCAACATTAAACAATAACAATTCCTCCCCACCTTTTTGGTCGAATCTAATCGATCTGCGATATGATACGGACTGATCGTTGAAATGTGATGATGATGATGAAGCGGAAGTCGATGAATCAAAATGGTTTGGCGAAGGAGTCAAGGTCTCTTTTTATAGATGGCCACCACTGGAATCATCATGTCATTGGTTTAGTATTTTTGAAATAAGTCAGGTTTCTATCATTTCCGATCCTGAGACTATATGATATCATTTTTTACGAAAAATTTCTTCGATTTGTAGAACCACTAAATGTTTAAATTGGAAGACGGTAGGGTTTTTATAACAAATAATTTGAATGTTTCTTTTTATAGCTTATTTTATATTTATAAAAGCAACAAAAGTTTGGATATTTCTTTTCAAATCTTTTTCACAATTCGTTTGGAAGGTTGTGTATACGGTTTGAAAACATACCTTTTCCAGTTTAAGAATTCGTGTTCCTGTATATTTCAACTACTATTATGATTCATCATCATAAGAACAGGAAGTGATTGTTGATTCGCGCATCTACAGTAGTCACTTTTATTATCTTCTATTGTTTACCGAATCACCGTTTTTTATCAATTCTCACATAAAAAATGAGGACGACGACGACGAAGATTGTCACATTTTCAACGTTTCGATTCAACGTCGCCATTTCAGAATGATCAATCAAGGCTGTCTAGCAGTTTTCACCGTTTTTCTCGTCTCCGTAAATGCTGTTGGGTTCCAGCAGTCCGTAGCAGTCAAAGGAAAATTGTTGTGCCATGACAAACCTGCAAGCGATGTGAGGATTAAGATGTACGACAAGGACATTCGTGAGTTTTTTGCTTTTCTTCAGAGAAAATCAATACAGTTTGAGATTAATAGATTGGGTACTTCATAATACTATCATAAACCAGTTTTATCATACTTTAGCGACATTTTAACTTTCACTATTACTTCAGCAGCAATTTTATCAGAAAATTTTGACTATTAATAAACACCATGGCAAGAAAACGAGCTTGAACATTCGTAGACCGTCGTATTCTCTCGGGGAATTCAATTCAATGTAGATTATATTCAGTGGCAATTTGGGTACTGTAAATTAATCGTAAATCAGCGCAACGTGCTCGTTTTAATAGTTAAAAAATTATTGGTTAATCTACTGGGACAATTTCAAAACTGCTTTCAGTTGTCGACACCAAATTGGATGACAAAACATCTGATTCGAATGGAGAATTTTATCTTAGTGGTGGAGATACTGAAGTAACCTTTTATCACTACAAAAATATTTTTAAACGTATATTTTAGATTAGTTCAATTGATCCCAGAGTCAACATTTATCATGACTGTGATGACTCTTGGAAGGTAGATTTTCATATTGCTATCAATTTTTAAATGTAAAATTACCCAGCCATGCCAACGTCGATTGACTATTGGAATTCCGGACAAATACATCTCCAATGGAGACAAGCCATCAAAAGTTTTCGACCTCGGAGTGATCCAACTAGCCGGAAAATGGGTTGGAGAGACACGAGATTGTCTCCACAGACACTAAACACATTTTATTTTGCATAATTTCATTCAATGAATGCTTTTTTAATTGTATTGTGCTCGAAAAAAAATTAAAAAAAATACAAAAATTGGCAAAAGTCCAGAAAATTCGCGAAATGTTTGAAGCGCGCTCGAAAAAAACAAATTTGAATTTAGCGCGCTGGCCTAGTCGGCGTTGACTGAGTATTAAATGAATTCGCGCATTTCCTACGCAGAGACAACGACCTACGCAGATGCACCGCTGATGACATTCTCCCATTATTTCTCAGTTTCTCGCCCATAGCACACGTCTCGCACTGTTGTCCGTGTGTCGGTGTGGCTCTCTCACCCTCAAACGATAACACAGCGTCCTTCTCTGTACCAGAACGCGTTCACAATTAATAATCGTGTCGCGTTTTTCACTGACTTTAAAATAACGCTAGTTCACCCAAAAATTTCCCTTTCACGTTTTCTATCGATTTTCCACATATTTTACGCCATATTTCGTTTGTACTGCATTTGCTGCTCTATTGGACTAGTGGGCCAAAATTTTGGATTTTTTTGTTCCGTGTTGGCGCTTATCGATTTTTGCTTTGTCAAATGTTGGCGTCTTTTTAGATCTCAATAAGACGGAATCAAACCAACAAGAATGAGCGCTGATACGCAAACTGTTTCTGCGAATAATGATGACAACTGGAAGACCGCGCTTGTGTTGCCGCCGAAAGATCGACGATTCAAGACTGCTGTAAGGATTTATTTATAACTTCAAAGTTCTTTTATTTTTCAAAGACTGTCACGAAAGTTATTTTCTAAGACATATTGTTGGTTTCAGGATGTCACCGACACAAAAGGAGTGGAATTTGAGGATTTCTGCTTGAGCCGAGACCTTCTTATGGGTATTTTCGAGAAAGGATGGGAGAAGCCAAGTCCAATCCAAGAGGCATCAATCGGTGTCGCTCTTTCTGGACAAGACATTCTCGCCAGAGCTAAAAACGGAACAGGAAAAACTGGAGCATACTGCATTCCAGTTATTGAGAAAATCCAGCCTGCCTTGAAAGCGATCCAAGCTCTAATCATCGTCCCAACTCGTGAATTGGCTCTTCAAACTTCTCAAATCTGCGTTGAACTCTCAAAGCATGTCGGGCTTAAGGTTTACTTAATATTTTTGGATTTGTTATTAAACCATATATTAAGGTTATGGTTACCACCGGTGGAACTGATCTTCGTGACGATATAATGCGATTGAACGGAACTGTTCATTTAGTTATTGCCACTCCAGGAAGAATTTTGGACTTGATGGAGAAAGGAGTTGCAAAGATGGATGATTGCAAAACTTTGGTCCTCGACGAAGCTGACAAATTGCTCAGTCAAGATTTCCAGGTTTGTAAATCGTGATAATAAGTGAACTCAAACTTGAGTGTTTCAGGGTATTCTTGATCGATTGATCCACTTCTTGCCAAAGGAACGCCAAGTAATGCTCTACTCTGCTACATTCCCACATACGGTTACTGCGTTCATGCAAAAGCATATGCATAAGCCATACGAAATCAACCTCATGGAGGAACTTACTCTTCTTGGTGTTACTCAGTACTACGCGTTTGTTCAGGAAAAACAGAAAGTGCACTGCCTAAACACCTTGTTCCGCAAGGTATGTACGGGCGTAATTTTATCGGTAGTAAATCCAAATTTAGCTTCAAATCAACCAATCGATCATCTTCTGCAACTCGACGCAACGCGTTGAGCTTCTTGCCAAGAAGATCACCGAAATCGGATATTCCTGCTATTACATTCATTCCAAGATGGCTCAAAACCACAGAAACCGTGTTTTCCATGACTTCCGTCAAGGAAACTGTCGCAATCTTGTTTGCTCTGATCTTCTCACCCGTGGTTCGTTATTTTCCGCAAGACCTTATTTTTTAAGATATCCATTTTTCTAAATCCCCGTTTCAGGTATTGACATCCAAGCCGTTAACGTTGTTATCAACTTTGATTTCCCGAGAAACGCTGAAACTTATTTGCATAGAATTGGTCGTTCCGGACGTTTCGGTCATCTCGGAGTTGCTATCAACCTCATCACTTACGAGGACCGTCATACTCTTCGTCGCATCGAACAAGAGCTTCGCACTCGCATTGAACCCATTCCAAAGACTGTTGACCCAAAATTGTACGTTGCCGATCAACAATTGGTCGACGGCGAGAGCGAGAATTCCGCTTAAGCTTTCATTCCCTAATCATCATTCATCCATATATTTAGCACTGGTTGTTATCACATTTATCGAAGTGATCTCATATATGTGATGTCCATATAAAAATCCACACTGTTTTCTTTAATTGTAATTTAAGCACATGCCCCCTCTTATAATTATCTTTTCGTGCTTCAAAGTTTTTGCATAGTTTGTGTTAAATTTAATATATTTCCTGCATTATTTTCTCTCAAGCTCCCCCCCCCTCCCCTCCCACCAACCTGTTAATTAAACGGTGTAGAATTTAAAACCCCAGATTAGTATCTACGATGTTATTATTTTGGTTTGCATTCAAGTCGTTTTATGTAGTCATTTTGAAAATCCCATTTTCCCAAACATTTATTACCGAGCCATTCAAGTTTGGGAAACTGTTGGATTGTTCTTTACGGGCAATGTTGACGTGTTTCTTCAATGGGTTCGTTGAAGGTATTTGATTTCCTAGGAAATTCAAATTCCCAATTATCGAATTCTTTGTCTATATTTCAAAACATCTCATCATTCTTATCAAAGTCTGAACCCCTGCGGTTTTCCCTTGTCCATCTGTTGGGTTTTTCCGCTTAGTGCATTCCTGTAATACCTGATTTCAACTTATGCTAATCTGATGTTAACAAAATCTATTGCAACCTGTCAAATGGATTCCAAGACGATTCAAGTCTGGGAGGCCCAGGCTGGCCATGTGTCTCGCTTTCAGCCTCCCCCACCATTTGTTCTTTCCCCCTCTTGTTTATTGTATAATTGTTATAAGTTGAATCAAAAATGCACAATCGATTCGAAACGAAGATGATTTTCCCAGTGAGAATCTTGAATAATAAAAATATCGAATCGAATTTTGTTTACGACACAATGCACATAAAAGAGAATGACATAGTCCGATTGCGATCTGTTGTTCTGTCGCTAGATGAATAGACTTTCGATGAAGCGACGTCAGAATTTGCTGTCCCGAAATAATTTATAGCAAGTGGGCGAGATTCTGGCGTCAAGCAAATTTAATGCATTTATTATGGTTTCTCCTGATTGCGCCCATTGTGCGTCTCGTATATTGGCATTCAGAATGTCGAGTTCAGAACGACAACGTCCGAAAGGTATATAAATATATTTTTATTTTTGATGATTTGTGCTCTGCGATTACGGTATTTTAGATTGCATCATTCTCACGTGTTTCCATCGGACTCACGGACATAATTCATTGACACGCGAGGTCCTTTTACCTGCCGAATATTTAAGGTGTGATTTTTGGAGGTGTGCGTGTCGCCCGGTTTCTGGTCGTTCATTTTTTTATTCGTGTTGAGACCGGAAGCAACAAGATTCGAGATTGGTCAATTATCTACCGAACTCATTGTATTATGTGTGTGCTCGTCTCGTTTATTTTTTTTGGAAAATTGTCAAGAGGCGAAAAAACAATTTCATTTCTTCTGGGAACCATTCTCGTTCCGGCAATGTCGTTTTCCTGCTGTTTTTTTCGGTTTGGTGTTTTTCCTTCTTTAAATTTCCATCAACTGAACGAACATTAGTTCCATTCAAATAAAACGTAACGTGCGTTTCTCATTATTCGTCGATGAAGTCACTCTATCGGAAATCCAGTTGTCACCTTCGAATTCCCCACTCCGCTTTCGAGCATTCACAGTTTACTATCAATTGTGGACCATCGCGCTTTTTCGAGGCGGTAATTCAAATGCAAATTTAAACACTGGAATTCAGATAACGTAATCACGGTAAATCGGCGCGGGGGTGCTCGTTTTTTGTATAATTAGTTCAGATTATTTTTATTCACAAGAATTCTCAGTTTTCCAAATTTCTTCTAACATTGTTGTCCATCACCTGTAATTAAAGGTGCCGATCGAGTTGTTTCTTTTCTATCTAAAATCTCGAATTTGAAAAGAAACAAATTGAGAATCGATCGATTTTATTTCCAAACATCATTTTTTAATTGAAAAGAAAAAAAACAAAATTCAAAGCGATTTATAAAGTTTCGGGCAAGGAAAAACGAGATTATGAGTTCAATTTTCCCAAAAATGAGCATGTTTTCTCATATTATTCATTTCGAAACATGCATAAATTATGCTACATTCATTATCGAATAACATCAACGAGTTTCGTGATCTTTTTTTCGATGAAATTTATTTATGTGAAAATTCTATTCTCGGCGTCAAACGACTAGACGAAATTTGAAAAATATGATTGACTATGTGCCATTGGGTCTCGAGGCAGTGAGAAGTACGCAAGACTGCGTACATTGCATTTTAGTGTACGCGCATTTAATATTCAGTCAAAGATACGTTTGAATCTACACTGATTTCGCGAAGGCTCCGCCTCCCTTGAGTCGTTTGACGCCCACAATACGTTTTTATTCATTTTTTCGTCGGATCATTTAATTTTTGTGGGCGGCAATGGTGTATGTCACGAAACGACGATTTCAAATGACGGAAAAGCCTCAACGAGCCATTATTCTTCGTCGCTGCTTCGCCTTTTAGCTTGTTTCTCATCTATTCCGTAGATTGATGCTCACTACCGTACGCTTTTCATTCGTCATCCGATTTCATTTTGAACCCGTTTCATGGATTGCTTGAGAGCCTATGAGGCAATTAGTCGAATTCCGAGGGTCTCGACTGATTTCTGAATAATTCTCAATGATTTGCTCAATAGTCAAAATAGAAATTTTCGATTATAATAAAGACCCGTGCGACACAAAACACGTGAGCCAATTGTCACACATTCAAGCTTATTTGGTGGTTTCAAGGTAAGAAATTTTACATTCTTTTTTGCACGTCCGCATTCGTTACGAGACCATCAAGACGTGTGCCCGCTTAAATTTTTGTTTTCCCTTTAATTAGAAATTCTTGGATTTAAAATCACAATATTCCTGCAGTTTGGATTATTTGAACATTTCCGATATGCGGAAGTCATGGAAGTTCGCTCGACTGAATTTGGAGGGCCCAATTTTTTGAATGAAGAGTTCTCCTTCCTCAGACTTTCCTCAATGATTTCTGATGTTTTGCATTGTGACTTCAATTCCGACAAAGATCAAACATTTCGTTTCATTTCGTTTCGTTTTTTTTTCAACCTGCAAATCAATTTTCTTCGCTGTCAGGTTAACGCACCGCCCAAAAATGGGAGGGTTCAGCACACTGATTGTTCTCATCGCTCTTCTCGCCGCCGTCGCCAGTGGACTTCCGGCCAATCCCTACCGCGACCTCGGCAGCAATTGCTCGAAGAAGGGCATTGCCGAGTTCTGTCAGGCCGAGAATCTGTTCTGCTTGCGAAGCGCCTGCAGTCAGTGCATCCTTCGCGATCCTTTCAATCCATTTGGTACGTCTGCTGTTCTTCGCAATGAAACCAGCCCAACCAACATTTGATTTCAGCGTCGTTCTGCAATCGATTGAGCTCATGCGTGTGCTCGATCAGCAATGACATCGAATGCGAGCAGAAGATCAGCGCCACCTGCTACTGATCCATTCTCATTGCCCGATTTTGTGCTAATGTAATCCAATAAATTTGCTGACTTGTTAATTTATCTCACATTGTACAGTTTTTTGAATAAATGTACCCCCCACTAAATAATTCGGACCTCCTTGTGTTTTCGATAAAGGAACATCTGGAAATTCGATGGGCCCATCAAAAATTTAGACGTTCCCGCCCATTTGGATTACAGGTATAGTCGACATCCGGCGACTGTCTGCTGACCGCGGGTAGATTTACGGGGTGCGCCTTTCAAAATGGTCTCGTCACGTGTGGATGCTACCTTTGTGGCTTTCACGTAAACTGTTTGATTTTTTCTTGTCGAGTTTGGACCTGCTCCAACGTACTTCAAAATACAATTAACAATCCGACCCCCCTAAAAGGAACTATGCGAAATAACGAAATAATTTCCGCGTGAGACCATAAACACTCGTAAACCTACCTGCGTACAGCACTGGTAGATTTTGCCCGCGTTGCTTATGATGGCGAACCGCGAGAACAACCTTCGAATATTTGTCAACAATTTTAATAATCTTTTTTTTAACATTCGCAAAAAATACGAGCACCCTGAGTACGATTTTCGGGGAGTTTTATTCTCAGGTTATCCAGAGTACGATAGCCGAATTCCCACTTTTTAAATTCACATTTGAATTACCGCCTCGGAAAATTGGCCCATAATTAGGCGCTCGTTTTTTCTTTGCGATGATATTATACACTCGGTGAATTTTTGCGAATTTGCCGGGGGTCTGGGGGCAAACGCGCCCGCTAATTCGGGCATTTGGGGCAAACCTGGCCGGAGCCAATGGCGCATTCGAGCCGAGTCCGGGTCGAACGCACCCGAAAAATCCTCTGAGTATTTTGGATGCTCTCAATACCATTATGTGTGCTTCTATTTCCGGTTAACGCTTATCAAAGCTTCACACTATCTACAAAGAAGGACGGAGCTCACAAACACCGAAAGGGCTGGCAACAGAGAAGCACATTATGGGACCAACAATCTCCCAAAACTCTTACAAAACTTGATGAGCCGAATTGAAGACGCAAACGCAAAGAATGAAGCGAATAGTGGGTCACCCGCTTATACGGGGTGACACAACACGGAAAAACGAAAATTAAATAAGGAGTAGAGTTTGGCTTGAATTTCTATTGATGTCAGGTATTCATGGTTCGGCGAACACTGAAAAATAAACAAATATTATAAGGATCAATAGATTTGGGGGAAAACGAGAATATGGGAACAAATTATAAAATTACTAATTACGGTCTATTCATAAATAAGTTTAAAGTCTTTTTTTTAATAGAGTATTCAAACACATGCTCGCGGATCACAACACCTTCTCAAGCTCAAAATTTTCTACGAAGCCAACTGATAGAACTAACTGTCATTCTTTGAAAAATCGAGTTTTTTTAACTAGTAATTTTTTAATACTACTTGAATTCGCAAAAAGGCAAATTTGTTTTGGCTGTAGTACGGTATCCAAATTCCCATTTTTTAATTCGAATTCGAATTACCGCCTCGAAAAAGTGCGATGGTCCACAATTATTCAAGGCACTTGTTTTTTATGGGCCATAATATTTTCAGAAAGGCTCAAGAGGCTGCGGTGTAAAACGCATCGCCCATATAAATCCTTACATTTGAATATGAAGAAGCTACATTCGTAAGCTACATTCGTAAGCTACATTCGTATGCTACATTCGTTGTCCAGTAGATCATTTAAAATAACATTGTCGCATGGTTGAATTGTCATTTTCTAGAAATTTAAAATTATATGTATAATATTGAAGTTCTAACCTCGGTTGCTTTCCGTAATGCAACTCCTTGCTGACCATTCGACGCCGATTGATATGAAAAGAGTTGAAGTTTAATTGGGATTCGATTTGCAAATTTTTTTTTCGATTTTTATTCGACGAAAATTGTTTGCCAATTCGGCGATTCGGCAAATTGAAGAGATTCTTCAGACCACACAACCACCAACGGACTTCCTCCTTTACAGTCGTCGGGCCCTTCGGACCACCGATGCCAAGCGTTTCTCGGGGTCGGGTGGTTTGACCGACCGCCGCGCTCGTGCGGGCTTAATATTGACGAGTCCGAATCAACGGATTCATCCTCGATGAGAGAGTCTCTCATCAAGTTTGATCGTTGGCAGTTGTCCTCATCTCTATTTATTCGCCGAACCATTTTCAAATATTCGAAATTGAGGTAAGAGTTTTTGGAAATTCAAATTTCAACATTTTGAAAGAAAAAAAACGAATACCCACCAGTTGCTGTGCCACCAAATTGCTCGAAATGCGCGGAAATCCTCAAATTCACGCGGTGACCCGATTTAATCAATCTGAAATTATAGCGTGTGCTCATTTTTTTTTATTCCAATGAGTTCTCAAATCCACGTGCCCTTTTTTTTCGTTGGAGCATGCCAATATTAAAAGTTCAACCTCGAAAAATTCCAACAAACGAGAAAGTTATTTGAACTTCCGCCAAAACATCGGTGTTTGCGCCAATTTTAGTATTTTCTCATGCTGCTAATTTTGGGTTTTGATCTTGGTTTGTTCTTTAAATTATCAGAAAAGTTGAGATAAATAGTATTTCGCGAAAATGTGTGAAAACACCGTGACGCAATTATCGCAGAAAAAAACAAAAAACATTCATCTCATATGTTTTTTTCTCGATCGGCATTTTCGGAGTAAAATAATAAAATTTCAAAATCATTTTTTATAAAGTTTCACACTACAATTTGACCCATAATTAATGTCATATAAACGGCACATCGAGTTTTTGTTTGTCGAAGACAATCGACCCCTCAACATTTGAATTACGGATTTCCGAGATTGAACATTGTCAAATATGTAGAAAATTACAGTATTCATCAAAGGCGCATCTAGACCAATTTTTTCAAACTTCCGACGATACTAGCAATTAATCACAGACTTAATTACTATATATTTTTTCTTCGTCGAGCCAAACCAAATATGCAACTGTCGTCATTGCTCTCTGAAAAGTTGCACTGCACAACAATAAACATATTCCATGCGGCATGACCCACTAATGATTTCCAAGTGGTTCGGACCTTTATTGAGATCAGAAGATCATTTACATGTTTCGCCAATGCTTGGCCGAGTTGCGGCTTGCAGTTTAGTTGTCACCAAATCTCGATGCGAATGACGAATTTCGAAATTGAAAAAAAAAACACATGTTGTATACTAAAATATTCAAGTGCGATTATCATGATATTTTCAGATTTCGAGGGGCAATCATAAAATATTCAAAACTATTTTTTGCATGTTCAAATGATTCACGAGGGACCATTAATTTTTCGGGACTCAATCATAGCTATTTTAAGGGATTGTTTCAAATCTGGCATAATGTGCGCGACATTTCCAACAAGGCTTCATCAACAACGAATATCGCGCAGTGCTTGTATTCGTCTGTTGTGAAACCCTGTCGGATGGTCCGTTTGAGTGGCGCCGAATTACAAGAGACGCAATCCCCCCCTCGACAAGTTGCGGTTTTCGATGGTCCCAAGGAGTCGCTTCTCATCGCCGAATGAGGCGAATCAAAAATGCAAAGAAAAACGCGAATGATGAAGCATATTGTCTCATACATATTTGATATCGAGACGACTTCGGCAACTCGACGACGCTCATCATTTCTAATATTGATATTCGGATGGGGTTCTCAACACGAGAAGTTTGAAAAGAAAAAAGAATATCCATTGATAGGAATAATAGCAGTACGAAGAAATGGAAGTGGGGGTTCGTTGTCGTCGTGGTCCGACTCGCATACCAAATGAGAATCGGAGTAATGCGAATCCGGCGTCTCTCATGCTCTCGTCGTTGTGGAATACGGTAGGGGCGGCTGGCTTGAAACTGGATATTGTTTGCACAAGTAAAAGAGTGGGTGCTCTCACCAATTCGGGACCCATGTGCACCAACACCGCGCATGAATTTTGCCTTCTCCAGCGAATGTCGTCGTCGCCTTTTTTTGGAGATCTAATGGCAATATAAAAGCGGGGGAGAAATTGATGATTTGTCATATTACGGGAAGCTCATTTCGGATAATTTTTGGCCTTATTCGGATTGGACCAATTAAGAGGGCAATTCCACAAATTTAGCAATTAATCCCCATATATCGCAAATTTTGATTCTAAAATGAAAAATTTTTCCCAAAGCTAAGAGCATCTGAACAGAATCGCTTCATTCGCGAAAATATTAAGTGGTCGAGACGATCAGTTGATGATCAGCACTGATCTCTGTCAATCGATTGCTTCGATTCGCGGTAATGAAGACCAATAAATAATATATCAATTCGCATCTGCGGGCATTTTCCAACAAAAATTTACTTATATTTAAACATAAGTATCTGAAAATGAGCATATTTCGTCTAGATCAGATTTGCTAAAATCGAGGACATTTTTAAAATATTCAAAACGAATTGGCCAATTTTTGCTTGCGGTCAAACATTCGCGGCGGGAGTTCAAAAAAAATGGTGACATCTGGTCTTGAAATGTCTTACCAAGAGCATTCAAAAGTCGATTAATTAGCCATCTCTAAATACGAATGCTTCAATCAGATAACCTGTCGTGAACGACCTTTTTTAATATGAGAAAAATAATTTTATTGGCATTTATTGTAATAATAATGTGAAATTTGCTGCTCCACACGACCGTATAAAAGTGGAGCAGCATTTCTTGGTTATTCATTTCCTTATGTTTTACGGTGCTCGGTGTTTTCTTATTCTTTTTCTACTTTTATAATAAAGGTTTAATTACCCAAGTTTGAGGTACACACACACGCTCATACATAACCATATAATTATGATTATTGTTATTAATTATCAAGAATGAGAATTCGTAGAATCATATTGTCGGCGTCAAACGACTGAAGGGAGGCGGAGCCTTCAAATTCGCGAAATCAGTGTAGATTTAAATTAATCGTTGGCTGAGTATTAAATGCGCGTACACTATAACGCATTGGCACATAGCCAATAATTTTTAAAATTTTGTCAAGTCGTTTGACACCAACAATAAGTCACCATTACAATAAATGGTTTTAACGAGCCGCTTATGCTTATCGTGCTCTGCACATTTTTGGAAGAAAAATTCGAGAAACTCCGAAAACTAGTTATTTTCTTTCAATCTGGGTAATATTTAGAAAAAAACAGATTTCTGAGGCTTTTTTTTTGAAATCTGCATCGTACCATTGAAAAGGTATGGATTTTTTAAAATTTACTATCTGACAACCATCCTTCCAAATTTCATTTTTTAGATATAGTCGAGGACGGACAAATTTAGGGCTCGTTGTTTATGAATGAAGACGCCGCCAAATTTGGAAAATTTGAGAACCAAAGTAGATATCAAAGAAGAAAAGAAATGATTTCGTAAGAAAGTCAGGGGGGAGGGTCTGGGGACCATTACTATATTTTATAGTGATTACCTTATTTGAAAAAAGCGGTAAATTATTGCTATTTCCATTATTATTGTTATTATCATTGTTATTGTTATTGTTGTTTTCAATTTCATTGAAAAAAAAATGCAAAATAAAAATTCTCGATCCGCCTCCCCCAAGAGGCCCATCCTATGAAAGAGGTAATTTTGCGGTGCCCGATTTGGATCTCATGGATCAGTTCAGTGTCATGGAAAATAGTCGAAATGATCATTTTTTGCTTCAAATGAAATGACGAAAAAATGGTTTCAAATGAGTAATAATATATTTTAAAATATTGGCTTATCATTTTAAATAATTTATTTTTCAACTGAAGATTCTTAAGAGTTTAATAAGACAAAAATAATATAAGACGAAATGTAATATTTCCAGCATGATAGGACAATTTCAAAAAAGGGAAAAAAGAGCACAATGACATTGAAGACTCACCATATTGTCAAACAAATATTATATGTAGAAATATGCGATCAATAGAAAATTGCCATCTTCTTCTCGTATCCAAGACTACATTGTTTCTTCTTTGTCGTTGTTCGGTTCTCGTTGAAAAGACCGTCCTTCGCACCCTTTTATGTTCACGTGCTTCTCTTATCATTCTTCTATTTATCAATCATTTTTCCAATAAACATTTTTGAAATTTTTTAGGAAGAAGCTTCAACTGTTTTGTTTTTTTCAGTTCCGACCAATCGCCAATTGATAAGAAGATTAGATTACATTAATTGCTTCAATTATTATTTTATTTTAGCTTAAATAAAAACTTTTTGATCTTTTGAATATTTAAATATTAAATATGTATGACTAAAAATGTTTTTTTTGTTTCATGTTTGAAATTGAAAAAAAATGAAAAAAAAATGCAATCTGAATTTTCTTGGAATCGCGAACTTCGATTTTATGAAAAATTTGACATAAATTTATTCGATCCCGCAATCTTCTTTTTGCAGTCCAAAAATTGAAAATTATTTTTATAAAAACCAATTTAATGCAGTGAACTTTGAAATTCGCGGGCTGTGACAATCGCGGCAGGACCCGGGAACCAGAATTATTACATTCGCAAGAAAACGAGAATTCTCCGCCGATTTACGGGGGTTAGCTTTATATATTTTTAACATGCAATCCAGAGGTTATCCAGAGTACGGTATCCGAATTCTCCGAGTTTAACTGCAAATTTGAATTACCGCCTCGAAAAATTGCAGTGGTCCACAATTATTCAAATCATTCGTTTTTTTGCGATGGTAATACTACGTATTAACTTAATAGAATACTATTAATGGACCTATTAATTCAATGTAATTTTTTAGAAAAGAAAATGTTTAAAAATTACATTAAATGTGAAATTCTCATTTTTAAACAATTATTTATTTGGTCCATAAATCTATACTAAATAGAATAATTAATTTTGAAACAAAATTGTCTTTTTGGAATTCCATAGCTAAAAATAGAAATAATGCGGTTTTCCCTCCATTTCGCACATGTTGTTAATGTGCCTGAAACGAGCATCTCTTGCATTTTTTCAACGAGTTCCCATTTCAATTTCGATTTCATTTCATTCTCCAACATTTTCTTCTTCTACTATTTCTTCTTCAACTAATCATTCAATTTGGTGCTCTTTTCGCGAACCCCAATTTTTGTCGGCTCCGTGTTTGAGGCGGGTGTGCGTCGAATGGGGGGCGTGGTGTCGAGAGAGGCAGACGATGGCGAGCTCGTCGTGAATAGCATCGAGCTGGATGAGGAGATGCGAAAGAAGTGGAGAAGGAGTAGGAGGAGACGTCCGCCATATTTGGGGGCCCATCACATCGCCACTGCAACGCCGCCGGGCATCGCGCTTCAAAAATGGTAAGACGACATTTTTTTGTTTATTTTTTTGAGTTGGATGAGTGGCGGATAAGATTTCAGCGTGACGCATTTTTTCTTCACTTTCAATCAAAAAACGTTTCTCGAAAAATGTCTATTTTCTTCAAATACAGAAATTCAAATTTGTTGAAAATTTTGAAAATTATATAATGTGAAATTTGAAAAATGCCTTTTATTTAAATCTAGGCTTATTAAAAATGTCGAGCGTTTGCGGAAATTTGTCGAAATAAATTGATAGTGGTCTTGTGGCAAGCCTAAAATTGTAGATTTATATGACGGGGAATAAGAATTGGTTAAAGGCGCAAAGAGCGCATCGAGACCTCTTTTTTTATTTTTCGCATTTAGTCCGCAGTCGAATTCGGCAATATTACTATTGCAATGAAACAGAGGACCTTGAACAATTGCGGACCATCCTATTTTTTTGGGTTCAAATTTCAATTCAATGTTCGATTTTAAAAATGGATATTGGGTACCGAATTTCGGGCATTATGATTTTTTGTGCAATATAATTCAGAGAATTTTTATTTTCTTACATTGTCGGTGTCAAAGACTGAAGGAAGTCTGGGCCTTCGCGTAATTAGTGTCGATTTAAATTTTTTGTTGACTGAATATTAAATGCGCGTAGACTATAATGCAATGTACGCAATTTTGCGTACTTCTCAATCGCAACGCATTGGCACATAGCCAATAATTTTTTTATTTTTCGCGCAAATTTCATTTTCATTCATCGATTTCGAAATTTCTTTTTCTTCACATCAAAATTGTCCATTTGAATTGCTAAGATTATAAATTTCTGAATTATTTCTATTACGAAACCACTCATGCTTCTTAATACCCAAATTCGGCGACCTGTTGGTTTGCGCACCGAACCAAATGTGGGCCGGCGTTTGTCCGGATTTCCGGACATTTTACGCGTCGCCGAAACGCTTCTAATTTTGCGCAAACACAGGCGGTCGCCCAAAATTGGTTAGCGTTTTTGCTTCTGTGGCCCTCTCCGACACTCTTGCTCATCAATAGTGGGAGCGAGGAAAGAAAATAGACGAAATGAATGGAGAAAAAAGAAAAGTGGACAATTTTGGTTGGCGGAAAGTGGGGGTCGCCGAATTCGCAATTACTCGCTCCAGAAAAGTGCCACGTTTCTTGCTATTGAGCGATTGTTGATCTAAAGCTCTCTTAAAGTGCACAAAAATTATTTCAAATCATGTGCGGACATTATTGCCGTTGAATTTCAGAGAGAGGTGATTTCAATTCACATCGGACAAGCCGGAGTCCAAATCGGAAACGCCTGCTGGGAGCTCTACTGTCTCGAGCATGGTGAGTCGATCAATTCACATATTCACATTGAGCCGATGCCCAAATTGGTTTAAGGTATCCAACCCGACGGTCAGATGCCGTCGGACAAGTCGCTCGGCGGTTCCGACGACTCGTTCTCGACATTCTTCTCGGAGACTGGAAGCGGCCGACATGTGCCGCGCGCGATAATGGTCGATCTCGAGCCGACGGTTATTGGTGCGTTTTTATGGTGTAATTCGCTAAATGGAGGATGTGGTGGGGGGATGAGCAGATGGGAATGACCTCGGCAGCAGCGGCAAATTGAATTTGATGGTAGTTTGTTTCGAGCAGCTTAGTGTGCCTCGCGCTATAAAATTACCATTAAAATTATTTGGAATTGAAATTGTATTTTGGTAACAAACAATTGCACTGTGTTGAAATATGAAATGATCAATTCAGAGTTTTTCCTCTTTTTGATATTCTCATTCCTCGAAGGCGTGCGCAACAACTTTCGTTGCAATCCCTAATATGGCTTTAAATATCTAGACTGTTTCTGGAAAACAAAACGATTATCTATGTCGTCTGATGGTCTCTATTTGTTTTATTCAAATGATTCTGATTGTTCAATTTGAAATGAAATGCATCTGCGGACGCAATTAGCAAATATGAATACGTCCGCAGATGGACTTCATTATTCGAGAACGATCATTTAAGAGTTGTTTAATTTTTGTTTATGGTGTTGTTCAATTCAACTGAGAAGCATTCGAGCATTCATCTTTGCTCGAAAAAAAACGGGAATGATAGAAATGAAAAATTGCGCCTTCCTTCTCTTCGCCGCCTCGCATGTCGACGTTTTTTTTATAATTCCCATGAAACCAGTTCATTTATCAATCATTCTTGTCATTTCGTCTTTTCAGACGAGATTCGTACCGGCACCTATCGATCGTTGTTCCATCCGGAGCAGCTCATCACCGGCAAAGAGGACGCCGCCAACAATTATGCTCGCGGGCATTATACCATCGGAAAGGAGATTATCGATTTGACGCTGGACCGCATCCGACGACTCGCTGACAATTGTTCGGGCCTTCAAGGGTTCCTCGTGTTCCACTCGTTCGGAGGCGGCACTGGTTCCGGATTCACTTCACTTCTCATGGAACGCCTATCGGTCGACTACGGCAAGAAGGCGAAGCTTGAGTTCTCGATCTATCCGGCGCCGCAAGTCTCGACCGCTGTCGTTGAGCCATACAACTCGATTCTGACGACCCATACCACGCTGGAGCACTCGGATTGCTCATTTATGGTCGATAACGAGGCTATCTATGACATTTGCCGACGCAATTTGGATATTGAGAGACCGAGCTACACGAATCTCAATCGACTCATCGGTATGAATATGCATTTTGCGCCAAATTGATTCCGAATCTCAATTGCAGGACAAATCGTCTCGTCGATCACCGCTTCTCTTCGATTCGATGGTGCCCTCAACGTGGATCTCACCGAATTCCAGACCAACTTGGTCCCGTACCCCAGAATTCATTTCCCATTGGCGACATTCTCGCCGGTCATCTCCGCCGAGAAGGCCTATCACGAGCAGTTGTCGGTTGCCGAGATCACCAACATGTGCTTCGAGCCGCACAATCAAATGGTGAAATGCGATCCGCGCCATGGAAAATACATGGCGGTTTGCCTATTGTTCCGTGGCGACGTTGTCCCGAAGGATGTGAACGCCGCGATTGCCACGATCAAGACGAAGAGAAGCATTCAATTCGTCGATTGGTGTCCGACCGGATTCAAGGTTGGAATCAACTACCAGCCGCCAACCGTGGTGCCGGGAGGAGATTTGGCGAAGGTGCCGCGAGCCGTCTGCATGCTTTCCAATACCACCGCGATCGCTGAGGCCTGGGCCCGACTTGATCACAAATTCGATCTTATGTATGCCAAGAGAGCGTTTGTTCACTGGTATGTCGGAGAAGGAATGGAGGAAGGCGAGTTCAGCGAAGCTCGTGAGGATCTTGCTGCCCTTGAGAAGGATTATGAGGAGGTTCGGAATTTTTTTTTTGAAATGATCAAATATATTCCCGATGTTTTCAGGTTGGCGTTGACAGCCTCGAAGATAATGGAGAGGAAGGCGATGAATATTAGGAACCGATTCAAATTTTCATCTGCTTATAATCATTTTTATCCCCAATCCCCCCGTCCCTACAACGCTTTGCTTGCTTGTTGCTTCATATTCATCGATCGATAAACTTGAAATGCGAAATCGCTTATTTTATTCACGCTTATTAATTTTCTTGGAGATCAACAGGAAAATGTCGTCGTGGGTGATGAACTTGTAGCCGTTTTCTAATGTTGTCGACATCCCATTTGCCTGAAACAATCTCATTTATCCCCGAAAACGATTTTATGCAAACTTTTAACGACTCGATTATATGGGTTTGCTTCAATCGATGGCATCTGAAGGTCTTACCGCCAAAATTATAGGTAGTTGCATCTAAAACTCCGCCTTGAATCTGAAATCAAAAGAGGAAAACTAAGGAAGAAAAACAAAATTGGATTACCAAATATCCATCATCTTCTATTAATGAGCATGCATTTTTAACAGCTCTAAAATATTCTTCAAGTTTTTCGCATGAATATTCCAAACAAAATACAGTAGAGACTACCTAAAAATGGGTTCGATTAGGCTCCGAAACTCTGGTAACTTAAAACCAATCGTATTCTACAAAATTCGGCTCTAGAATTAACCTTATCCGATTGGAAATTCTACGAATAAGATTGTAAAATTGTCGTATCCGATTCGTTTTTTGGGTATTTTCGTATACGATTGGTAATTTGTCGTATCCGATTAGATTTTCTTCGAATCCGATTGGTAATTATTCGAATCCGTTTTGTTTTAATATTTCAATTCGAATCGGATTCGACAAAAAACCAATCTTATCCGTAGAATTACCAATCGGATACGACAAATTACCAATCGGATACGAAAATACCCAAAAATCTAATCGGATACGACAATTTTACAATCTTATCCGTAGAATTTCCAATCGGATAAGGTTAATTCTAGAGCCGAATTTTGTCGAATACGATTGGTTTTGAGTTACCAGAGAACGTCTATGAAAAGCTTTCTTGAAATTTCTCGGGAATTTCAACATCCGGCTTTACGCGCCAGTGAACATTTTGAACGACGGGCGATTTGTGGACGTTTACCTGAAAATTTCAAAAATAGGAAACGTAAAAATGAATCAGAAAACATGGAGAAAATGAAAATTATTTAAACGCCAAAGTAGAAAAAGAATGTGTGCATTTCACGGAAAAGGTGTTTACACAGACATTGAACTACAGTAATCTATTGTTTAGATAATGATTTTTTTGAACTTTTTTGAGCTTCTTACATCTAAAACTGCCCTCATTGCGTTCCTAGTTTTTGCTTGCATTTGTGTCGGAGTCTCCATGCTTGCTTCAATGTTTGAAATCCATGTGCAAACGTTTGTCCAGTCAAATTCCGATCTAAATTTGAAAAATGTACAAATTTTGGGATTTTAAATTTATCACTTGTTTTCAATCCATTTTTGCAATATATCTCTATTAGCGGGTGCGTAATCCGATGTGTAAATGTTCTCAGCTCGATCTCTTAAGGAAATCGGCAAGTATACGGTAGGTCCGGCACCCAAGTCCAAGACGGTTCGAACCTTTTGCGGTAAACGGTATAAAATTCCGGGAAGGAAGAATAAGACCACTTGCATTGCAGTGTCTTCAGAAGCGGTTTTATAAAAGCTTTCAAGGTACGCAAGTGGGTTGAACTAAAATAACAATTTTCAGTTTTTTTTCTCATTTTTTTGGTCTGAAACCTTGTCGAAATGCTCAACAGCGGCGCATTCCTCATCTTCCTTCTTGGTGTTTTCGTCCTCCACGGCCATCTGAATATCGGTATTCATATGCAAATACCGGGCACGGAGATTGCGCGATAACACATATTCAAACACGTTCGCATATGATACAAATTGTTTCAATTTTTATTTGCGGACAACTTTGATGTTTAGTTTTCAACGAGTTTTGATGTGTTAATCTTCTTTGAATTGTTTTTCTTTTTTTTTTTAAATTTTAACACGAGTCTAGACAAACCATTTAATATTTACTCTGACGTACAAAGAACATCTGCGAAATTTTTCAATATATAAAATGTAGGGTAAAAATCGCAAATATTTCTTGAATTGTCACTTTCTTTGAAACTTAATTTGTATCGAACAATTAGAATATTTAATATACTGGTGGGTTCAAAAACGAGATCACTAAAACAATGTATATATAACAACTAAATTGCCAGCTGCTGAAGAGGAGCAAAAAAAAGTGATAAACTCAGATTGGCCGACAGAACTGGCTGGGCTTGTGGCTTCGTGGATATACACATACATCCGGTCGTGCACTTCTTGCTCGCGTTGAGTGAATCGTTCGATCCGGCGAGTGTAACACTCGTCTCTCGCGAGCTCATCCCCGCCGTCTCGCTGATTTGCACACTATTCGCACAGATCGTCGGCCCTGTTTCGCGCGTTCCACCTTTTCTGTTTGAGTGTATGGGAGCCTCTCGTCGTTTTCTCTTATGTTTCATTTAATTATTGTCTTTTTTTGTTTCTCGTTGAATTGCGATTTTCATCAGTTTTGAAAAAAAAATTTTAATTCCTCGTCCGCTGGCCTAGAGAATTTCTAGGCCATAACCGTTATTTTTTTTTGAATCAGTCGACGCCGTAAAAACATTTTTTTCCAGATTATTCACCATCATATAATGCTATAAAAATGTCAACGGGAGTATTGCAATTCGTAAAAGGAATCGATTTTTCGAGAAATGATTTCTCGGTGAGTGATTTTGATATATTTCACAAAACAATTTTTTTCGATTTAGGGCGATCGATTCCCACATGATGTTGAGCAAATGGTACAAATGACATGGCTCAAATTGAACAAGTCGAAGCTGGAACAGGTGCCAGATGAATTATCGCGATGCAACAATCTGGAGCATCTTCAAATGGCTCACAATCAGCTCACTTCTGTGCATGGAGAGCTGTCCGACTTGCCGAGACTCAGATCAGTTATAGTTAGAGATAATAATGTAAGCTTGCCCATCGAGACTGCATTTCAAATAGAATATTTAAGCTGAAAACTGCTGGAATTCCCACCGACATTTTTCGGATGAAAGATCTGACAATCATTGATTTGTCACGGAATCAGCTTCGCGAAGTTCCTTCGAACTTGGAATATGCGAAAGGAGCGATTGTTCTAAATCTTAGTCACAATAATATTGAAACAATTCCGAATGCGGTAATAATCATCTTTTTTTTTGAAAAATTCAAACATATTTTTTGAGGTTTGCGCAAATCTCATTGATTTATTGTTTCTCGACTTATCCAACAATAAATTGGATATGCTTCCACCGCAGATTCGCCGGCTCACTATGCTCCAATCGCTCAATTTGTCCAATAATCCGCTGTCTCATTTTCAATTGAAACAATTGCCGAGGTAGCGTGAACTTTGAATGATTTTTTGGCATTTTTTCAATTTGAATTTAAAACAAATGGGAAAAACGGTTTCTAAAGAGAAATATGAGGAAAAGTGAGTGAAGATTTAGGCGATAATTTTATTTTTTTATGTAGAATTCTCGCGAAAAAATTGCTTTTTTTGCAAATCTCATTTTCAGCATGGCCTCATTAAATGTTCTCCATATGAGCAACACAAATCGAACTCTCGACAACATTCCACCGTCATTGGACGATTTGCACAATTTGCGTGATGTCGACTTTTCCGAGAATTCTTTGCCAGCTGTCCCAGATGCTTTGTTTAAAATGAGAAATTTGCGAAAGCTGAATTTGGCGGGAAACAAGGTAGTTTGAAATCGCGAGACTTCAATTATATCAAACATTTATTCAGATTGACAATTTGAAAATGACCGAAGGCGATTGGGAGCATCTGGAAACGCTGAATGTCTCGAATAATTGTTTGACAGCATTGCCAGACTGTATAGTGAAATTGGCGAGACTTTCGAAGTTGTACGCTTCTGGAAATATGCTCAAATTTGAGGGTATGTTAAGTTTTTAAGAATGCGCAATCTAATAGAGCATTTTTGAAAGAAAAACTCTTTAGGAGCAATGGATAGAAAATAATAATAAATGATAAAATTAGGAAACTTTCAATACGGAAAAAAATAGAAAAATAATCGTATTTTTTGGTTAGAAAATTGTGTATTATTTTTCTTACACTGCTCAACTTAGTCTACGATGAAATATTTTTTAAGGCATTCCGTCAGGAATTGGCAAAATGATCCAACTGACCGTTCTCCATCTCTCTTATAACAAACTGGAGCTCGTGCCGGAAGGTATCTCGCGTTGCGTGAAACTCCAACGCCTTCGACTTGATCATAATCGACTTATTACTCTACCGGAAGGCATTCACTTGTTGCCGGACCTCAAACAACTTGATCTTCATGAGTAAGACAATTGTTGTTTGATTTTTTTTTTTTGAACTTTTGATCTACCCGAAATTGCAGCAACGAGAATTTGGTGATGCCGCCGAAGCCGAACGACGCGCGCAAAAAATTAGCATTCTACAATATCGATTTTTCGCTCGAACATCAGGTTGGTGGTTGACCGCGAGGTTCTTTTTTATGCATATTTTGTTTGTTTGTTGGTTTGTTTGCTTTTGATCATAGTCTATTTTTGATTTTTTTTGCGATTCGCATGCTCCTTTAAACTCAAACGCGAAAAAATCATGAATTTCTTTAAAAACTGACCGTATTTAAAAATTGCCATTTTTGATCTGCCGGATTTCTTTTAACGCTGATTTATTAATGTTTGTCTCAAATTGAAAAAAAAATCGCCAAAAATTTTCAATTACCATTTATACATATTTGGATATATGTTGTTGCAAACAATGCGGCGAACACATTTGTCTTGACTCGGTCGCTTTTTTTTCGGCTTTCAAACGCATTCGTCGTTCCGAAATGCATTTTGTGCGCAATCTCCTGGAAGACAACGTGGATTTTTGCTCTATTTCTATTGTGTGTGTGTGTTTTTTTTGGTGTTGTCTTGTCCATGGGCCCTTGGTCCCTTTCTTCTCGTCCAAATATGGAAAGAGGGATTAGTTTTCGTGTCGGCGGCGCCCAATTTCTTCTTCCTCCTCCGTGTTTCTATGTGCCCTTTTGAATATCCGTTGGTAAGCAATTTAATGCACACACGTACCAATTTATGGCGAGAAGAAACAGAGAGAGAGAGAGAGAGAGAGAGAGAGAGAGAGAGAGAAATGTTTGGGGAAATTTCGAACTTGAATGATTTCAGAGAAAAATCGCTGGCCAGATGGCGAGCCCGTCGTCGTCGGTATCGTCGGTGCATTCGGGTGGTGCTCGACAAGATGCTCTAGCTCGGCGGAAAGAGTTTATACGGCGAAGGAAGCAGCAGGCTGATCAGCAGGGAGCCGACAAAGTAATACAGGTGCGATTATGTCTGAAAGGGGTCTCAATTTGATGGCACCAAAAGAAACAGGTTTGAAATTTTGTAGTCAAACAATTGTTTTTTTTTGTCGACACAATATTTTGGGAATTTTTAAATTTGGTGAAGCAAGAATAAAATTGAAGAATCGCATACTTGAATTGGAGTTGTTCAAAAATGAAAATTTTCGAATAGCACTTAATTTATTTGGATAACTTACTGAAAATGAAAGATTTCGAACCAAAAATGAATATTGTTTAGAGCGCAATGCGCAATGCAAATATAAATTTTGAGAAAAATTGTACAAATTCAAAGAGGAATCGATAATCTGTAATACTGAAAAATTTGAAATGGTTTCTTGAAATTCTGTGCTAGTTTTTGTTATACAAATTCCGATGGGTTCTTATCATTTGGAACGTTTTCGAAGTCGATACTTTTTTCGCGAAATCGGTCGATGATTGACCAGACCATCGTCTCCCATTTGCCCCCCTCCGATCAACGCATTTTTTTCTCGCAATACATATATCATTTTGCATGCGCCCACCCAACACCCATCTGTTATCACACGCGCAGTGTTTTCTCGAACAAAACAAAAACTAGAAAATTTTTGTAGGGAATGTCGAAAATTGCCGGAATTGGTGCCGCTCTCAAAGAGAAACAGGACGAGGAGGAGGAGCGGCAAATTGAGGCGCGAAGTGCCGTCAATTGGAAGGTCAGTTTTTCGAATTGTTGACAATTTTCAACTTTTCGCTGATTTTGTTTTTTGCAGAAAAATCTTGAAAAACAACGCAAAAATATTGATTATAGCGATATTTTTGATGATGATGTTGGCGAGAGCGAGGTTGAGTTTTTGAACGACTTCTTCGATTCATTCATCATTCCTTTTTAGGGAATGTGGGTTTGGGAAATTGAGAATTTCTATCCATCGATTATGGACGAAGCTTTTCATGGCCAATTTTATGATGCTGATTGCTATTTGGTGCTCAAAACCGTCAGAGTAAGCGTTTCTTTTTTGTTGGTGTTGATGGAAATGCCCATTTTCGCGTGATTCTGACGCAAATTTTTTTTTTGAGAGATAAAAAATGGCAACAATTTGATTTTTAGGAAATTTCTGGACAATTGCGACATGAGATTTACTACTGGCTTGGCGAGAACGCGTCGCTTGACAAGGGCATGTGCGCTGCTGTGCATGCTGTTGGTCTTCGAAACCATTTGAATGCATCGTGTCGGTAAGCAATGAAGCGAAATTGCCCACTGATTTGTTGAGGTTTTTTTTTTCAGAACACTCCGCGAAGAAATGAACGATGAATCCGAGGAGTTCCTCTCGTTGTTTGGCGAGGAGATTGTGTACATTGAAGGCGCACGAACGTTGACTGGATTCTTCAAGACTGAAACACCGCCGCATGTGACACGATTGTATCGTGCCAGTGTCATCGGAACGTCGGTCGATATGGAGCCGGTGCCATTGAACGTCGAATCTTTGGATCCGCGCTATTGCTTCTTGCTCGATGCCGGCGAAACTATGTGGATTTGGAGCGGCTACAAGTCAAGAGTAAGTGTTTGATGAGAGACGCAGACGACGAGCGCGCTCTCGATGCTGCTTACTTGTGCGGCGTTGAGTGCCGCGTTTTTCGATGACTGCTTGGCGCAATGGTAGCGCGTTCGACTCCAGATCGAAAGGTTGGGCGTTCGATCCGCTCAGTGGTCAGAAGCTTTTTGGAAATTTATGAAAATTTCGAAATCGATTTTTGTTAATTCAATGATAACAATGATATCATTGTGTTCGTTTTTTTTTCAGATTACTATAGCGAATAAAGCGCGGTTATTTGCTGAGCGGCTCAACAAACGGGACAGGAAAGGGAAAAGCGAGATTGAGACGTGCCGTCAAGTGCGAACGCCTCCGGAATTCTGGAAGGCGTTGACGGGTTCCGAAACGCCGCCAGATGTCAAGATAATTGAGCATGTTCCGGAATCATTTGTGGCGGAAAGGAAACGATTATATAGGGTAATTTGAATGATTTCATTATTATGGATTTTTGTTTTGAAATTTTGTTCAGGTGAATATTGGAATGGGATTTTTGGAGTTGCCGCAAATCGAACTGGCCAAGGGAATTGCGAAACAGGAAATGCTCCACACGAAATGCGTTTATATTCTCGACACTGGATCGGATATTTTCCTGTGGACCGGCAAAAAAGCGAATCGGCTGCTGAAAATGGCGGGACAAAAAATGATCACCGAATTGTACAATATGATTGTGCGGCCCGATTATTCGCAAATTTACAAGGAAACTGAAGGCGAAGAATCGATGATGTTCCGTTCAAAATTTGCCGGATGGGACGAGATAGTTCCAGTGGATTTCACAAGAACCAGCGAATCGGTTCAACGTGTTCCGGATTTGAAGGTGACAAACTTTTGTGTTTTAGAAAATTGTTTTGAACCAAACCCTTATGATTTAGGTAATCGTCAAACAGGATAATATGATGAAGACAGATTTGGCCGCTTTGTTCCTTGAAAGGCAACCAGCGATGTCCTATGAGGAGAGCGAAGAGTTGATGCTCGATTGCAACGATGATCTCGAGCTGATGGAGAGTTTTGTGCTGGAAGGACGAAAGTTTGGAAAATTGCCGACGGAAGAATTTGGAATATTCTACACGATGGACTGCTATGTGTTCCTTTGTCGTTATGCGGTACTGCCCGAGGAAGATGAGGAGGATGAAGGGGATGAAAAGGGAGATGATAAGGTGGACTTCAAGTGTGTCGTCTATTTCTGGCAAGGACGCGATGCTTCCAATATGGGATGGCTGAATTTCACTTTCCAATTGCAGCCGAACTTTGAGGACATTTTCAAGGATAAACTCGAGGTTCCATTTAGATTCGAACATGAATATCAGTTTGACGTTTTTTGTTGTTAGGTTGTCCGAATGTATCAGCAGCAAGAGAATCACAAGTTCTTGTCGCATTTCAAACGGAAATTTTTGATCAAGCGTGGCCGTCGCGGATTGACGAAGAATCTTGGAGGACGATGGCCAGAACTCTATCAGATGAGAGCCAATGGATCCAGTGTGTGCAATCGGACGATCCAAGTGGATTGCCAGTGAGTTGTTTGTTTTTGTGATATTGATCGTTTTTTTTTTAATAATAATTCCAAAACCACTGATTTCAGAGCGAAACAACTCTGTTCGGCATTCTGTCATATTCTTCGTATTCCATACAAGGAATACAAAGAAGATGGACCGCGCGGAATTGTTTACGTTTGGCTTGGCAATCAGACGGATCCGAGAGACCATAATACAGCTAGGGAAGTCGCTTCGGATCTTGTTATGCGCGATTACGCCGATAACTTTGAAGTTGTCAGTGTGCACGAGGGGCAGGAGAATGACGAATTTTGGACGGCGCTTGGTGGAAAGAAGAAGTAAGCAATTCAGCAGAGATTATCTTTTTTTAAATTTATTCTATTTAAGGTATGAGACTGACGGCAGTTTTGTGCATTTTACACGATTGTTTCGATGCACGAACGAGAAGGGATATTTTGCGGTCTCGGAGAAGACTGTCGATTTTTGCCAAGACGATTTGGATGATGATGATATTATGATACTTGACAATGGCGAGGCGATATTCCTTTGGATTGGCGCGAGATCGTCGGAGATTGAAGCCAAATTGGCTTATAAAGCGGCAACGGTAAATGTTTTTTTGTGTTGCAAAAATTTTGATTTACGCCATTTTCCGAATTAGAAAAATGTTTATAAATTTTGGATGACCGAAAAGGGCAATGCTTTTTTAGGCAATAATATTCACATTTTGAATGATAAAATATTGGCATGATTTCGAAATATTGGAATGAATAGAGGTCTTTTTCACCATTTTCTTCGAATTTTTACATTAGACTCCATAATGTGATGGTTTTGCTATTTCTCGATATATTTAGAGAAATTTGGGCTCAGTTGAATGTGTTTTTTTCCAGGTCTACCAGGCTCATATGAAAATGAAGCAGCCCGATCGTCCGCGTAAACTTCTTCTCTCCATGCGCGGACGCGAGAGTCAACGATTCCGCAAATGTTTCCACGCGTGGGGCAAAATAAAAGAAGCGATAGGAAACTGAATTTGATCTACGCTCAACTTGTTATAACCTCATAGCTAACCAATTTTTCTAGTTTTCTTTTTAAATTTTTTTTTTACTATTTTTTATATATGTATAACAGATTGTACAAAATCCGGCACTATCTAAATTTCGTCAGTTTCAGGGTCCCCCATGTTCCTTTTTTTAACCAATTTTTTCTTTGCATTGACGTGGTTTTGTTGGGTTGCCTTATTTTCGCGTCTTTTTTTTTGCCAAGCTTGGTGGTACGCATAAAATTAAGACAGGTGCTTTAACCCCCTTCTCCCAAAATAATAATTTTTTTCAAATGTTAACTGTACAATAATTAACCTCACAAAATATTTATATTAATTATCATTATTATTGCCTCCTCTATCTTTTTTTAGGAATGAATAATGTTTTTCAACATTTTTGCGATGTTTGTTTTTGGTCATACGCTGGTGCACTTTTTGTGTTTAAATAGAGCCGCAATAGAGAATTTTTGCGTTTTATAACATAATGCCGACTCTTGATGAGCAATTCAACGCCGCGGTTTGGATAATTCAGGCGTTGCCCAAAGAAGGTTGGTGATTGATAATGATCGAGTCGAGTTTCTTCACAGGTCCCATTCAACCTCTCTGGTAAATGATTCCGAGTCGTATACGAAGAAAGCTCAATCGTATACGCTGATATCGCTCTTCAAACGCGGCCAAATACGATTGGGATTTCTTAATATACGATTGGCATTTCTTCGTATACGATTATAATTCTTCGTATATGATTGTGATTTCTTCGTATACGACTATAATTCTTCATATACGGTAACGATTTCTTCGTATTCGATTGGGATTTTTTCGTATTCGACTGGGATTTTTTCGTATTCGATTGAGATTTTTTCGTATTCGATTGAGATTTTTTTCGTATACCATTTCACTTTACACTACTCGTTTGGCATTTTAACGTTTTTATATGATGTAAAGATTTCTATACCTGTTTATTAAAAAAAAAATATGAATGACAAAAAAATGAAAAAGAAAAAAGAATAAATAAATTAATTTTGGTTGGCGCATCAACCATTTTTTTCCACTGCTCGCGCTTTCGATCGTGAATTGTTTCTGAATTAAGTTCATTTGAATGATTAATCATGAGGCAGTCTTCAGCATGTGCAGATTTTGGAGAAAAACGCAAAAAATCTGATTAAGACTAGTTTAGCCGAATCTTTATAATGTTGTCGAGTTTCTTTAAAAGGTTTTTACTGCGTTTCTTTTCAAAATCTGCATAGGCCCACTAAAAAAGTGAAAACTCACAGGAGATAGGTCATATGACCGTGTACCAAATAGGAGATTGTAGAATTCGCCGTTTCGTCAGCCATTCCAGCGATGGTAACCGTCTTTTGTAAAACAGCTGAAATTAATTTAAACATATTTTAAACATTTTTCGCGCTATTTGAGCATACCAATCGCTGTGTTGACAAACCGAACTGGAAGCGTTGCGTGCGGCGGCGTTGGCTTAAACGATGTTGAATAATTCACACGATCGTTATTCGGAATTGTCTGAAGGTATTTTTTTGCAACTTTAAATAATTGTAAGATACCTTATCGACAAATCTGTTGACAGTAGTATTTATCACATGCTTCAGAGCTGCCTTCATGAACGGAATTTCCAAAAATATTTGGGCCACGTTGATGTCTCCTGTTAAAAGATTTAATACAAATTCAAAGCTTTCGAAACACAAAAAACCCACCATTTCCATCCAGTGATCGAATAATTATTTCTGCGTCTTTAAGAGCTTCAGGGTTGTATACGGCGATCACGTCGATCTAAATTTAGAGAATAGCAAAATTTAAAAAAATACTCACATTGTTTTTGTTTGGCTTTGCCGCGAATTTTTGGGATAAAGTTTCTATCTGGAAGAATAGGGTTTCTATAGTTTCTATTGTGGTACTATGCAGATTTCGCAAAAAACTCAAACAGCGGTAACCATAATTATAATGGTTTTTGCCGGTTTTGACGAGTTCTGATATTTTTTTTACGGCTTTTGATGATTTTACTGCTTTTTTTTGCGAATTCCCTATATATGTTTTCCATGATTTCTCGTGTGGTGTAACGATATCGCTTTCGATATGCAAATAATTTTGAATTTTGCGACATATCTACAAAGGAAATAAGGATTTCTTAGAGCGGGGGCAGTAAAATGCACGATTTTTTTGGAAAGTATATATATTAAAACGCAATATACGCATAAAAATCGAATATGAAAAAATTCGAAAATTTTCGAAAATTGTTTTTCGAATTTAGACGTCAATTTTAATGCATGTCCGCAGTGTATCATTGTGGTGGTTACACTACTGTGATAAAATCCAAATCGTATACGATCCTTGCAATAACGTATACGACGAGGAAATGCGGATGTTTCGTATACGATTACAAACCATTCATCAGAATCGTATACGATCCTATACGATTCACATTAACTTATACGATTACCATTAACGTATACGATTTTAATTTTATCTTATACGATGAAGAAATTCGCTTTTTTCGTATACGACTAGGAATCATTTACCAGAGCTACTATAAACGAGATGCTTGAAATGTATGCGCTTTATAAGCAGGCGACAATTGGACCATGCACAACCGAGCAGCCTTATTTCTTTCAAATCGAGCAAAGATTGAAATGGTTCGTGTTTGAGATTTTTTTTTTCTACAATTGTAGATTTACTAGCATTCGTCTTTCTCTTCAATTTTCACGCGCTCTGGTAAATGATTCCTAGTCGTATACGAAAAAAGCGAATTTCTTCATCGTATAAGATAAAATTAAAATCGTATACGTTAATGGTAATCGTATTAGTTAATGTGAATCGTATAGGATCGTATACGATTCTGATGAATGGTTTGTAATCGTATACGAAACATCCGCATTTCCTCGTCGTATACGTTATTGCAAGGATCGTATACGATTTGGATTTTATCACAGTAGTGTAACCACCACAATGATACACTGCGGACATGCATTAAAATTGACGTCTAAATTCGAAAAACAATTTTCGAAAATTTTCGAATTTTTTCATATTCGATTTTTATGCGTATATTGCGTTTTAATATATATACTTTCCAAAAAAATCGTGCATTTTACTGCCCCCGCTCTAAGAAATCCTTATTTCCTTTGTAGATATGTCGCAAAATTCAAAATTATTTGCATATCGAAAGCGATATCGTTACACCACACGAGAAATCATGGAAAACATATATAGGGAATATCGGAACGAGACGGAAACAGGTGATAACAACAGAAAAAATGAAGAAAATAACTATTTTCAGAAAATAGAGATACTTCAACCTTAACATCAGGTATAACTAAAAGTAAAAACAGAGCAAGATTTAATTTCTATAGATTCTGTAGAATCGTCTGAAGATGAACTCACTTGCGCGGAAGAAGATTTTGTGTCAATGTCGAGCTGTGACAACTTGCAGACAGTCATTACGTCGAGAGGTTGTTACCGTTTTTGCATATTTTTGAAATTATTTCGCTTTAGGCCAATGGGAAGCATTATCTTCGCGAGATTTACTGTTGATTCACTTTTTTTGACTTATACTAGCTCAAAAACAGGTTGGTTGAAGAGTTTTTAACCATTATCATAATTTTCAGCGATCATTCGTTATTTTGAAATGGAAGAAAATCGAAATGAAGTTGAAATAAAGAAAATTTTGCTGGAAAATGCCAAGCAGACAATTATCAATGTGTGTGGAAACTGTGGAAATGACAATGAAAAGTAATTTACGTGTGTTGATATTTTTTTAAATTGTTTTTGGAGAAATTCAATAGCAAATAACATGATATTCAGATGTACTTGCGCGATTGGTTATGTAAATGCCGAATTATGTTTTTCCGATTTAACGGAAAGATTTCAATCATTTATACAATTGAATTCTAAGAAAATATTGCAAACTCGAAATAAAATTTTTCAAGATGAGCCATGCTCGTCTCCAATGGCTGAAGGGATTCTAAAGAAACGACTTCTAAAAGAAATCGAAAACGATAACCAAAGAGTCATTGTACATTTCATGTGTACATTTGATGGCGTAAAGCTGAGGAGAAATGAAAGGCAAACCATTTCGATAAATTTATTTTAAAAGAATGTAGTTTTAGTCGAAAGTGCTGGCCTTTTTCTATTCAATGTTTGGATTTCGAAGATAACGATCGTGCCCGAACTAGCTCGATTATAGTATCGTCTATTTATCTAAGTAAGGTGGACCCGTCTTCATACATTCACGATCGAATCGTAAAGTGGGTGATCAACAGCTTTTCGACGCCGTACCATCATAATGGGATTTGGTATCAAGGAGCTCTTGTTGCTGGCTCGCATGACGATCCCGTGAGTTGATTTTTTTTTTCCTTTAAAAATTCCCATTTGTAGGCTAGAAGAAATGTATATGGCTTAAAGGGTCATTCGTCAAAGGGGGCCTGTGTATTCTGTTTAAACCAATCAACTTTCGTGAAAATCAATGATGAGAGCGTCAAAGGTCTGTTACTTTTATGATTCTAAAACAACTAAATGTAGACCGTCACGAGTATGGGGTCCGAGTACCTCTTAATTTGGAAGACGGATTAATGCAAAAAGGAAAACACACTTTTTTTAATTCGATTATTCCAATGTGGGAGTCGCCAATTGATTCATTTCACTGTTTTGAAGAAGGTATATTCAAAAAAATAATTGAAGGTATTTATAGTTAACTTTCTGTTTTTATATGTTCTTTTCAGAAGTATTCGGAAATGAACGCCGTTATAAAGTATTCGAAGGTTGTCGCTTGATGTTAAACACGAGCATTCGAACACCCTCAAACTTTCGTTCAATTTCTGGACGGATTCATGAAATTACAGGTTGCGAAAGGACTGTGGTAACAAAAGCTATATCATTTCGCAAAAATAATAAGTTTAGATCTTCGAATCATCGCTGGTATCCGCTGCATTAATTGGAAGGCTACCTGCTGATGCTTCACTGATAATCCTCCTATTCCATTGTTTATATCGAACAATAGTATCTCCGATGTCAATCGGTGACAAGAACTTATACGATACGGTGAGTGAGGAGTTAGTTTCATTACAGTCGGCTTTATATTTAGGTATCCAATATTTGCAAATGTATAAAAATAACGCTAAACCGAGTATGTCCCGAATTTTATCGCGGCGCGAAAGTACATGTAAATCAGTTTAAAATTGAAAGCATTCTAAGTGTTTTTTTTTTCAGCAGATTGTATTCCACTTATCCGAAAACGTTCGAATGTATGAGAGCCCGTATCCGTTCAGTACCCAATCCTCCGAGCACGTATATCACAGTTTGAAACGACTATTATCGTCAGAAATCACAAAGGGAATTGGGCAAAGAATGTTACGGAAGTATGCTTTATTATAAAATTGTACACCGTAGAAAAATTTTAGTGCTGCAATTTTGCAAGATTTGACGACCGAAGTTCGTGCATGACTTGATTCGGACCCAACGAGAAAACAACATGATGTGTCTATCGTGAAACTGAGAAAACTGCTATTTCGATATTCGGAGAATGATGATATCGAAAAAACGACAGATGTCCCACTGAAGTACTCAATGCTGGCTCAAAAAGGCGATTTGTTTACTGAGAAATACAGCTATCAAGGCTCACACTACTCAATACAAAGAAATACTGCTTCGGATAATAGCGTCGTGATGTTTCGTTGGCGAAATTCACTGCAATATGGCGATGTATTGGGATTTCTCCTCAATGAGAAGTTCGGTGACCGGGTTATTCTACAACCATACATTCTAAATACAGACAACCTATTGCAATTAGCAAACTCACTCCATCAAAATTTTCAAAAAGAAGAAATTAAGCAATGCATTTCGACAATCGGTTCATGCAGATATGGTGCTGTGGTGAGAAATAAAGGTTCTCTATTTTGCTTGCCAATTTCTAACCTTATTGGCTACGCCATCACAGTTCCTGACAATGGAATCACGACTGTTTTACCATTTTCATTCAGACCTATGCTATCTTGAATAAAGTATTTATTGATCATTCAGTGATATATTAGAGTTTATCCGTTAGTCACGGTTAACTTATCTAATTTCAGTTAATACACACTTTTTTCCGATTATAATTTTGTTAAGGATGTCAAAGCGCACGCAGTCATTTGTAAAGCAAATAATTGAAGCGAACGCCTCAAGAAGAGAAATTAAAGAAACTCGTCCAAAATCCAAAGCAACATCGCATACCAATACCAAACGCAATTTGGTTTTACGACAAACTGGATTGCAAACGGTAAAAATGCTTGAATGGTTAAAAAAAATAGTGTTCATATTAAGGCTGTCGTTGACGGAGAGCTCATCGAGGAAGAAGTCGATGAAAATGAGCTGTACTTCGAAGACTATCGTCAAAACGAGCTGGATTTTGGAAGCATCGAAGGCATTCAGGTTGACGATATGCCAAACGACCAACCAGCAAGGAAGCGTAAAATTGTGGTGGGATTTTACATCTTTTTCCTGTTTTCGAATCTTCATTATTTTTAAAGAATGGTTTATGCCCATTAGAACTTGGCGAGGATCTGTATCATTCGACTCCGGAGGAATTGATCGACTTGAAAGTAATTCAAATTTTAACATTCCACTTTAACGCAAATTTACAGAAGACTGTACATACCAATCTCTCTGGAACGTTTCAGTTCGATCATACGAACGTGGATCAATTATGTTCTTCGTCCGATGATCATTTGAGGACAATTGCCTTTGCCATGAAAGGAATCATGTTCACGGTATGTTTTATTTATTGTTCAATCATTCCAAATGTAATGGTACCAGATTTCGCAAAAAAAAGCAGTAAAATCATCAAAAGCCGTAAAAAAAATATCAGAACTCGTCAAAACCGGCAAAAACCCTTATAATTATGGTTACCGCTGTTTGAGTTTTTTTGCGAAATCTGCATAGTACCACAATAGAAACTATAGAAACCCTATTCTTCCAGATAGAAACTTTATCCCAAAAATTCGCGGCAAAGCCAAACAAAAACAATGTGAGTATTTTTTTAAATTTTGCTATTCTCTAAATTTAGATCGACGTGATCGCCGTATACAACCCTGAAGCTCTTAAAGACGCAGAAATAATTATTCGATCCCTGGATGGAAATGGTGGGTTTTTTGTGTTTCGAAAGCTTTGAATTTGTATTAAATCTTTTAACAGGAGACATCAACGTCGCCCAAATATTTTTGGAAATTCCGTTCATGAAGGCAGCTCTGAAGCATGTGATAAATACTACTGTCAACAGATTTGTCGATAAGGTATCTTACAATTATTTAAAGTTGCAAAAAAATACCTTCAGACAATTCCGAATAACGATCGTGTGAATTATTCAACATCGTTTAAGCCAACGCCGCCGCACGCAACGCTTCCAGTTCGGTTTGTCAACACAGCGATTGGTATGCTCAAATAGCGCGAAAAATGTTTAAAATATGTTTAAATTAATTTCAGCTGTTTTACAAAAGACGGTTACCATCGCTGGAATGGCTGACGAAACGGCGAATTCTACAATCTCCTATTTGGTACACGGTCATATGACCTATCTCCTGTGAGTTTTCACTTTTTTAGTGGGCCTATGCAGATTTTGAAAAGAAACGCAGTAAAAACCTTTTAAAGAAACTCGACAACATTATAAAGATTCGGCTAAACTAGTCTTAATCAGATTTTTTGCGTTTTTCTCCAAAATCTGCACATGCTGAAGACTGCCTCATGATTAATCATTCAAATGAACTTAATTCAGAAACAATTCACGATCGAAAGCGCAAGCAGTGGAAAAAAATGGTTGATGCGCCAACCAAAATTAATTTATTTATTCTTTTTTCTTTTTCATTTTTTTGTCTTTCATATTTTTTTTTTAATAAACAGGTATAGAAATCTTTACATCATATAAAAACGTTAAAATGCCAAACGAGTAGTGTAAAGTGAAATGGTATACGAAAAAAATCTCAATCGAATACGAAAAAATCTCAATCGAATACGAAAAAATCCCAGTCGAATACGAAAAAATCGTTACCGTATATGAAGAATTATAGTCGTATACGAAGAAATCACAATCATATACGAAGAATTATAATCGTATACGAAGAAATGCCAATCGTATATTAAGAAATCCCAATCGTATTTGGCCGCGTTTGAAGAGCGATATCAGCGTATACGATTGAGCTTTCTTCGTATACGACTCGGAATCATTTACCAGAGCGAGACAAATAATTTTCTTGGAACACAAACATCATTTCAAATTTTTATAAAAAATTTGTTTGAAACATAAAATTCAATTATTTTGCAGGAATGCTTGGAAAGCGCTTGGTGATATGGAGAAAAATGAAGCGAAAACGACATATGTCGAAAAAATGTTGAAAATGGTTTGAAATATTCGAAAAATCGTCTTCTTCTTCATGAAACCTCAAACTGATTTAGTGCGACAAAGCGGAAGAGGAGCACGATTTGATGGAATATCTCACTGATCCCAAATATGCGGATCTAGTCAATGATCCAAAATGGGTGAAGTTTCTAGAAAAACAGGACGAATTCCGGGCGGTATGTTTTTTTTTCTATATAAAATGGGAAATTGAAAAAATAAAACTTTAGAACTTTGCGACTCTTGGTCGAACCAGTGTCAAGGGATATGAAGGAAAACAAATCACTGTTTCCGGAGTAACAATCAATTTGTAATAATAAATTTATAACAATTATTTAAATACAGTAGAGAGCACAATTATTAAGCTTCATCGTCCTGTTTCCGAAGGCGTTTTGTCCAATCATACGGCTCCCACATTTTCTTGAACTTCTCTGCTCGAGATCTTTGTTTCGCCAGATCATCTTTTTCACGCTTTCGCCACTTCTTCGGAGGCAAATCAAGCATTCCGGCGATAATTTCCTAAAAAAAAATCGCCGTCAATTGGACACAAAAGGCATGATCGATTCACCGTTCCAAAATTCGATGGAAACAGTTCATGATTCTCAATAACATGAGCAAATCCATTCGAGAGGCCAAAATCGACAGCGAAATAGCTGAAGCCTTTCGGAATCTGCTTGCGAAGATCTTTGGTCTCGATCAGCTTCTTATTATCCATATATTCGCCTTCACATTCGTTGATTGCTTTCTAAAAAAAACACAAAACTTTCTGAAACTCCCCCTTCGCCGTCCAATTTCGATTACGAATCTCGCGTCAATTCAGCGATTTCTGATTTCCTAGCAAAACCAAAAATGGATATCAACCCCCCCCGCGTTCAAATTCATCATACTTTTTTGTGCAAATCTGAACTGACAGCGCACGTTCCGATACTAATCGCCTTGAATGCCGCCGAACATTCCGATGCAATGCCGATTACAAGCAGCCGCGCCCCTCAATTCATACCTGCACTAAACAACAACAACAAAAACCATGGCTGATGGCGGATGACGAGAAGAATCACGAAGAACACACACACACAAACACCCAAAGCAACACTGTTCGCCATCATCCGCCGAATCGTGAGAACTCCAACCAGCCACCGTGGGGCCTGGTGGCGCCGACTCGTCTCACGCGCAACATCGCCTATTGAAGACCATCCATCAATGGAAATGCGGCGAACATCTCAAAATCGTTTAATAGCTGACGCTTGTATGTTTGTGTGTGTGTATTATCAACCCGACAAATGATAACCGCATTCCACCGAGATCAACGCAAATCTCCAATCTCTCTCTCTCTCTCTCTCTGAAAAACGACGCCTATTTTTAGAAGCGCTATCGCATTCAAACACCATATAATTGAGACTTTGATCATCACCGACGTCACAACAAATGCCCTTTAGCGGGACAACTTGTAAACATGTAGTGTGGTATGAGAATGTTGCCATCCTGCGGAAGAAGCGAAACGATGAAGCCATCCAATAAATCAGCGTTAAGATCATGGATTGTCAGCGGAATTCGATTAAACCTAATTTAATGAACGGTGACGCCCAAGAATTTCAAATAAAAAATAACAACACAAAATCAATCACTGTGACATTCCAACGGATTTTCTGACCCAACCCAGAGGATCATGTGAATTATCGGCGACGAACGAGGAAGTCCGAAAATAAATCAGAGATTTGAACCCCCCATTCGAGATCAACTGGCGCCAAGATTCAAGAGCTCATATCTTGTCACGATTCCGGGCAACAGAACCGAAAATCAAATGCCGATTTCTTTTTTGTGGGAATCTCGTCATATCTAAACCAATTTTTGCAAGCATTTCCGCTTTTCTTTCACCAACCTTCCGCTGGTTCAGTGAAACATCGTATCCGTTTCTCGATGAGATATCACAAAAACTCCTTGAAACCTCTTTATCTCTCTTTCTCTCTCTCTCTCTCTCTCTCTCTCTCTCTTTATCCATTCCATTTTTGATATCCATCGCATTTTTTTCCTATAGGATCCATATTGTAATTTATCATTGATTTACACTTTTGCCTACGTCACACATATCTACGCCGTATTAGGCGATTGCGTGGCAGTGATTAATGAACACCGCTGATGATATCCAATTCTTGATCTCAACCGCGTCTCAAAGTGATAAATTCACGTGCGTTGATGCCCTTTAATCGGCGTTCAATGTCATTTTCAGAGAAAGATTCTCGAAGCGAACATAAAAAAAAATAAGGCTATAGGTCTTCAACCTCTTCATATAAATGGAAATTCCTCAAATATTTCTGTGAAGGTCGCTGATTAATTAGGCGCAATTTGTTGCGTTCATTCCGAAGCAATTTAACCAAAAAAAACAAAAACTCAAAATACCTTAAAATAAATCGGAGCCACATCGCCCATCTCGACATCCAATGGGATGCATTCGACTATGACGTGTGGATTACTATCCACGTGGCGCGACATTTCCATGAATACGCAATCTTTACCCTCTTGTTTCCACATCGCTACGAGACCTGCAAAATAAATTGTATTCAGATGATCGATGGTGCGCCCAGATGGTGTAATGTTCGAGACGACGGGAATCGGTTTCAATTCAAATGCTAATGGACAACGGTTCGCCGATGGCCAACGACAACTATTCCGAATGTATAAATACATAGGCATCTTTAATTTACTAACCGGTATTCGAATCGAAATAACCCGGAAGAATTATTGGGGTCGAAGGGTTACTGTAGTACTACTACAAGTACTAGAAGTAGTTTTAAAATTGGGACAATTTCGTTTTAAACTTAACCCCCGTGAATTTCAATCCCTCAAGTCGATCATCTGATAATAAGCGCGCTCGTTGTAAGGGCATAAACCCATTTTTTTTTTGAGAATGTTGCAACGAATGAGATCAAGACTTTGGCGAATTTTTGGTGTAATGCCATAAACTAAATCGTTCCGAAGTTTTGATGATAGCTGAGTATCATATGCTTGTGCCTTTCAAAAAAAAATCCGCGAAAACTGTCCGCAGGTGCAAAATCGAATATCTAGTGGTTACGCGTAAATCGAATTCCAAGAAAACCTTTTCTCCACAATCGCATTTCGTCCCAAACATTCTCATCAAGTTGAATGGTGCTTGATGAATGCTGCGTCGGCACAATAATGCAATGCTCCTCATCGAGACCGTCCCATTCGACGACGGCGAGATACGTCTGCAATAAAAATCGTCTTATGCAATAAATAAATGCAAATTTCCTCATTCTCTCTCTTTCTCAAGGCTAACTATGCGGAACGAAGCGAAATACATTAAAAAATATATATAATTCAATTATTCACGAACGGCATTCCTTTTTTTTTGAAAACCGGTTCATTTTTCAAAAATTGCTTTTCGGAGAAAACCCAGAGAGAGAGAGAGAGACGTTCCACACTTTTCAGATAAAAAAATTTTTTCTAATGATCGTTGGACATCAAGACAGCATTCGCCGTGCCCGAGATCAACACGGAAGTCGTACGAAAAAATAAATAAATGTCAAAATTTAGTCGAAAATTGCGTGCGAGATTCACATTCTTGACTCGTCAATCATACAGATAGCCATCTTTTCTGACCGGCGACACCATTGACAGTATACCGATGTTTCGAAACAACTCACATTGATGCCGATCGCGATGATGTTGTGCTTGGCGAGTTTCGAGCTGTCGATGCAACGCGCGCAATCATCGAACGACTTCTCCAATCGTTTGTGTTCTGCAGCAAAAAAAAATCATCAATCATATCGCTCGTGTTCCTTTTTAATCGTCAACACTAATTCAATCAAAACATTCTTCCTTATTCCCACACAGTAATTATCGCGGCGCGAAAATTTTTTTTGACATTCATCAAATCGAATCATGGATTTCTTTTAAAGGTTAATCTTTTCCTTTTGATCTACCTAAAGGGTGTTTTCGAACGATTTTTGAAAAAAAAAAATACAATTCAATTCAAAATTTCCGGCTAACCTAAGCCTACGTCTCAGACTGGTTTGCAAACAATCGAAAACGGTGGCGAATTCTTGAAATTAATTGTGATATTTCGTTTGCAACGACCACAACAATCACGTAGAGTGGACAAAATTCCACTCGGATGGCAAAAACAATTAATGAGTCGAGCGAACACAACAAAAATAACCGTTGTCGGTGCGAAACATTCGATTAGTTAGTGCAAAGAACGAAATTTCGATGTTCCTTACTCTTCAGAAGTGCCGTCGTCGACCTTTCTGTTTTCAATCGTTTTTCGAACAAAGAACATCGCACAAGGAGGAGAGGATATCAATCGATCATCGACTCACATCGATTTTCCGACATCGGCTATGTCGAAGGCCAATCGATCGTCGACACGGGAATTCGATCAGAATCGTTGATTCGATATCAAATCGAAACCCCATTCTCCCCAAAGTGTTGCGCAAGGCACACAAACCATGAAAGGCGCGATAGACATAAAGACGTCTCGGCAGAGCCTTCGCCATTATCCGCACCCAACAATTAAATCCGTTTAATTTACATAAGTGCGCGCTCCTTTATTCACAATATGCCGAAAGAACCGGCCCGCGAATGAACAACAGCCGACGACTACTGAAACCAATCCTCAAACACTTTCCACATTCAGTTCGGCTTCTCTCGTTGTTCGGCGGCCACCAATCGGTGCACGTCTTGAAGCCCCCGACCCGATATCGGTGGTCGTTATCCAAATATGTCGGGCAATTCCATCCATTAGGAAAGGTGGTTCGTCAGTCGATCAGCTGCACGCACCCATCAGCTGAGAACGCGATTCTCAGATCGCGATGATGGATGGCTGATCAACGGTCAGTCACGAGGGGTCCCCACACGACACAACAAAAAATTGCTGTGTGAACGACGACGACGAGGAGTAGGTGTCGAATATGAATCAAGTGTGATAAGCGTTCATGGGCGATTGTTTCGACGGAGTGTGACTGAATAGCATGGTGAAAATGTTAAGTGCGTTTCTCTCATGTATGTGTATAGACCTTGGTTAGGACGATAACAACAACTCAAATACAACCCCCCCTTCAATCAAGATGGCGTGCGCAATTCAAAAGGAACCGAGCTACAGTAATCTGACACACCGGCAAACAATCAGGCCTTCATCACGAATTTCTCAACATTTTGAATACCTGGGTTTCGAATTCTGAAATGAGAAGCTAGATCTCCCATAATTTTCTGAAAATTCTGCTTTGCACTGGGTGACTTTAAAATTTCCCAAAAATAACTACCATTAGTTTGCCGAATTGGCCATAATTGTTGAAATTCTTGTAGCAACAAAAAAGCAATGAGTAAATACACATGTTCACCGGCAATACGTCACATCTGGCCAATTCGCAATTTATGAACCCATTTTCAAGAAGATTCCGATCATCAAAGACCAATCCAATCGAAAAACAAACCGCCTATAATAAACAATCGTCGTGCCCATGATGAAACCCAAAAAAACGTTCTCGATGTTATCGAACGGAATTGGAGGCGGACGAGTTTAATGCACTGCCAATCAGCCCTCATCTAGCCAACGCATTCCATCGGCGAAAGTTGTGCGCGCCTTATTCGGGTCACCGTATGGCACACCAATAAATCAACTCGACGGCTATTTTTATGTGTGTGTGTGTGTGTGTTATGAATTTTCTTTTTCGAAAAATCCACTCGCAATTGTGGCCGAAAAGCAGAAGAGAGAAAAACGATGATGAAGAACCTGCACTGAAAAATCTGGGCGGCGCATAGGCGGAGAGTCGTCGTCGTCGCAGATTCCTTCGCCTATCTGCGTCTCGGCGCCACCTTCTGTCGCTTTTAACACCCCGAGAAAACCGAATACTCTCCACACAGACACACATACACACACATACGCGCGTACGCATACCGTCGTTTCATTTCACGGTTTTTTTCCCCCAATTACCGAGTCCGATTCCGCTATGCTCTTTTCGTTGTTTCTTGCCAATTTACTAGCGTTCACACTCGCCACAACTGAGTGGTGGGGCGACTTAAGAGCCCATTTGAATCCGTCTCGTCAAGCTCCGTTCTACGACGTCACCTATGATGAGACAGGTTAGCTGCAACCTTTTTCTTTTTGTTTATTATTTTCTTTTTGGTTTTAGTTGCCGTTTGTCCGCAAGGTCTTCATGCCGACGCGATTCCCGAATTCGTCTATTTTGGCACAATGCTCGCCACAATGACCGTCAACGAGCACGATCAATGCCTTCAGAAGTGCGTTGAGAAGCCGCGATGCAAAGCCGTCAACTTCTTCCATCCGTTCGCCTATCAGGAGAAGGGATTCTGCGAGCTTCTCACCGAAGGCCAACGCGACAATCCGAGCCTTATGCGTCCATTCCGCAAAGCCACCTACTACGAGAAGATTCGGTGCCGCGAGCCGGAAGACGTCGATGATTTCGATTCGACGGAATCCGCGACCGTCTCATCCGATTCCAACGACAGTGAGTCTCTTATCATCATACGTTGTCGTTGACACTGTTTGCAACTTATCTCCGGTTTGAAATTCAAAAACTTCTTTCGGTTTCCTTCCTTCTTAGGTCGAAAAATCTGATCGAATCGAGGAAATCAACATTCAACTAATTTTGGAATTGCAGAACCAAAACCAACTAAAGAGGACGTCATCGAGGACAAGCTCAGCATGAGTTCACTCATGAAGAAGCTCTCAGCAAAAGTCAGCGAGTTCAACAACGGCGGCGGTTTTCGCGCGGCTCGTTAAGGTATCACTCAAATCATTCTTTTATATTTCATTTGTCTCCATAATATTTCTTGTACATCGCGTAATATTCACCCCCCCCCCCCCGCCCCAAAAAATTGCATACATGTCGCTTCAAGGATCTCAAAACCTCATATTATTTCAACAAATCGGGTCTCGTTCAGCTGTTATCCACCAACAACCATCAAGTACACACCAAACTTTTGTTATTTTGTTGTTAAAAAATTACCAATTGCATCGTTTTTTTTTTATTTTCCCCTAGTCAGACTAGTCGACCTAACACTTCCCCCAAAAACTTCCACACAACCATCTTCAACTTGTTTTATTTTTCTCACCCCGTGTCGATTTTTTTTTCGCGTTCTCGTCTCCACACTATTATATATTTGATGATGATGATGACGCCTTTACTCCATCCACAATTCATACGTGTATTCAATAAAACTTGCGAGAAACAGAGGAAGGTGAATTGGAAGAGGAAGGGGAAGCAAGGAGGGAAGAAACAAGAGTGGGGGGGACACACACAAAGAGACATTCACAATGTTATCTAATCGACAAATCGCCGCACATTATTTTTGCTTGTTGTTGTTTTTTTTTTCTCGAAAATTCAAGTGGACTATTGGAAAAGTGCGAATTGTTATGACGTAACAAATTCCAGAAAACTTTAAAAAAAACAACATCAAAAGTGCGAAACACACAAATCGCATCATAAACATAGTCATGTCACGGCGATTTTTGATCATTTTGCGCTAAATTACCCCCATCAAAAAATGTTATCATCAGTTCTCGAGAAGGAATTTCTCGCGCGATTTCTTCTCGTCATCTCGCCGACCGACGGCGGCACATTCCAATCAAAATCGAAAATAGTGAAGCCTTTCGCACTTGACCTTGTTCAAACGCTTCGAAACTCCCGATGATTCATTTTATGGCAACGCTTGTTGTTGTTGTTGTTTTTTTTTTTCAAGAAAACACGCTCGCCGCTATCTTCGCCGGGTCATCTCACACATTCCGTTGCGGGCGCCAACATTAATTGGCGACATTGTGGAATTTGACAAACTATGTCCATTAAAATTCTAAGAGAAAAAGATGAGTGCGGATTGCCCCCCGCACACCGTTTGCTGATCGCTTTTTCATGGAACCGAACCGAACACTTCCTTATTGACGGATCAACAAGGAACTCATCGACTACATTCCATTCAGCCTTGGCGAGAGCCAATAGTTAGTAAGAGTGTTACGAATTCCTCGCTCAATGGACTTGTCCGGACACATTTTCACCTTTTCTTTAATTATTAGAACATTCTGAAGGTTTCAGCAATCTAATACTCAAAAATGAAAGTTTCTAAGGATCACACTCAAAACATCGCATTGATAAAATTGTTCTTCGTTGCTTAGGCGCTTTGATTTACAAATATCGAAATTGTGGAAGCTTTCGAGATTATGTGATCTGGAACTTCTAATAATAGTCCGCAACGAAGGTTCTACGAATCCAAAGTACGTTAGAATGATGTTTACTGTTCAAAGAAATATCGTATGACTTCAAACGGCGTTAATTTTTGATATTTTGGATAAATCTGGAACGTCGTAAATCATATGATATCAAAATATTTCGCGGCAATCACATGAAAAAATATTTATTTGAAGATCAAAAGAATAACTCAAATGTAATTTTTTTCGTTTCGCTGCCTACAGGACAACAACAACAACACGTATTCGTGAGTGATCGAAGACCAACAAGATCGCTGAAACCAAATATTAGGGGGGTCTTACCTTCACTTTCGGCCAAGTAAAAGTGAATATTCTGAGAACTTGGTTTCAAGTGTTTCGATTCGGTTCCAGCAGCGGACATGATAAACTAAACGTATAAAAAACTAAAACAAACAAGAAAATCAACAAAATAAAATGAAACGAAACGAAAAAAAAAACGAAACGCGCCAATTATGCGTATATATGTCACTTTTGAAGATGTCGACTTCATTAAGCCAAACGCAAAACCAAATAAATCTTTAGTTATTGATTTTGAGCGCCATACAAATGTTTTTTGAATGAACCGGAAAGCCATCAAATGTAACTAATTGGACACGAAAGGTAATAATTATTGTAAGATGGCGGGGAACTGCTAATTAAACTACCAAGGTTGACTGAGTAACTCCATGAAATATGAAGTAGACCGGGCAATAAGAAATATGAAAAAAGTAGCTGACCTTTTACAGCTTCTCGCTCGCGTTTTTTCTTGTCCTTCTCGTCGGCTTTCTTTCGACCTTTTTGCATTTCCGCGATGTCGTCGAGACTTTCATCGTCGTGTCTTCGGATTTTCGAGCTTTTCTGTGCAAATTTTCAATATAAATGTTATTAGAATGTTGAACATACAACTATGGACCTCTCGAATAGCCTTAACTGATCTTTAGCAGTTCCAGTCTTCTCTTCTCGAAGCATATCATCCAGATTTTGCGACTTCTCGTATTCACGACGCATTCTCGACGAACCTTCACCGTGCCTATCAGAATCCCGACGACTACTGCTACTTGCCGGAAGAACGTTGCCTTCGCGATCTCTCCTCATCATCACAACTTCTTTGGTTCGAGACCTCGGTGGTTCCGAATAATCAGATTTTCCGGATTCCAGTTTTCTTTTTAATTTCTTCACCAAATCGGTATCGCCTTTAAGCTCGGCTTTCAGAATTTTTGCGGATATCTTGTTTCGCTCGTCTTCTGTTAATGTGGTGGACTCGCTTTTGCTGTCGTTGCTGTCCGCATGTTTGACTTGCTGATTCCCATAAAATTCTACCTGAGATTTCGTGCTCGCCGTAACGAAATCCTTCAAAACATAAATATGAATATTCTGTAAAAATTGAATAAAGCAAAAACCTTTCCGGCTGTGAATTCTCTTCCCAGTTTTTTAGCATACTTTTCCGATATTCTTTTCGCTTTTACCACTCGCCCAGAATAGTCGTCATCGTCGTCGTTAGGCTTGCGGAACATACTTCAAAAAATTCGATATTATTTATTATTACAGAAAACAATCGGGAGAATGTGAGAAACACAAAAAATTTAATAGAAAACGAATTATTCGAAAAAAAAGATGCTAAAAATTGAGATGGCCTAGAAATTTTCCGGCCACGGAATATCCGCCAAATTTTTTATTCGAATTACTATCTAGGTTTCTCTTTCTTATTCAGTTCTTTTCACATATATAAATATTCCTCAAAGTGAAAATGGATGAAGCTGAAGCTGAGGAAGTTTTGCGAAATGAGCAACGGTTTAAGTAAGTGTTTCTTCATGGAATTATATCAAAAAGTTCATCTAGGGAAGAGATAATCGACAGAAAATCAGTTCTGTGGTTGGAATTGGAAAGACATCATCCGTGTTCAAGGAGTGCTAAAACAATTGCAGAACTTCAAAAATGTGTGGATTATACCTTGGAAGTGTTAAGAAAAGTAGGAATTCGTTATTCTTATGAAATTTAAAATTGTTGTTCTTATAAAAGTCAGCTTTCAGACTTGCGCAGATTTCAACATTTCCGAGGAGCGCGGAAACTGCCTGATTGCCCAATTAATGTTTCCGATGCAGGAACGACAATCGATTGCAATGCTTCTGAAACCATATTTTCTTGGTAACTTCATGCATTGGAGATTATCGTCCACAAAAACCTCCACACCAATCATTGAACCAAATCTACCAAAAAGTGAAGAGGAAGTACCAAAAGAAGAAGTTGATATATACATAGCAACATTCAGCAAATTTCTTCACACTTTGTAAGTTCTAAAACATTTTTCTCAATTTCGATTATTCCGAATATCTTTTTTAGGGTCCATAGTCCAATTTCAATCAAAAGCCATTTGAATTGGATTCTAACATCGGTTTTGCGAGAAGTCGCAAGTGCTTACGTCCGAATTCAATTGCAAAACCATATCGATGTTATTAACTGTTTATGGTTTAGTGAGGTAGCGTGACATCAAAATGAATTCAAACAAAAAAAATAATCATTTAGCTGCTCACCGTTCTCCAGCAATGGTGTTCCCTTTTAAAATCGGAAACCTCGTTCGGAATTGCTGCTCCGTTCATTTATAAGGATATCACCAAGTATTTAACAGAGACGGTATGTAAAATATCGAAAAATGAGATTATTCAAAAAAAATTTTAGATTTATCAAGACGTTGTTGAAGACTATCCATCGAGATATAACGCAATTGTCACTCTCCGACTGTGTTTGCAAAATTCAAATAATTATGGAAGAGAAATGCTTGCCAAACGATTAATTTCGGATATTGAGAAGAAATTGTTGCTCGCAGGTCATTTTTCAAGTTTTTGTTCAAATATAGCCCAATTATTTTATTTTAGCTGTGGACACCAAAGTTATTCTGAATGCGTATGCTTCTTGTGTTGAAGCTCTTCGAGAGCTTGACACCACATGTGTTCTCATGCATCGAGTATGCGGTGTTATCAAGGAATATCTCAAGTAGCTCAATTTATTGAAAATCCCTTTATTCAACAAAAAAAGTGTATTTTGCAGAAAACGCCCTGATACTGTCCAGCAAATTATTAGTTATATCACATCGGATAAGAAAGAGGAGCTTGAAAAAGATATGGTTGGTTCAACTGTAAATTACTAAATAAGGAATTGCGACTTGAAGCAGACGAACACGAAGAGGACCGCGATGATGGATGAAGAGGAGCTGAAAGGTGTCAATGATGAATTTTTGCCGGAAAATTTGGATACGACGGGATGGAATAAATGGGAACCGCATCCAATGGATGCTCCGATTGGTAATTGAATTCATCACATCATTGAGTATTGAATGAAGTGCTTTTTTTCAGGAGAAAGCAGTCAAGGGAGACAAGGTGTCGATGTGTTCAATATGCTTGTTTCGGTATACGGTAGCAAGGAAATGTTTGTGAAAGAATATCGATCGCTATTAGCTGAGAGATTATCGAATTCTGACAAGAAAGATGTAAGCTCTTGAATTTCGACTATCGAATTCCAATGAATTTTTTAGCCTGAATTCGAAAAACGCTATCTGAACTTGCTGAAACTTCGATTCCAATACAGCGAGCTTCAACATTGCGAAGTGATGCTCAGCGATGTTGTGCAAAGTCAAAAAATTGACAAGCTTGTGGCTAAGTTGGATGTTTTGCCGATTTCGGCATGTATTATATCGGCACATTACTGGCCGAAGATCGAAGCTGACCCGGGGAGCCAGGTAATTTATTATTTTTCGATCACAATAAGAATAATGCGTTCAGAAACTACCTGAGCCAATTGAGCAAGCCATGGAAAAATATGCTGCTACGTATTCGAAGCAGAAGGAGAGAAGAAACTTGAATTGGATCAAGGGTGCAGGGTATGGTGTGGAAGGTGTTTTCAATTATAGCATTTCATTTTAGATGTGTTCAAGTTGAAATTGAACTCGACGGATTTGCTATCGAGAAAACGGTGCCGAATACACAAGCGGCCGTTCTTTATTTATTGCTCGAACGAGGTTTTCGTATAAATATGCCGCATTGGTGCGATTTTCAAGTTTAGAAATTTGGACGGCTGCCGAGATTGCCGAACAACTTGGAATCTCGTCAACGGTTGCAAAGAGAAGGCTTGATTGGTGGACGAAGCAAGGGCTTCTTGTTATGGTAACAAGAATTGAGAGAATTGGTTTTTTGATCACATGATATATTAGAGCGTTCAACCCGGAACTACATCGGAATCGTGGTCGCTGACCAGAAATCCGTCGATGATGGCGACAAATCGCGCCAAATCACCGGAGCCGATTGATGAGGATGAATTGGCGAACGATGACGCTGCTGACATGATCGAGTCGTTGGAGCAATATTGGAGCTATACGCTCAATTATATCTCGAATCATTCAACGAATGGCGAAGTCAAAGCCGAGCGAATGCATCGTGTCTACCGAATGTTCGGATCGCCAACATCTGCTGGACCCACTTTGGATCATGTCATCGCATTCTTGCAACGAAAAGTGCAAATGGGCCTACTCACGTGTGTAAATGGATTTTATAGAGTTGTCAACAAATCCTAGATCTCGTATTTATTGTTGTGATTTGGCTTGTTATAAACATTTAACCGATTCTTTCCAATTCGAATCGATCGACAAAAATGAACGCCTGTCGTTTTGTGAGATTCAGGACCTCTGTGATTTTTCGTCGAACTAATCGCCCAATATCGAGCTTGATCCTTTTATTTGAAAATGACGTCTGAAAAAAAAATCGACAGCTTTAAATTTAATAAAATGCCTACTTTTACAAAGCTGCGAACGAATTGGAACCAATTCTCGTAAATATTTGCATCAATTTCGCTGACAATATCGAAATCATTGAATATTTTAAACATTTTCGCGATATATTCTTTCGAAATATAGCTTTTCTCATTTTGTCCTTCGATGTGTGTATACAAAATCGACACAAAAATGCGATATTCCTTTTCCGGAAAATGGAAATTCAATAATAGCGGAAGAGTGACGCGAAGAGCCGGTGACAAGTCGATTCCTGAATTTGCGAAATTTCAATTCAAATTATTTCTATTTGCAAAATTTACCACCACAATCCTCACATACAAAATCTTTTGTTTTCATTTCGACCAAATAATTTTCGTCGTGAGAATTACAAATTTTTGTCCAAACGAGATACTGCATATTCATCTCATCATACCGATCCCAGTCGAATGAAAAATAACTGAAATACTTTAATAGAAGACTAGAAAAAAATGTTTTAATCATTTACTTTTCAAATTGAATACAACTTCCAATAAATACATTAGAGCTGAAAATTTCAGCAATATCTTCGAATGGTGTTTTAGGTTTTTCGTCTAAAAAAACGTAAATTTTTATTCAAAAATTCTGGGTTTTGTTGAAATCTACCGTGTTGCTCCAAATTTGATGTTGATGGGCTCTGCTCGTCGGCAATATCTGTGAAACCCAAATTCTTACCATTATTTAAATTTTCGAATTCTTTATTTGTTTGATTTTCAGTAAATTTTTTGTTTGGCGATTCTCCGACTACTTCACAACTGTTGTCTTTACGCAATCTCGACGGCTTTTGATATTTCTGCAAATAATAGCTTTAAGGTAGACATTTTGAAGTGCATATCAACTTTTCTCATGCTTTGCGTCAAATTAGCCCGGAATCTTCGAATTTTTCTGCTGCCTTGTCTTTTCTAGACATAAATCTTCAATTATAACATCAATTCATTGCAAACCGGAAAAACCGAATCCTTATAAATTTTGATATAATCCATCGAACTTAAAACCGTATTTGGAAGCGGTGAACTAGGAAATCGATGAAAAGTTTCGCTAACTGCCACATCTCTAAATATTGGAATAATATTTCGAAAAAAAATCACATCATTTTAAAATTTAATTTACTTGTATTTTTCAAAATCGCTGTTTAATATCCATGTGGAGATGTCAGCGGAATTCTCAGAAATTCGGCCGGTTTCAATACGACCTAAAAACTAATTGAAATATTAAAAAACTGTTTTTTTCTTTACTTATTTCTTGTTTGTCCATAGAAAAATTCGTCGATTTATTTGCGCACTCTGCAAAACGTGTATTTTCAAAATCGTTTCGATCTCATTATTCTTTTGGTTTATTGACTTCAAAAATCAGGTTCGCAAGCTTTTCTGATCTCAAGATGCACTTTTCAACCTTGCATATCGCAAATTTTGTCAAATTAGCGCGAGCCTTCATTAATCTAGTTCATCATCAAACTTCCTCACAATTTATCTGCAAATGATCTCGGATTTGATGCGATCTGTTCTCCCTCCTCTTAGTTTCACCTATTCGTTGCTTGACATTTTAGCGCGACGTACGATGCGAAAAACTTACATCTTACTTTTGATTTTCTTCGTAATTATTCGCGTCTTACTGCTTGTTTTTTACAATCCACACGTGTTACAAGATTCTGAAATTCGACACGAGCCAAGGTAAAACTGCAAAAAATAAACATTAATTATATGATACTGTAGTTATAATTTGTGCAGTACACCGCTACGAAAAACCGCACACATTTATCATAATGTAACATTTGAATTTCAGAAGTTTTAAGTCCAATCGCAACACCTCCCTTTTCGTCGCCTTACAAGAAACCGAAACAAATTTCGTAATTCAATTTTTTCTTGCTTTCCGCCGATAATTTTCAGTATTTAGTCTCAAAAATGCGAAAAATCTTGGCTTCGACACGCTGATGATTACTACATTTTCCCAAAAAACAATATAAGATGGCCGGTGAACACCGAAAATGCGATTCTCGATCATTACAAGTGAAATTGTCTTATGTTTTCCAACAATTTATTGATTTTAGAAGATTATTCGTTCAAACGTACGATAATTTTCCGCACCAAGCTCGCTGGATTTTGTTCACTTTCGACAATACATATTATTTGATTGAAAATCTAGTGAAAGTATGTTTTTTTTATATTCCAGTGAAAACGGAAAATGCATAGACGAAAAATCTACGGTTTCAGTTTGGAGCCAAAAACGCGACCATTTTTTGTCAATTTGCTGAATTTCTGTATTCAAGATAATTTTTCTAGGCAGTTGAGCGGTTGAATTCGCACAATGCAATTTATTCTGTTTTGCGAGATCATGAGTCAAAGGTAATTATTTACAGTATGTTTCTGAAAAAAAAAACGGCTACTCGAATCAGTCGCCACATTCTCATTTTCTTCATTTTATTCGGTTAATCGTTTGTTTAATTTATTTGAAATTGGCGATTTAATCATTTCTTCTTTAAAATTTAATACGAAGGCTCGAAATATTTCACACATACGGTAAAATGCAAAAAAAAAAATGTCTCACAGCGGCCGATTCTTTTTAGTCACGTTTTTTTCAGAAACAGACTACAGCTGATCAAACTTCTACAAAAATAGTATTAATCATTTTATTTCAGGAATTCCATTTTCCAGCTATTTTAGTATCACGAAATGCGCTGGACGTGTATTATGAGCGGCTCGCTAGTTGCCCACAAGACACCGAAACGATAGAAGGTAATGATTCCCACAAAATGCCAAAAATCAACATATTTTTCTCTAGAATGGCTAAAACAATGCGTATCTCCTCAAATTGAAAATTTGAATAGCGATTCGCAAGGAAAAAGTCGCGTTTTTGCTCTAAATCGGCATTTTCAATTGGACGAAATGAAAACGATGCCCCAATACAATGATGGTTTCTCGGTAATTCACATTCGGTGGCAAAATACCTCAAATCAATCAAATGTTTTGCAGTACATCAATAAACATAGTCCGTCACTTCTTTCATTTGTAAATTTGTCACAAGATGATCTCCTACTTTTGCCAATTCTCGTCGAGAGAATTCATGGCGGAAAATCGAAGCGAAATGTCAAAAAGGAATTGTAGCAATAAAAATCTTTAAATTTTGAATTAATTAAACCCGACATTTTAAAAAATTATTAAAACCCACAATTAAAACGTAACAATTATGGAACAAATTAACAATAACCACAGAATCAACAATATTTTACAGTTTCTCATTTAATGGGCATACTTGCAATCTTCTTCAGACAGCTGGCATCCGTCAGGATGATTAGCGGCCATGAAGCATGGGTACTTCGGGGCAGGCTTAATGCCTTGCTTTTCTCGCAGTAATTTCTTGGCCAGCGCTTTTTTGGCGTTTCGCTTCCGAGTGCGATGAGGTGATCGGAAATCGCGAAGCGTCGCCACACCGCCGTGAACCTAGAATTGCGTCGAATAGTTATCGACGAACATTTCTTGAATATCTCACATTGAACACTTGATGATGGTTTTTCATAAAGGTCTGAAGGCCGCCACACTGATCCTTCATCAATTTCTTTTCCTCATCCGTCAGAATTCTAGCAAGGCTCTCAATTGAAATTTCTCCGCCGATATGCCAACCACTAAAGCCACTTTGTAGGAATTTTTTCCCATTTTAAAAACCTACTCCTTCACTTCATCCGAGCTCTCGAGCAAGTATTTGAACAATTTTTCAACAATCGGTATTCGCACTTCGACCGGAATATCCGTGCAATTCCTATTTTTGATTTCGGCTGGTCTCGGCACGAATTCTTTGCCGTCCGTCAAATCGTGAATCACTTGGTCGAGATTCGCAACGAGACCGGTTTTTGGAATTCGACCGACAATGCACAACTGCAAATTGGTGATTTTTTGAACATAATTCGATCTCATACCCGGCGCGTACTAGGGATCATCAATCGATCCGTGTCTACTTCAAAGCCAAGCATCTCGCTAATCTGAACGAGACGATTTTGATCTACGATTGAAACTTTTCGATGTTACATGAACGACCCAGTCGAAAAATGTCTCAAATTGGCTTTTTGACACTTTTTTGTCGACAATCAAATAGTTGGGCCGATTGAATTTGCCGAAAAACTCGAACGGACAACACGGAATTATGAAGAACTCGCAGTTCATTTTGGCGGCCATCAACGCAATCCACGGCGTCAATTCGTCGCTGTGATTGCCGATGAGCAGATCGGTGTCGGCGTCGAAGTGCGGCACATTTGAAAGGACCATTTGCGGGTTGACGGCGAACTCGCGAAGATCACTTCCGCCGCACAACGTCGACCAAATGCGACGTGAGCGGACGTCGACTCCATAGCCAGGAATCTAGAAGGAATTGTTTTTAGTGCAATTCAATATCGCATTCGGTTTTTCGGACAACTAACAAGGGAAGTCATTTTACCTTCCGTCTTGGAATTTTTTCGGAAAATCTGAATGGAAATTTTTGACGAATTCTATGAAAAGTTAGCAAAAAATTCCAAATCAATAATTATCTTTGTGAATATTTCGTCAACTTACCCCAATTTTATTCAAAAGATTTACTAATAGACCATTTCCACATCCAATGTCAACGAACTTCTTGGGTCTCTTCAGAATATTTGCATTGAAAATTTCCTAAATAATTGTATTCATCGAATAACTGCGAAATATTTTTCAAATACCTGAATATAGGTGGCAATTCCGCAATCCTCGTACACAAACTTTTCAGCGTTTGTGTTTTCATCCCAGGCCTCAACTAGATGCTTTCCAAACTCTAATTTTATTTGCTTATAATTGGTCGCATATGATTCCTTATCAATGAGAGCGTGCGTTTTGCGCAATTGCCTGCAATTTTACAATTTTGATTGAAAAAAATTATACTTCTGGCAGTACCTTGAAGGATCCACGGTTCTCATCCACATTATCAAATGTGAGAAAGTTGGATTTTTGAGGAATTCGATTTTTGGGTCATCAACAGTTTTCTCCGAGAACAGTTGAAGTTTTACGCTGAAACATTAATTTCCTTTTTTAATTCAAAAACTACATTATATTCGAAATTCGTTTCGAATCGAAAGCGGCATATTTCGAGAAAAGTTCTAACGTCAATCGAATATTGTCGTGGAGGGACGAATTTCAAATTGCCGCCTTGGGTCTCGAATACAACAAGACCAGTTAAATGAAGTCCCGCACAATTCAAATTAGTTTTCGCCCACCAGTCGAAATTTGTCGATTCTACATAAATCACCATATAAGTAATTTTTTTACCAATTTTCACTCGATACAGTACATCCTATTGAATAAATGTCGTCGAACTTTGCGTGAGGTTTCTCGGGTTCCATGTTCACTGGAATGAACTTAGCCAGAAATGATTCTGAAATGTTTAAATGTTAATTTCTTAAAATCCTATTTACCTTCATAATAAAATATTTCGTAACATGTTTTACTAATCGATGCTTGATGGCACAGGATTTTACGAATTTCGCAGTCATCTATAAATTTACGTTATTTCTTTATTTTTCATTTGGGGTTACTGTTGAGTTGGACGTCTTTTTGCTGTTTCGCGATTGCTAACACTAAATTCGCTTCTTCGGAATTCGTTTCAAGTCGAACTGTGGTGTAGATTCGCTTCACATACGCGCGAGGACTGTCATTATACAGCTCGATGGCCTAAAACGAAGGATTAAATCAATAACTTTTACATTTCAAACCCGATCGAAATAAGCTTTAACATCAACTTCTGATTCGAATTCGATTAATTCTTCTCGAATCAGATTTAGATGCATTTTGCCCCTAAAAAAATTGAAAATGAATAAAATTATTGGACGTCTTTTTTCCAATTTTCTAGTCCGCGGCCATGCCATGAAAATTTACTTTCAATTCGGCAATTTCATCCGGTAAAACAGAGCGTTTTCTCGCTTTAGTAACAAAAAAACCCTAAATTCGAAACAAACAGTGGCGAAAAAAAAATTGAAAAGTTTTTTGTTTTTATAAAAGCGCCAAAAAGTATCCTGCGTTTTTCTACTATACCGCCCAATGAGTGTGTCTAGAAATTTTTTCTAAATTATTTAAATAAGGTAATTGGAATGTTATAACTAAAAAAAAGGAAGTTTCTGGAGCAGCAAAAAATAACTCTGGTAACTCAATACCAATCGGATCCGAATTGGAAAATTTTACCAATCGGATCCGAGAAATTACCAATCGGATCTGAAATAATACAAAAATCGAATCGGATCCAAGGAATTTCGAATCGGATCCGAATTATCTAAACAAATCTGATCAGAACAATTTCCAATCGGATCCGACAAATTACAAATCGGATCCAAGAAATTACCAATCGGATCCAAGAAATTACCAATCGGATCCGAGAAATTACAAATCGGATCCGAGAAATTACCAATCGGATGCAATTACAAATCTTATCCGTAGAATTACCAATCGGATCGGGTTGATTCCGGAGCCGAATTTTGTCGGATCCGATTTGTAATTTTTCGGATCCGATTGGTTTTGCGTTACCAGAGAATAGAAAAAAATAAACGTCTGATGTCAAATTCTGAACAATTGAATCTAGAGAAATGTTAAAAAAGAGAAGAGGAATTATTTAATTAAATTCGAAACGCGCCCGTATTTCTATACCGCGCGGTGTGCTGGAGCGCGGTTTCCCGAAGATTGACGTAGGCGGCGAGAGTCTAAAGGGCGCGAGTGGGTTTTTTCCAATGGGCTCCCGCAGCGGCGCGACAGAAGTAAGGGCTATTTGAAATTTGTTTTTCCGTGGCCTAAAATGTCAGTTCTGTAAAGATTCATTAGCAGCCTACTGATTAAGCCTATGGTAAAATGACTAAATTCACATGGCACATCGGCCGGTGGATCGTTACGTGGAGATGAAAATCGTTTATTGCGTTTAGTATACTCTTGTAGTATCTCTGTAACTTGCGCCCCGTTATGATTTTGAATGCGTAATTGATTAAATTCCAAGAGCAGGCGGCGAGTCAGAAGGGTGAGAAGTCGGACGACGGTTAATTATGAATGATGGATTTTCATAAAGATAATTGATAACCGCGTTTTTATTCAAATCTTATTTAGGGAGTGCTAGTCTCCGAGATTTCCAGTGATATACTCATTTTTTTTTGTCTAATGACAGTCGTGATTCAGGTACAATGACACGAAAAAAACTAAGAGAGAAAGAGAATCCAAGAGATCTTCGCTGACCGCAGAGATTGAAAGCCGCAAAATGGCTTCGGCAAGAGCAGTTCGCCAAAGGCGACAATGCAGGGTGCACCATCGCATCGTGTGGCAAAACGGTAGAAAACGAAGTCGTCAAGCGGATGACGGAGACGACAGATGAGATCGTTCGAACAATGGCAGACACCAACCAGATCTGCGAGCACACTCTGGAGGCGGTGGTCCTGGTTCTCAAGCAGCATTATCGAGATTTTCGAAATCAAAAAATCCTTTTCTCCTCAATCTTGTTATTTTCGCTTTTAACGTGACACAGTTGTCTGTGATCATCCGATGATGTTTGTCAGAAGAAGAAAAAATCGGCAGCAGTGATAAAAATAAATAATAGAATTCTATCTGTTCAGTTTTTTGGGGGCCTTCAACATGGGTAATAAATTATCCTCATTGCGTTGATAGTTTATTTAAAGCGATAGATCAAACATTGTAGAGGAGAAACATGTCTATACTTATATACATAAGTTTTTATTGCCTACCCAAAACCAAAAATGAATACAACCTATCATACAAAATTAGCACGTTTTAATCACATCGCAGATATGTACAAAAAAAATCGAAAGCTTGAAATGAGAGAGAGCCTCTAGTAAAGGAAATATGCGAAGACAACTGCGGTGATAATATGCAATGTTGGCTGGATTCCAGCGGATTGTTGCGATTTCAGTTGAAGAGCGTAGCGTTTTTGAATTGTCTGACGACAACAGAAGCGCGAATTTCCGTTGAGAAGTTGCAAATGACTATAGAAATGATGGTCGCATTTTTTGATTGCGAATTCTCAACATGTTACCGAGTTTTGTCGGAGTATCTCAAACGCACATCATTGGAATTGCGATTCTTCTTCTCAACGGCATCCATACTCCAGTATCTATAATTTGCTAGTCAATGATTCTTATTTGATTGAAACATTGTTGGCGTCAAACGACTGGTCGAAAAAAAAAATTATTGGCACATCGCCAGGTGTATGTTGCGTACATTGCATTTAAGCCTAAGCGCATTTCATATTCAGGCAACGACGAATTCAATTCTACACCGATTTCAGAAGGTTTCGCATCCCTTCAGTCGTTTAACGCCAACAATACCACCTTATGTATTTTTGTCCGGCTGAGCTCAAAGCCGAATATGTCTTGCAACCGCTGAATGCGTGCATTCCGAGCACCGAGCATAGTCGCTCCTTCAAAATGTGCCGAAGCGATTAGGAATCGGTTGAATGCGATTGGCCTACCTGCTGACAAAAGCATGTCGTGTAGGTGCGATCGCGTCCGTAGTTCGGATCATAAAACCTACAAATTGCTAATTAAACCTTGACGGCAAGAGAGAGAGAATATCTCGACCTGGCGTATTTCGCCTCGCACCCGCCTGCGCATTCATAGGGATCGCAATCGCCGGCGATTTTGCCGCGACACGTGCCGTTGATCAGATCATAGTGGTACTGGCTGAAAATGAGAAACGAGTGGTTTTGAGAGAAGCGTTTGGCAATATTTCAATCAACATGCTGAACCAATTAGGGTGCCCGGTGGGTGGGACCACCCACGAATTATTTATTAAATTTTGCTCATAATTTTTGCCGACGACCAACCTGTGTGCAAAGAGTACAAAAAAGTTGACGAGAACAAGGTGGTGTGCACGCATATCGTCGTCCGAATGGACAGCAGCTTCTCCGATTCGGAGGGCACACGCTTGAGAAGCGGCAACTGACGGAACACTCTCGCAATCGCACACTGGCTCCGAGGCGCGATGATCCGCCAATTGACAAGACTAATCGAAGGGGGGACCCCCGAGATCTTCCCTCGTCGGAAAAAAATTGAGAAAGAGAGAGAGAGAGAAGGGGGGGATGGGGCGGGCTCGTCGGTGCTGCGTCTGCTGCTGTCGTACGCTGAAATGTTTCATGTTTTGCGTGTAATCGAACACATTTCAGAGGTTTTTTTCCACCGGTCGAGTCATTCGACGACGCCCAACAATTTGATTGATATAGTGATACGCCGGCTCATATTACACTAGTCTCTTCCAATTTTTTTGTTTGATCGGAGCTTTGAAAAAAAATGGTAATGTTGGCGAGGATTAGTAAAATTTTAATAGAATCAATCATAATGCTCAACAATTTAAAGAAACTGTGCCATTTTGAAAAACGCTTATCTGAAATACTGAAAAAAGATGAGCTTAGCGAACATTGCACAGATCGGTTTAGCATCTACCAAAGAAATTAGGATGGTCCCTAAGAACATTTCTTAAAAATTGCTTTAGAAATGATGAAAGCTAGTAAGTCATATAATATTCACGAATAACTACTACATATAAAATTAATATTGCTTGATTTGAAATATTCTGAAAGCTCATATCTGGCTCAAGAGCAAAATGAAAATGCTCTAGAAATCAGCAAATCGTGTAAAATAAAATGTAATTTTCCCCTCGATCCTTTAAATTTTTAGCAAATCGTATGAGTCATTCAAAAAGGAAAATTTTGATCCCCAAAAATTGTGAAAATCGATTTCCGAATTGCGCCAAAATTTGCGCCAAAAGATTTGATGTCTGATTCGTTTTCGACTTTGTTTGAATGGCTTTCTCAATAATCTGAAATTTTCAGTTCAATATCAATTAAAGACCGGAAACGGGGCATGACGGCGACGAGAACAGCGGAATGGAATAGAGATAGAGAGTGAGATGGTGAGAAGAAGACGACGAAAAAAGGAGAGCGAATCGAATCCGGAAATCATTTATCAGTGTGTTTGAAACACACGGTTTCGAGACGCCCCCACAGGCGCGAACAAAAAATACAACAAAAAAAACAGACACTCACAAACCCGACGAAGACAATTGTGGGGCTGGTGCGTGTGTTCTGATGCGTGTATACATGTGTGACATTGATAATAAAAAAAAGGCCCAAGATAACATTCGGCATCAGTTTTCTTCATTTCCGCTTTTATGGCAATCATTGTTCCATGCCTTCTTATTGTTTCCCAAACATTATTGCTGTTTTGTTGCTTTGCTCTAACCCGCAACATTGTCCGCAACAACTTTCTTTTTAATTTCCATTATTTACTTTTTTTTGTTTCGCCAATTTATTTTTCCAAAACGTCCATCCATTCACTTTTATGATTGCGCAATATTACACGACATTTTGCGGAATGTATGATGGTTATCGTATACGAAAGAAAAAAATCGGGTGCCGATTTTTTTTAAATCAGTCGTCCCAACTTGTTTTCAGCATTTTTATTCAAATTATTTTCACGATTTTTTTTTAAATTGAGTTTACTCACAATTAAAAAAAATAAAATAATATTGATATTCGCATATTTAAAAATTAAAATAATTGAAATTTTAACAAAAAAAGCTGAAATCTTGAATTAAGAGAATTTGAGAAGTTTTCGAAGTTTAAATTGATTTTTTTGGATACGATAATCAAAGGCGCATACAGTGTGTCTGCGCTGGGTCTCGCAGCGGCCGATTATGGTTGCCACTTTATTTTTTTTCGCCATCAGATTCTATCATTAATTGTTGATCAATAATTGATCAATTCACTACGCACGTTGAAATTTAACCGGTGAATAATTGCTCGATTGATAACACCCCCGTCCGCCTTCGTTTCCGGCGCTCGCTGATTATGCATTTCCCTTCATTTTTGCTGTCTCGTTGTTGAACTGAAGTTTTAATGTCACGATTTATAATCAGATCATTGACTCAATCCTTTCAGATTCTCTTTGTTGACTAAAATTTCATAATGACGTGATCTCCAAATTCACATGATTTTTTATACTAATTTTTAAAATTATTTTAAAAATTATATTTTATAAATTTCGGCTCCAAAATTGAGCAGACAAGGTTCAAAACTTGTCGTATTAGGTTGTGAAATTATCGAATTCGATTTTTCGTTGGAATTCGTTTCGATTGTAATCGAGTTACCAGAGAATCCCCCGTTATTTCAAAATTTCCATCGTCAATTTTTTCTTGAATTAATACAGATTCTATTTTGACTTGCTGAAATCGAAATTCCAAACAATTTGTTAAAATTCCTGAAAAACTCCAATTGCGTCAAACATCGATTTTGGCTGTTTCAAAACCATGGTTTAGATTTTTCGTTGCAGGAATCCTCTTGAAACTAGCCAAAATTCGATCCGAAATCAATGCGACATGGGAACTGGCGAGGCGCCGCAACTGCCACCGCGCACCCATCCGGTTCATGAGCGGAATCGGGCGGCGAAACGCGACCGTCACCACGACGACATTGACGCGCCGAAGAACGATGAAGCCGACGAGGTTGGTGAATGTCGAAGTCGACGAGCTTCGTCGGTTGGATTTGTAGACGTTTGCGATTTGTTCAAATATCAGGTAATCATTGCAAGTTTTTTCGGGTCTCTCTAATGGTCCGAATTGTTTAAAAATGTTTTAATTTCGTCAATTTGATTTGTTTTTTTTGGCAGGCAAAAATTTGTCTTTAAAAAATTAATTCGCCTCATATTTTTTTTTTCACTTACAAGGGAGGTCATTTTGCTGTCCGTCTTAAAATTTTTTTTTGCATACCGATTCTTCAGAAAATTTCCAATCGAATGAACTAGGTCCCTACCTGCGCAAACTTCTAGTTATCGAGATATGGACCTTCAAAGTTTTAGCCCCTCCCCACGTGAATTTTGCACACAAATGTGCGGAAACTCGAAATGAAATAACGTGATGTCTTATCTCGCGCTTTTATAACTTTATTTTATTTTATTTTAAACATTCAAAAATCTAAAAATTTCAATTTCAATAAAATCCCAAAGGCGTTGGCTTTTTAAGATAATTTGGCGAGTTTTATTAATTGTAAAAATATTTCGTAAGGAATACCGTAATTAAAGGCGCATTAATCTTTTTGGAACAACCAATCTCAAAAGTTATGAAATCGAAAATCAAAATCGTTGGAAAAAAAATGACACTGAGATTCACAGCGGCTGATTTTTTTTTTCAAAAACTGAATATATAATCCAATTACGCTTTTTGATCTTGTAGCGAATCGAATTTTCTATTTAATATTATCAAAAACTAATATCGTAAGCAATTTTGGACCATCGCCCTTTTCGAGGCGGTAATTCAAATTTAAATTTAAACAGTTTGAATTCTGGTATCATACTACAGATTACCTGCGAATCACACTCATCCCTTTTTTTGTCACAAAATTTTGCGGACAAAAAGAATACAGTAGAATGGTCTAAAGGCGCAAGACACCAAGCGGGGTGGTTCCCACAACGCAAAAGAGAACGGTGCGGGCATAGACAAGAGATTAACCCCTACGAGAAGGAAAAATTGAATTTTTGTGTGAAAAATAGTTTCTATCGACTCTTCTCATTCGAAAATTTTGAGATCGAAGCTTAACGATGTGCAATTTTCAGGACGACTATAAAACGACGACATCCGAACCGGGCTGCCGGATATACTCATCAATTCGCCACATGTTTCACCAAACGCCACAGAATGCGCCAATTCGAATTCCCGAAAGTCATATCAATCCAATGTTCAGCCATAAATCATCATTAACGAATATCTCGCGAAGTCTCACCCATTTGCCATATCCGCCGAAAAAGCGAAAATCGAAAATCCGTCGGGTTTTCTCGTGTTTCTCCGTGTTCTCCAAACACTTCTCCTAGTAGTTTTTTGAAAATTCTTATTTTTTTTTGTCTGATTACAATTTTCTCGCATAATTCACCAACACTGATAATAATAATAATACGAATAATAATGATGATTATAGGAAGCTAGCAATAATAGAAATTTATTCGGGTTGTTCTTTGATTATATTATTTATATTATATGCATAAAAGGCGGCAGAATGAAGATATTAAAGCACCATTATTCGAAATTCTTTGCTAGTTTTTTATTTGGTCATCTCTATGCTTGTTGAACACCTTTTCTCGAGATTTTCTTCTCTTTGTTTCGTTTTGGCGGCACCGGTGTGCTCGCAATTTCTTGCCGACCGTAGAAATATCGATATTCGTCGCTTCGAATGTATGCCCAAACGCCAGGCGCTCCGTTGGCTTCAAATTGGTCCTGAAAGAGAAAAAATAATTCCTCGCGCAATGTTGATATGACCGAGTTTTTTCTCGGCCATCTATCTCCGCATTCATTTACACATTATCACGTCTCACCGCAACGCACTTGTGGCCTAGAAAAATTGATCGACACTTTCAAAGAGCAAAAATTCAAGTGCGGCACACAACCACAGGCTTCATCAAGTGTGGCCGTGGCCGAAACTAATTTTTTTCTAGGCCACGTGTGAATTCAACGCAATAATTTCCTCTTACTTGAATATTTGGAATCCACGGATTATGCTCCAATCTAAGCGTCTGTTTTGGTCCAACCAATTCCAAATGTCCCAACTCGGGCGGGATCATTGTTAAGCGATTGCCCTGAATATGAAGTTCGCGGAGTCGACTCAGTTTTCCGAGCTCGTGCGGAATTGTGAGCAAATCATTTTCGCGAAGTACGAGAATCTAAATGAAGCAATCAATTCAATGAACGATGAATGAAATTGGTGACTTGAAGATTTTGAAGATTCTCGACGTCTCCAGGCAACATCTCAAAATCATTATCGCCCAAATAAAGAGCGCGAAGTGTTTCTGAAAATCACCGATTTTGATATTTGATTTAAAGGCGCATGACTCACGCATGAAGAAGAAATTTCCAGGAAGCGAGCGCTCGCTCAAATTATTGTAGGTTAAATCAAGAACTTCCAAACATGGGAAAGAGCCGAATCCACGTGGCAAAATTGAAAGACGATTCATTCTACAAAATGAGACTCGCGAATAATTATTTATTGAAATTTCGCCTACCCAACATTGAGAATCCGTAATTTTGGAAGGCTAGAAATCGAAGATGGAAGCTCTTCAATGTGATTATTCCAAAGAGTCAACGTCTACAATTTCGGGTCTCGTATGGAAATTACGGTATTTTAATTTCACTCACGTGAAGATTGATGAGGTCAGCGATATTTGGCGGCACTGCTGTGAGTTTATTATGCGACAATGTGAGCCTGGTGATTGTCTCAGCATCAACTAAATTTTTCATTTTTTTGTTTTATTTGAATTAAAAATTTTTGACAAATTTTTGTTGCTTACTTAAATGCGAAATTTGGGAAAATGATGAAATATTTCTATCGACGTGCTCGATTTCGGTGATTTCCTCTTTTTTCTTATCTTTCGGCATTCTGACGACTCTAACCTGCAATTCTTTTTGGTTTTGTCTCGTTGATTTGAGAACAATGAGAACGGGGGGCGTGGTATGCGCGGAACCAATTTATGGCCGGCGAGCCAATGAGGAGCAGGCGATGTACCGCGAGTAAGAGGGTTCGTCGGTGTATGCAAGAAGAAACGCGTTTGTTAGTAACAAATGTATAATATTTTAGGTTTCAAAGTATAACAAAAATTGATACTGTAATATGCAATGTCTGTAAACACCATGCTTATAATATGTACCAAAAATTGCATTTGTGATTTTTGATTTTTTTTTAAATTTTTCGAGCGATTTTCTTAAAGTTTTACGCAAATTTTCTTAACAAGTGCTTAAAACGTTTTCTTTCTGTCCAACCTTGAGGGAAATGGAATTAATACAAACGTTTCATGGTCAAATTTCCAAACGTATAGAATTTTTAATTGGCTGCATTGTGTTTATATCTGATCATGTTTCAAAATTTCGACATTTAAAACATTCAAAAAACTCGATGAATTGAACACCGCATAAAATCGATAATCTAAGCGAAAGGACAAATACAACAAATAACATAGTCGATGATTTCGAGAGGGATGCGAAAAGGGACCACCCGATGTAGGCGGTTGGTTCGCGTTGTAACCATCGGACCGGGGGCGAGGCAGCGCGTCGAATGCGGAGAATGCGGCAATCGAAGGAATTGACGTTTGCCAACAGCGAGCAGCATCTGAGGGAGCGCGGTGAGACGATTCTGAATCATTCATTTTGCCACCGAATCGATCGATCGATTTTATGTTTGCCAATGCGTCCGCTTCAGCGATAACAACAATTAATAATGATTTATTGAAAATCATATCAGCAAACGTGATAATTATCGATTATTTTGTCGTGTCTTTTGAGAATGGATCTCATGCAAATTTTTTTTGCCCCCGAAGAATCTTTGAAATTTCTCGAGTGTTCTTAAATTTCATTACAAGAACCTTTAATTTGAAGATGCGCACGAAGCCCACCAACATTCATTGGCGCATTTCTTGGGCAATATGTGTGTGCCTCTCTGTGTTCATTAAAAGCGCCGCAGTTGCTCTCGATTTTCTTCACCTCTTCGCTTCTCTCTCTCTCTCTCTCTCTCTCTTTCTCGCACATCTTTTCTCTTCACAGTTTGCCATTATTATAAACACAACGACTATGATCATCGATTTAGCATTCTCGTTTTTCTTTGGCTTACGTTTTTTTGTTTTTGTTACACGGTCAAAAGATGGCTCATTACACCAAAAAAATGAAATGAATTCAATTTTTGTTTATAGCCCTTTTTTTCAATACAAAATTCGCTGTTTTCTCGCGCTTTAATACCCAATAAAACCTGAAAAATCACATATTTTCAAGATTTTTTATTGTGTTGTAAATATGTGAAGAGGAATCTCGAATTTTCAAGCTTTTGTCAACGAATTTCGAATAAATCGCTAAAAACGCGCAAGTAACCATAGTTTCGCTATGACGCCATTGATTTTTTTCGGAAAAGTTTCACTTTTTTTGAATGACGTTTCACTTTTTATTCTTTCAATTTTCTAATTAATTGTTTGAAGGAAAAATATTGCAGTATTTCAACCTAGAAAAGGCATGACTTTCAGGTTTGCCAAATTATTTCCAAAGTTTATAATTTTCCAATTTCCCATAGTTATTGATTTTATTGATGAATCACATAAATAACCTTGCTGCGAAAGACTTATCTAAACCTAACATCAGATCTTCCACGCTTCAGCATCTTTCTCTCGTAGTCTTTGATATTTTGCATAAATATAAGCATATTAGGTCTTTTGGAAATTGGATATTTCTGTGCGAAAAGCACTCGTCATCCCATTTTGTTATGCTCAAATAAAAAAAAATGAGACCACATTTTGTTGGGGGTGCCTATTTCCTCTCGCCTCTGCCGCCGCATAGCCTAGTCGACGTTGCATTACATTTTTTTGTTCATCGTTTTGTCCCCTCCCGCCTTTTTCAATTTTTATTTTATTCATAAACATTATCAGCTGACGCCTCTTTTTCTGGTACACGTCGAACGAGATCAATCGTCGTAATCGACTCATTTCAAGAAAAATCGAATTATAGGAGACATGGGTGACCCGTGCGAATGCTTCTTCGATCATGAGGCTGCCATGCAGCGTCTTTTGTCGTTGGTAATCATCATTATCACTTTTCTTTCTCGAACGTTCTGATTCCAATGATTTCAGCTCCGCGACAATCAGCACATTTGCACGGATTCGAATTGCACCAGCGATGGCCTTCCGGGTGTCGCGGGAACACCATCATTGATGATTTGGACGATGATGTGGGCGATTATGGCGATGGGATTATATTTTTTGCGACCAAATTCAATGCGTAGCGGTTCGAATCAACAGAATGAGGCACTTTTGGAGAAGCCGACGAACAGCGGTGGTGGAAATGTAAAAAAAAAATTCTATTAAAATTTTGTAGAAATTGGCTAAATGCGGTAAAAAAAATTAGAAAAAGGTGTTGGCGCGATTTCCGGGCTCAACATTAGGACTTTTCCTTCAGTTTTTTGACATTTAGCCAATTTTCCGCGCCATGTCGACATTACTATAATTATAGCTTATTTTTTTTTAGAACAACGATCAACCACCGCCGCCACCTCCACCGGTTCTTTAAACTCCTCACGATATGCATTCCATTGGGCTTCTTCTTCTTCTTCCAATTTGTTCCGTTATTATTCCGAAAGCGCCTTTTCTTCCCCCACAATTAATGTATAAAGTAGTATGAACTGTAAGTAGACATTTGTTCCTTACCATTTCCCTTTTTTTTTACACCACCGGTACTGGTTTCAATCGCAATTGTTGCGGGGCGTTGGAGCCTTAAAACACTAGGTGTTCCACCTTTTCCCTCCTTTTCTTTGCTTCCTATCGGCATTTCATCCGTATTACTGTATTATTCTGTGATTTTATTTTTCGTTTGGATATGCGTTTAACAAAAATTTGTGTCGTAAACGAATGATGCTTGATGTATAATAGTTGTTGCTAGTCCTGTACACACCGTTTGTCCAAATTCAAATTATTTGTGATTGTATGGATTAATAAAGTGATTGTTTGGGGGAGCGTTTTGAATATTTATTTCATTCATCTGGCATTACGGCATGCGTATCGATCACCAATTTCGCCGACGCGCCACTGTATTCTTGCTTGTGCTCTTTGAGATCGCAATATTCGTGGCTGAAGAGATCACGGCAGAATGGAGCATCAGCCACTGAAATCGGGATCAACTTTGAATTTACTCATTCAAGTTTTCTCACTATGATGCCAATCAATGCGATATCCTCGATTATCCGAATTGTCATCAATGAAAAACAATGGAATCATTCCAAGAGTTAATCCCAGCCAAAGGCCAATCATCTAAAATTAGAATTTATTTTCTATTCACAATTTTCAGCAAGATTACATTGGCTCCAAATTGAACTCGAAAGAAGTCTGGCGTGTTCATCTGATCAGCTGAGAGGGTTGGACGTCTTAAAACAAACAAACATCTTGGGAATATTAATTTTTCTTTCTCACTTGATTCCCAAAATTGTCGAGCTTTGCGTTGAAGGATATTGCAAAACTAAATTGCAGATGATATTGGCGACGGCTGCAGAAGCCAACATTGACATTCCGTTGTAGACCGAAAATATCCTATAAAAATCAAATGACAATCGAGCGAAACTTCGACAAGCTTACTGATTGATTTGATCACCTCCTATTATCAGAAATGCCTCGTCGAGAAGGCCGTAGACGAACGCTGGAGTGAAGCTCAGATACCACACTTTTTTCAAGTCCTCATAGTCGATGACAACTTTCTGCACTTTCTGGTGCTCATTGTACTGGTCAGCAGCTGTAATTGAAAAAATTGTAAATTTTTGGGAAAAATAGCAAAAAAAAGGACAGAATCGGACGAAAAACTGGCGTTGCTCGATTGTGGGAGAAACCCGTAGGTTTGAAAATTCGCGGAAGTCATTAATCTATCTTTCCGTCGCTGCTTCTCCCAAAAATCGCAGAAAAATTAAACGAATTTGCCGAAAATTGCAATAAATTAATCTACAGTAACAGCGGGTCTTATCGGGATGAGAAATGATTGACATGTGCGCCTTTGAATATTACAAAAATGATATATATTTTTCTCAACAATGAAAATCCTCACTTATTTTCCTCAGAGCATCGAACAAAATTTTTCGCTCTCCTGGCAACAATTCTTTGCAGAAGAGTTTCGCATCATCATTATTGACAATTCCAAACGGAAGTGGTGTATTTGGTCCGAAGAACGCGCGTTTCCTATGAATTCCAAACATGAATCGATTTTATTTCCATACTTCGCCACCCACTTTTTCATTTCTTGCAGCTGCTTCTCCTTTTCTTTTTCGATTTCGGCCATTTTTTTCAGGTTCTTCTCGCTCTCCGCGGTGAAATCGAGCGGGCCGCACTGATTTGGCGGCTTCGATATGCCGGCAATGTATTTCGTGCTCGCGAATCGCAAAATTTGTGTACGATTCCAAGAATTCAACGCGATTAAACTGATTTGCCACAATTTTCTGAAAAAAAAGCGAAAAATAAATTCAAATTCGAATTCAAAGCGAATTCTTCTCACTTGTTCATGGCCGAGTAGTAATAGAAAATAGAAAATACACGTCACCGAATCGATTAAAATTTTTATTCGATTCGAAATTTCAAGACACCAAATCATCTCGATCAGTGTGAACTCGGAAAATCTCATCAGAAGTGTCACGGTGGTCCCGAAAATTTTAGATATTTTCAACTCGACAATGTTCCTCAAGACTACCTCTGGGAAAGCGCCAGGGGAAAGTCGTCACCCACCCACAATAATCCAATAATATCTAATTTCCAATTGATTTTTTATTTTGAATAGGCGCGCGCTGTTGAGTCTCACAACGGCCGCCTTTGTCCCCCCCGCAAGGTCCCGCCGCGATTTTTAAACACAGGGTGAGCAAGACCAATTTTCACGGGATTTCTCTATACGAAATATGGGAATTTTGCAAATTTCGGTGTCAAACAAACGAGTTGCTGCTTTAATAAAATCGATAATTAAGAACATTTTAAAAAATATATTACCATCGCAAAAAAACGAGCACTTTGGAAAATTGTAGGCCATCGCATTTTTTTCAAGGCGGTAAATCCAATTTAAATTTTGAACAATGGGAATTAAATTTGAGTACAAACAGTTCTCAAAGGAAAATGATTGAATCGATGTAAAATTATTCAGAGAAACTTCACAAAGAGCATCGTCAAATTGAGCAATGTCAGGCTGGTTGAATAATGAATTGCATAAAAATTAAGAAATGAGAAATCAAAATAAAAAATGAAAATAAAAATGATATTAATTTATAAAAAAGACAAGAGGTGTGCTACGTGAACTTCTCCGAAGGACCCATTTCTATGCTAAGAGATAAAAAGTTAGCAAGCGATCAGTCAACGATGAGCAGCATGGCAACGAAGAATGTTATAGAAATTGAGGATGCCGTAGAAGTAGGGCCTCCTCGGAAGCGAGTCAAATTCTATGATTTCGCCGAGGAGGTCCTCTTCGAGGTCGTCGAAGGTCCGTCCATTTATTCTTTTCATTGTTGGGTTGACTTGATTTATTGGGCTCGGGCTAGATCGGCTGATAGGAAAGGAATTGTTCGGAGCATCCTTCCATTCTGAATCAAGCCATTAATTACTGATGGTGTATTCCACCCAAACGATTTCTCGCCCTATCAGTGGTGTAGGTGTTGAGTTATTCGAAAAAAGTCGCCTTCTAATCATCATTTTATTTTTTTCCAATGATTTTCTTTAAACGAAAATCAGAATTTTAATTATTTTCATCCGAAATTCCGTCTTCCAAACAATCAATAAGAAAATCAATAGACATTTCAAACGTTTTAAAATTAATTTCATTTTGACTACAATTAATAATTATCATAATTACCCTCATATTATATCAATAGAAGGCTACTTTTTTGGATTTTTTTGTATATATTTGTTATTGTTTATTTATTTCTCGGGGAGGTTGAGATAACTGAGGTTTTTAAAGACATATTTTTCATTCGCGGAAAATTTCCAGCGAAATTCGCTTTTTTGTAGCGGTTTTTTTGCTTTTTTGGAGCAAAATTTATCAAATTTGGGTTTTTTTTTTCAAAAGAGGGAGGAAAAAACTACAATATACATCAAAGAAAGATGAAAAATTTAAATGAAAATAAGTTTTACCAAAATTGATTTTTTTTTGTTGAATTTTCGACTTCAACAATATTTTCTCTTGAAAAGTCTTTAAAGGCACACATTCCATGAGAGGAATACTGATGGTTGTCCTCGAAAATGTCCTGCGATGTCGTCTTTGATTCTGCCTTTCGAATCTTTCCACGTTGGTCCTGCGAAAGTGTCAGTTGATGCGCCGTTAAAGGCTTTTCACAATTTGAAGCTCTTGAAACAATTCAGCGGACTTCTGAAATCTCATATATTTAGGGCCGAGGAAAGGAGTGAAAAGGACGCGAACCAACGGGCCGGAAATTCGGAAGGTGAAGGTGGACGTCAACGAGTCGCCGGTGAAGAGGAGAAGGCCGAAGGAGGTGTCGCAGGAGGAGATGCTGGCCACGTTCGGCACCGATGCCGAGCCAATCGAGATCGACACGACGCCGCACAGCTATTTTTGCTATCGATACTGTGTGGCCGGTTGTGCGCATGACTGCCCGTGCCGAAAAGATCAGGTGCGGTGCTGCCCGCGGTGTCCGTGCAATCCCCGCACGTGCACCAATTACGATCTGGAGCGGGAGCACCAACGGCGGTCGGCGAGAGCATCGAGGGCCGAGCGTAGGCGGACGGCGAATCGGGAGTGGGCCGCGATGGAGCCGGTGACGGATGGGATGGCGGAGCAGGAGCGATGGTTGGCGGAGAAGGCGGCGGCGGCGGCGTTGGTGAAGCCGAGGTGGAGCGTGTTTGCGGAGGAGGAGGAGGAAGATGAGCCCGAGGAGACGAAGGCGACAGTGTTCCCGGAAGAGGATGAGGAGGAGACGGTATCGGAGATGGCGGAGGTCGTGGCGGTGGGAGAGCTGGAAGAGCAGGAAAGCGGCGCGCTTGTGAGGACGCCAGAAGAGCCGGAGGTGGTGCTCGCGCGCACTCCGGAGGCCGAGCAAGTGGAAAATCCGGCGGTGTTAGAGCCGGTCTACTTTCACCCTGAGGTGCGTGGCGCATTGCGCGGTCTGATCGCAAGTGAAGACCGGCCACAAGGGCGCCAATTCTTAACATCTGGCGCCGTTTTCGCCGGACTCTTAAATCTGGTGAAGACGGCAAAGATTGGTGTGGTTTGGCCGTCGGCCATGAAAGTAGTGGTCGACGAGGAGGAGCAGGATCCGGAGCATATCGCAATTATGCTCAAACGGTGCACCGCTGGGGTGCGCCGTGAGGCTGAGGTCGTCTTCATGCCAGTGCACTTCCATCAGCACTGGCTCCTCGCCTCATTCAAGACGGCAAGTGGCAAGTGCGTCATTTATGACTCACTTGCTGCGAATCGCCTGCCGAGCGACCGCAAGAAGATCGCGGCCGCAATGAAGCGGGCGTTGGCGGCGTTGTATCCGGAAGTCATCTCGTCCGTGCGCTGGGCGCCAAAACACCACCAATTGGCGCAGACGGATGGATACAACTGCGGCATTCATGTCATCGAGAATGCCCGAAGAGTCCTGGAGAGAAGCAACACCAACCTGGCCGGAGGAGAACACATCGACATGGAGGGGGAACGCGAACTTCTACGATTCATCGTGGAAGGCTTCATCCCGCAGCTGGGTACGTTCATTCATCTCGTTTCTAGCTTGCAACGGAGTTTTCGTTGAATTTTGGAAGCACTTCTTGCGAAAAAATTACCGAAATTCAACGATTTTCTGATTTACGCTAGACAACGGTCATTGTGTTAATGGCAGAGTATCGTACTAAGTCCAAAATTTGCTTGCAGAAGCAATTGCGGATGAAGCTACGAGGAACCCGCCATGTCCGGATGTTGGCGTGCGGACGACAACAAGACCGACGAGACGCGCGTCGACGGATGCCAAAGGCCGAATCCAGAGGCTCTACCGCCAAAAACTCGTTTAATTAAAAAATAAAAAAAACAAAAAAATAAATAAATAAAAAAAAAAAAAAAATAAAAAAAATAAACAAAAAAAAAAAAAAAAAAAAAAAAAAAAAAAAAAAAAATAAAAACAAAATAAAAAACCAAAAAAAAAAATAAAAAAAAAACTAAAAAAAATTAAAAAAAAAAAAAAAAAAAAAAATAAAAAACAAAAAAACCATTAAAAAAACAAAAAATTAAAAACCAAAAAAAAATATATATATTGTCCTATATTAGGACACCCTATAAATTCTGATTGATGAGAATGCTCGAAAATTTTATTTCGACGCTGATGATCATCAAAACGAGCCGAAGGATATTTCAATTCAAAATGGTGAGTATTCTGAAAAACAATTCCCTTCGAACTCATCTTCTTCAGTTGGAATTGCATTCGAAAATTGAAAACGACGGAAAACGGATCAATGCGAAGAAGATTTCATCAATGGAATGGAACGAGTCGATCAGAAGAATGGAAGACATCTGTCGAAGTGGCTGAGCACAAGATGATGGTGCGAATCGAATGGTGAGTTGTGCACCATTTGAGCACTGACCAAACTGTGTCTTACATCAGGACCAAACCCAAATCCGTAATATAAAATGGATGAATAAAAAAAAGCTGTGAAATCACAATTCTTAAAATGGATTGGCCAAAATAACCCATCAAATTGAATTTCCCCCTAGTTTTAAAAGATCCAAATGTCGTTCAAATTATTTCCGATTTATCCTATTTTTTCTGTTTATGTTCAAGTTTTTCGATGATTCTTAAAAAACGACTGGACAAAATGAGTTGTAAAAAAAAAGAATGAAAAGATCCAAATGTCGTTAAAAAATCATTTTTATTCTATTGATTATACTATTTTATTTGTATTTCTTTTTGTTCAATTGGGATCTCTGATTTCTGCAGAGATCGGATGGATCACATCGTGGCTCTCAAATGTAAGGCATTCAATTAACATCTGAAACCATATAGATAATCTCACTTCAGATTAAAACTGACACACAATGTTGAGATAAGAGAACCTGGAATTGAAGCCGATGATGTGCTGAAGGGAATCAGATCAGCAATTGATTCTCAATTGAAATCGGAAGACGTAAGAATGTAAGAAAGCACGTTTCAAAAATCATTTATTGATTGATATTTTGTAGTATTCATAAATGTCTGCACTTCAACAAAGACGAAACAAAAAAGATTTGATCGAAGCTGAAAATATCGAGAAATGAAGTGATGTCTGAAGGATGAAGCACGAATCGAAGTTGGATTTAATGTGAAGATGCTTGAAGGTGCCCTTTCTATTATCATTATCCCCATTTTTCCCCACCAATTTTGTGACCCCCTTTATTCCATTTATTAAAGTTTAAAAACTTTAAAAAAAGATTTAAAAAAAACGAAAATATTAAAAAGAACATTTATTTAAAATATTTTTTATAAAGCGAAAGGACAATTTTAATTGTAAAAAAAATAAAAAAAGATCCAATGTCGCTACAATTATATGATTTTAATTGTAAT